AAAGCGTTCCTGCAGTACTATGTAGGTCTGGGTTAAATTTGGCCTCAGGTCGTTGAAGTGACATCGCAGTGGCGTCGGTGATTATACGAGGCTATAGAGATCTAAATATGATTTGCGTCTCGATGCTGATACTAGTAAATGATCAAGAGCATGGGAAATCTACATGTCCAATTGAAAGTCAGTACTCGTTGACGTTGAGTACTCGAGCTCGTAGGCTATACTAAGCGCTTCGCTCTTCAATCAATAACTTCTACAGCTAAGTGCTCTTCAATTGCAAGTATTCCAACATGTCCGTCACCAGTCCTACAGGCTCATATATCATCATGAATGCCATGACGCACACCTACTTGGATATGTTCAATTTTCAGGTTGTTCCGCGTAACATCGTCAAGAGTGCTGGAAATCACCTAGGAAATGACATTGTGCCTGTACTCGATACTTTTCACAAGGCGTTTCGTCGTATCCTTCGCAGTGGAATGTGGCGAACACTGAGTCGTGTGGGGTGACCATACAGTCATTTGGGACTGGTGCGTCTCTCTCCTTCGACTAGTCAAACAAATCCGACACCTCCGCTGCCAGCGTCGTCACTGGCCACTCGATCTATCCGTGGAGTTTGCAACAAAACAGTGTATTCCCATATGCCTGGAAGTGGTTTCCTCTCTACAACGAAAGTGAGGTTACATGCTCGAACACAATATCGTAAATAAGAACAGTGGAAAGGCGCTGGTTGTACACAGTGACTCTATCACGAACGACGAACGTGGCACGACTGGTCCTTGAATATTTCTTGTAAAGCATGTTCCTCATTATTTTTGTCAGGTTCTCGAGGCTGACAATTTAAATAACCCAAGCCGAACTTAGCCTTTTATCGCAAAGGAACCCATACCTGGTACCAACTAGTTGCTATCCAATATCGAGATGGCTGACGTACTCGGAGATGTGAACATAGGCGAATTTGAGGAGTTGAGAAGGGTCGAGGCACGGTGCCTTCAACATATCACTATGACAAGTATGACAGGCATATCAGCACCAACTTGCTCTACGAAACGTAAGTTCAATAATTTTTTCGAGCTAATAATCACTCGTGTTGCTTGACAGCGATATCAGATCTGAAGTTCGGAGCTCCTCCCAAATTGTCAAGGTGCAGCCTGAGCGTCAAGTGGTCACGCCAGGCGGAGCACACCTGTCAAGCTTCTGACGTATTGAAGGTAGAACGATCTCGACAGATCACTCATTGAAGGACCCTTCACTTACATCGAAGATTCTAGGGGGTCTATTGTATGGCTTGTCGGTGCTACGCACATGCGCCTGTTTAACATCAAGCTCGCTGTTCCTCGCTTCACTGCAGTAGCTTGGTATTGTCATATCCCTGAATCGAGTATCCCGGGCCAGTATTGGTCGTTTTCTTGGTCCACTCGCATCTGCCCTTCTGCGCTCGACCATCACAGTGGCTACTCCGAGTTCATACACTTTGCATGGCATTATTTGGAATCCAGAATGGGATTTTTTGCACAATGATCAGCAAAGTACTACCGATACGGTGCTTTCATCGCTAGTTGGATGCTGATCTCCCTGCCACTGTTCACGCTTCCGGGCACAATCCTACCCCTGCTCAGGACGGGATCTACTTCATCATTCTCTGTTTGTGCATCGGAGTGCGTTACCCATCTAAAACTGTCATGCATTGATATCTGTCATTTTCCCTCAGTATCAATATACTTCATGGAGGTAGAATTCAGATAGCGTTTTCCCGGTTCAAAATTCGATTGCAACAGGAAACGAGGACGTGAGGAATCTGGAAATACCGAAAGTCGTTACAGAAAGCGTCTTCTAGTAACTCTACTGCTTGTGGTTGAAATACTCATCGTTTTCGTTGTTTCTGAATCATCGTGGCGTCAGTGACTCTGATGCGTTCGCCAATGAACTCCATAGGCGTCATAAAAATGACTCTCAATCCAGGTATCTGGCACAAAAGCCACCATATTATGATAATGTCAGCGCAGTGTGTACGAGAAGGTATATAACGTAACTTCCAAATCAAGAAAGAAAATCAAGGAAGACAAGGCGACTAAAAGAATGTTCGTCTTATGGGCAGCAAGGTACAATGCGGAAGAGAGCGTGGAAGCGAACGCAAGCGAGATCTTAGGGTATACGGAGCGAAGATTTGTCCAAAAACAAACTGGGATCCGACTTTCACCGCCTGGCACTGCCACGACCGTAGCCAGCTTGGAGGTTGTCGAGCTCGGCCTCCAGCGACTTGATAGCACTGTGTGCCATCTCCAAGTCCTTGTTGAGACGGTCCCGTTCGGCGATAAGCTATGGGACGTTAGATAGTGTCGCAATGGGTTAGAATTCACTCACGTGTTGCTCCCATTGTCTGAAGCGGGCTTCTTCGGCCTTGACCTGTTCCGTAAAGCGCTTCCTGAGCAATTCTTCCTCCTCCTTGAACTTAGGGTTGTCCACTTTCTTGACCTTGGGTTCGCCAAACTTCCTCGTCTCCATCTGTTGTTGCCTGTAGTTCTCGTAGTGCAACTCCTCCGTCGTCGAGATAAGGTCGAGCATGTGCGTACGGATAAGTAGAGAGCGCAACTTGCGGAAATCACAGTGGTTTTCATTCTCAACTTCAGCAACACCCCAAAGGTACTCGCGACCCTTGACAAGGCGACCATCAGGGGTCTGGACATCTTCAGTTGAGCCAATGATCGAGAAGGGGATAGCGTCAGTGAGCATGCGCGCATGCTCAGCAGCAGTCTCGTCATCGGTTTCAACAGGGGGTTGGTAAATACGAATTCCCTGGGCGGCGATGACTTCCCGGACGCGTTGTTTGAAAAGGAACAGATCATTTTGCGTGAGAGTGTCTGCTTTCGCAACAACGGGGATGAGGTTCACGCGCGTGCCAAGGCGCTTCATGATCTCGATATCAAGCGGCTTCAGGCTAAGGATCTAGTCAGCGTCTGGTAATGATTCAGAAATTTATATCGACTTACGTGTGCCCAGTGGGCCGGATGAAGTAGAGGCAAGCGTGAACCCTGAGGTCAATCTTTTCGTGGCGCTGAGGCTGCTGCTCCTGGCGCATATATGCCTCGTGTTGGTCATCGATAAAGTCGACGATTGGCGACCAGGAATCACGGTTGTTGACATAATCACCAAAACCGGGGGTGTCGATGACGGTAAGTTTGACCTTGAACTGCTTTTCCTCAAGCTCAGCCTTGATGATTTCGACTTCGGTGAGCTTGTCGAGTTGTTTGTGGTGCCGCCTGCTGTAGTTCCTAGCAGGAGACAACTCAGTCGTGAAAAGCGTGTTCACTAAGGTCGTCTTCCCGAGACCCGACTCGCCTGGCACGTAAACAGGTAAGCTGAAAGGCCTATCTCATTATAAATGCATTGTACTCACCAACAACCATCATGGTGAAGTGTGCACCATGTTTGGCGACGATTTTGTGCCTCTAGATTGCGTGGAAGGAGACACATAGTAGTCAGTAAAATGAGACAGATGTCAAGACAAACACCTCACCTGGTTGGGAAGGTTGGAGATACCGATGCCATCAAACGAGGGTGCTGGTGCAGATGACATGACTGACTTTTATGCTCTTGCTCGACGACAACGACAGCACTGACAGGCGACAATAGCTGAGGCGAAATTACCGACTTTTGATATTGCCAATTTGGCGTTGTTTGGTTTTATTGGTATTACTTGGCACACTAACCTTATGGGTACTAAGTAGTTCTCCTCATCGTTCAGAACCCTCAGTGACGAGAGTTCAACGTTCAACGTTCAACGGACATACCGAGGTCTTACTGCTTTCGGTACACGACTACTTGAAGTGTCCATGCAGAGCACAATCAGTGTTCAGCAAATGGACCCCTCATGAGTTACCCGGTGGCGACTGGGGTTTGGTCATGAGGAAGCCTCTGACAGGACGCTATCACGACTCACGACGTGGGGGTGCAAGAAGTTCATCTACTAAGGACTGACAATCGTAAGTAACTTACATAGTTACATTAATTACTAACTCACGACATTAATAATCATATGTCAGACACGACGACAACCGCTGCCCTTGTATGTATTCGCTCATCGATGTATCCGTCTTTCGCATTAAGTCTGTGTCTATTCATCTTGAGTATTTTGACACACAAAATGCGACCGCAATCTCAGTCTGATCATCATTTGCGATCAGGCTCAAATAGAGTTTGGTGTTCCTGGTCGTCTGCTATAGCAGACACAACTTAAATTCCAGCACACACCTGATTCTGGAGGGGAAGACATGACTACCAGGTGAACTGCTTTTGTCAAGCATGTCCTTGATGGCTCTGGGAGGTTGAAAGGCTTGTGTAGGCTGGAGGGGCAGAAAGCGTACTTCCGATTTAATCCTGCCATTCTTGCGTCCGCTCTCATGGCGTACGCCGCTAACCAATGACCACGACAAGTGGGGCTATGGATGTATCGCTTCCTCAGTTTGAAAGGGTTACGCTTTGTGACATACCAGAAGGGTTGCGCTGCCATATCTTCAGATCCCTTTCATACAGCCATATGCTGCGCGTTACTAGTGAGTCTTGTATTCACAACTCTGCCTCGTCCTATGAGCTTTTTGTCAACTCATGGACCCCCTCACAATTATCAAATATTATACAGCACAGACAACTTTGTCGAACTGCAATTCATTATCGAACTTAGCACTCAAAGATTGATACCGCCGAATCTTCAAAGGGTATCAAATGCTGAGCACCCAGCAGTAGCCCGTACAGTCATCGTACTGGAATCGAGGACACCACACGGTGCGGAAAAGGTATCATTCCAACTTAACACTGCCCATCAACAAGATTCAATTTACCAGATGTACGATAGAATGACAGTGCAACTGTAGTGCATTACGCACACTATTAGTGAGAATATGTCCTTTCTCATGACAAGGGCTGCGCTCCACAACTATGGGAGACTGGACTAAGTTTAAGCCTTCCCGATAATAATTATGTCGCAGAATGCAGTACCTAGAAGTTCAGATATGGACGATGATGTAGGAACCCTTCGTCTCCACTCCAAAAGATGCAAAGTCCCAGGACAGTACAACATTGTTGGTCGCATCCATTTTGACACCGGCGACCCCAGACGCCAGGTCTCCAGGCGTCCCATTGAAGTTGATTTCGATGTCGCTGTTGAACTTGAGAGCACCCATAGCCTGGGCGAGAAGGAGGGGTCCAACAATGGGCAGATCGATATATATTTGAACTGTGACAATCAGGGCACTCGTGTCGATGGTAATGTCAACCTGAAATGAAGGGTGCGAACACCGTTCTAATGGATGGATGAACACCGCCGGTAACATGGACTGACCTCAAAAGGGTCAACGAGAATTTTATTGACTACGACACTGTCGACAGCAGAAGTCTGGAGTACGTAGATGACTTGTCCGTCACCAAGCTTCACGTTCTCAATGCATTCTCTACAAAACTTCAGGTGCACTGCGGAATGTTAAGCTCGTGCTCTACACGCTATCGGACATACTCACGAGTAATATCTATGCAACTGTAGAATGAGCATTGATCTGAGGTACTCGAACAATATGATAAGTACCTTCAGTATTCTTGACTGCGTGGTCTGTGGCGGAAGAGACCTTGCCAGAAGCAATCATCATCGAAGGGGAGGTGAGGCTGGACATATCGTAAATAGGTCTATGTGTACGAGTGCAATCAGGCTAGACGAAGGGACTGCAGTTCACAGTTCACAATAAGCAGACTTTATACCACGAGGGCATAGTGGTTACAATGAACAACTGGAAGTACCTTGATGGGGGAGTAACTGAGCAGAATTGCACAGTGAAGACACCCGGCCGCCACACTTCATCGGTGTGCGACCTAGAAACAGTATATGCAACCACCACTTTTCCTGGACCTACAGATTGGCTCCGAACAGCCAAGTTCTTGTTCGGCTGCGCTTAGAAATTGTTAGACGCTAGACATTGACGGGGGAGTGCCCTGTACATCCGTATTCCACTGGCGGTGAAAGTGCCTCCTTTCGTATCCTTCTTCGCCTTGCGTGTTCGACTGACAACCCAATAGCTGAGAAGTAATAAGACAACAATGAGGAGGGCACTTCAAAACCTTAATATTTAGTTGATGCCTGCTGCGTGCCTTTCGAAGTTGACTATAAGGTCTATCAGCTGCCCAGAACAATCAGATTATGAAACTAGATCATAGCAGGTATGATGATCAGAAGACACGATGTAATTTTGTTGTTCTTCCAAATGCACGTTCCAAGTTCTTCAGAGATCGGGATCATCTCACATCGTTAGGACAGCTATATTGAAACTTCTAGAGGATCAGTTGCCCGTCAACTAGTTCGAAATGTATGCCAAGCTCGGCAACGCTGGCCGTAGGCACGATCAAGGAGAAATACGTCGGGACCATGCAGGGAATCCCTGGATCGCCCCATCTCGAACCTAACAAGTTCCCCGGCACTGTGCTTGTTCGACGGGCGATGTTTTATTTGAACATCACTGTTGGGCTAGACGAAGACATGTGAATCATGTGGTGGATAGAGTTCTGTTATGGAATAGTAGATAAATTGCTACTTACGTGACTACAGCCTCGCTGACTAAAGTGACGGAATGGGTTGAGCCAAGTTCCAACAATGCTCACACCCGCGAAGTAGCCCGTACTACTACCTCTGCCGCGATACTGTCGGCGTACGAATTCGCCCGTCAAGATCGATTCAAGGACGTTGAAAGGTACAGCAGAGGTACCAATCAATCGAAACCAGCTATTATGATGCGGCCTGTGAGCTTCTCGTCACTGCCTCTCAGGTAAGGTAGATGTGTATGGGGAAAGAAAAGCCTAATCGGATAATAAATATTTGAAGGTACAGGGCATCTACTTCTCCTGGCAGTATGCTGATCGCAGTTTCTGGAACAACAGTACTAGTCTATCGCTTACAGCCCGTAGTAAGAGCCTGACTAACTATCAGCCTGAGTGGGAAGTACTGATGATGATGGTATCTTTCTTCGAAGGACATACAGTAGCTCGTAGAGCCTCATCAAAAAAACGCTGTCTGTGCAAGAAATGGTCCGTCAAAAGTGGCACGGAAGATGTATTAATCGAACTTACTAGTGAGTTAGTAGCGGCTTCAAGTTGTACCCTTCTCGTCATTATTTTGTCAGACAATTATGTATGGCGAGAGACGGACCTAATTGGGTAACACCACCTGCAGATTTTGAAGGTACAAGGCACTTTCTCTGTCATTGTGCTATTGCGTGTGCACGCGTGGCGGAAAAGATAATGGTTGCTCCCATGTCCAGCCTTTCGTCGGGCGGTGCTACTCCCATTGTCACTGTCAACATAACTCCCCGTGGCCACGATGTGCTCATGCTATACAGTCTGCGAGTCGTGAACGTTGAACTGCAATTTTCATTTTCTATTCTAGCCCAAGTATCATCACACTCGCACACCATACAATATGTCGAGTCTCACTTTCCCTTCAAAGATGATTGCCTCTGGCAAGATATCTTTTGCCACAGATAGTGCAGTCAAAAATTCTGAAGGTAATTATATTCATGAATTTAAAGTACCTCGGCTCTTTGCTCATTCCGCAACCTCAGATACTATTCGTGAGCACGCTGAACGGCAGATTAGCTATGAATTTAACATTCCCGCAGTGAATCTAAAGTTCTTCAAAGAATGCATCGAGAAAGTGAAGCAGATGATGGACAAGTTATCTATATATTCCAGACTTCCGCTGTCGACGGCGTCTTTGTTAAGAAGATTGCCATCGGCCCGTTCGAGGCCAGTACATGTTGCGGACGTGTTTATGCATTGCTTACAATCATTCACACCATCCACCACAGATGGACCTATCTATCGACACCGATGCCTCGACTGCCACAATTCAAATCTATTTGAATTTGCCTATTATTGGACTCCTCCTCCTCTCCCAAGCCATGGGTTCTCTCAGGTTCAACAGCGACATTGAAGTTGACTTCAATGTCGCACCCGGAGGCCTGGTGTCGGATATCGCAGGTATCAAGGTGGATACAAACAACGATGTCCTCGTGTTCTGGGACTTCACTTCTCTTGGAGTGGAGACAAAGGGCTCCCATGTTATTTTCCACATCTGAATTCTGGGTACTTCATTTGCGACTTCATTCTTGTGGAATGGCTTCAATAGGTCTGGAGTGCGGGCGCAGGCTCTTTGGAATCTCAAAGATCATTTCTTGCTCACGGACAATTCGCTGTTTTTAGCTATACTTGCCGAACTGACTTTGTTGTTATCTCTGCGCAAGTTGCATATCTGGTCTTGCTGTTTGATTGAGTATGCTCAGACTGAGTCTTGACTTTGGCGATCTCATATCCCCATGCCTCGCATGTATGCCTTCACATGACATAGACTCTTTCAATGTAAAATTCCCGAACCTATGAACCGTAAATGGTGGACCCTCGGTTGGAGTATCCAACTTGAGATACAATGCCCATAACTTACAGCCCTGACTGCATGTTGATTCTCAACAATGACGACTAATTCAACGATAAAAAGTTAGGGTGAAATGTGTGAGTGTGATTCTGTTGAGGTCGTCACAACACGACAGGCGGTTACAAGCATATGACTCCTGTCACTTTAATATCCGACCAGGAAGGAACTTCTCGATTGAACTTCTACTCTGCGCTGACAACTCCCCGGGCCCTGCAGTTAATATGCAGAGTCCAGAGTCCAGACTACTGCGATAACACCCACCATCATACTGGCATCACGTTGCTATGCTGTCCCAACAAAACGTCAACCAGGAGTATTGGCTGAGCTTGTGTATAAGATTTAACCGCATTACGAAGAAAAAGTACTCATCTTATGACTCGAAATTGGCTCCACGTTCCCGATCGAACTCCGAGTCTTGCTTTATTCTTCTAAAGGCTGTATCCGAACTGTGAGAGAACTACTATCAGTTTTCGTGTTATTTCACCTGTAATCACTGCGGCTGCGCAACTAGGAACCAATTAAATAACCACTAAAGTCTAAGGTACACACCATCCCGAACTTCGTCAGTCATAGTCCCCGTAGCTTTGACCCACGAAATACAATAGACAACCAAATGAAGCCCACAATAGCGTTGATGGAACCTGCAAGTCGGATATTATGTCTCACTACATCCCCAAAAGGTAACGGTCCCACAAGCACCCAGACTTATTGGGGATCCTAGGGTTTCCGTGAGCGGCAGGCTGTGGACTTGAACCAGACAATAGCCCGATGTTTTGGCCCACCACAACTTGAAGTGGCTTTAAGACGTTGTGGACGGTTTGTTATAGGTATTTTAAACGATCCATTGCTTCTTGACTTTGAATTTGTACCTCCTCCTGTACCTGATTACTAGCCTACAAAGCTGAAGATTGAAGATTGCTGTAATGTCGATCGACACTGAACATCAGAACCCAACACAAGCCACCGCAACTGCCGCTAACTCAGACCCGAAGGGTAAAGGCAAGGAGAAGGAAGTCGATCGTTCTACTCATGACGACATGTCCGACTCTGAAGAATCTGGGGGTGATACATGGGCCGAATACCCTTTCGAACGATTCCCTTCGCCACCAGGCGACAAACCTCGCAATGCACGCGTCCCAAATCCTACTGCTTCCCTCGATCCGCCTCTCATGGAGTTCAACTACCCTCCTCCACCTCCTCTCGCCAACGACCCTACGTGGTTTGCACAGATGGTCGCCGACGTTCATCGCAGCCGCACTCATGTCAACACTGAACTTGGGTATGCACGAACCGAGGCCGCTGAAGCTCTGGCCGATGCAACTCTCGCAGAGGCCGAACTCAAAGCCGAGAGGGATAAAATGCAGAATTTCTTGAACCACCTGGGATCTGTCGCTGGGAAGAACTTTGTGCGCAAGATGATCAGGAAAGTCGAGCGGTCGCTGGCGACTCACGATGACAACCTGGACAACGAAGATGAAGAAGAACTACAAGGCGTAGATTATGAAGATTCAAACGGCAGCAACGAGGGTGAAGCGGATCATCAAGATGCGGAAGAGGAGGATCTTGGCGGCGGTGCCGGTGAGAGTGAGAAGGGCCCGCAAGATGCAGAAGATGAAAAATATGGTCGTGACGCTGATGATGGTTCTCGGTACGTACCTCACTTACATTTGCACCAAGTGTTAGTTTCTGACCTGTAGTTTTTAGCGAAAGGTCTGAGTCTCCACCAGCGAGCTGCAGCCCAAACTACCCTCAACAGTACCTCCATGAGCCTTTCAGCGATGGCGAAGCCAATTTTTGGTACGTAACTAGATTTAACTTGCGTGAATTGTTAAATTTTGACTGTGTGTTGTTTAGGGAAAATTCTGCGCCTCTGCCCGTAGATGAGAGTCCTGATTCCTCTCCACAAGGAATTTCGCACCAGCCATGTAGCCCCAACTGGCGTCGGGGAGATGTCACAGATGATGAGTATTCCAGCGGCGAGGACGACACATCTCGGTGAGTAACTTACTTGAATCCAATCAGTTTCTTCTAATGTGTCATTTTTAGGAAATGGACTGAACTTACACCCGCACATAAGAGCCGCAAACGACCACTTCAGGTCGAAGAGGAGACCAACAGCCCTGAGGACTCACCTCGGAAGAAAATCAAGGAAACCCCTCCGTCACCGCTTAAAGTCGCCAAAATTTGTCCAATTCCCACACGATGCTTCTATCCCCCAGAGAACAAGCAGGTCAACACAATCGACCAAGACCATGATACAGATGAGGAGTATGAGGTAGAGAATTCTCTTACTCTAGAGCATGAACCCGTACTACCAACGCCTTATTTGCCTCGACTGAACCGATTGGAGAGGGACCCGTACAGGGTACGCCAAAATTCGCAGGGGGAGCCTGAGCTATATGTTCCCGGCAGACGCGCCATCGAACTTCCTTAGATATGTATTATCAATTATTATACCATTACTCCTTCGTTTTACCACTGTAATACTTACTTTGCTCGGCTACATTTGTATACCTTGATGGCGATTTTCTGTTATACACTATCATAGCCTCCATACGACTGTGAAAGCATCACTGAAGGATAATCACGACAGGGAACTAGCAATCGTCAACAGAGAAATTGGTTAATCGCAGTAACATACACACCAAGGCCCATCCTGACCTAATTTTGCATGTCACTTTGTAATTGGTCTGAATAATAGGCAGTGCTGGGAGACAGACAGTACGAGAAGACATGAATGGGAATGAACATGGGTTAGGTAAGCCGGTTGTGATTGGTTGAGTCGTTGTCCGACGGCTCACGCCATAAATTATTACTTACATAAAAAGTGGTGTGTTCTTCGAAACGCGATTTTCACTTTCACTTGTCACCTTCAAAACCTCGCAGTGTGCTTGAATTTAAGTGTCTGCCTTTTTTTGCTTTCGACCATCATGACTTTCAACGCGACGACCGTCGCCGCTGTGGCTCAGACTACTACTCAGCAGCTCTATGCAAACATTGATTTCACGAAACTCAGTTGGCTTGAGCAGATGTGGGCTGCTTGGTACATCTGGATTGACAACCCAATCATTGCAACGGGCCTCATGAGTTTCTTGCTCCATGAGGTATTTTTTTTTCTTATTCAGAGTCCATGAACATTTGCTCATTGTTTTCAGTTTGTATACTTTGGACGTTCCATCCCTTGGATTATCATCGACGCTATTCCTTATTTCCGCCGGTGGAAACTCCAGCCTAACAAGGTTCCCACTGCCCAAGAGCAGTGGGAGTGTACGAAAATGGTGCTGTTCTCGCATTTCACCATCGAACTTCCAGCTGTGAGCCTAGTCTATGCATCTGACGTTCGAAACTAATTCTTTCTCTCCGCAAGATATGGTTATTCCACCCTATGGCAGAGAACTTTGGTATGAGTACCTGGCAGGTTCCTTTCCCTTCATGGACAACCATGTTCCCGCAAATCGCTATTTTCTTCGTCTTTGAAGATATGTTCCATTACTTTGGTGTGTGAATCCTGAAACGTCCCTGCTCTCCTTACTGATAATATCATTGTAGCCCACCAGGCACTTCACACCGGCGCATTGTACAAGCATATTCACAAGATTCATCACAAGTATTCGGCACCTTTCGGTCTTGCTGCTGAATACGCCCACCCTGCTGAAGTCTTCATTCTTGGTACTGGTACCATTGCTGGACCCGTCTTGTACTGCTGGTACACTCGTAACTTGCACATTTTCACGGTCTACATTTGGATTACGCTTCGTCTCTTCCAAGCTATCGATGCTCACAGTGGCTACGGTTGGTAGTTATCCATAGTAGCTGATCGTCAGTGCTAACATGTTCTTTTTCCTTAGACTTCCCCTGGTCGCTACAGCATATCATCCCCTTCTGGTCAGGTGCCGAGCATCATGATTTCCACCACATGGCCTTCACGAACAACTTTTCCACCTCTTTCCGGTGGTGCGACCGCATTTTTGGCACTGATGACAAGTACCGCGAGTATCGTGCACGCATCACTGCCCAAAAGGCGGCAATGAAGAACAAGAGCAAGTCTGAGCGTGAAGAGGCTGAACGCAATCTCATTGCAGAGATTGAAGCCGAGGGTTTACGTGCAGAGGCTATTGCTGAGGGGAGCATGCCTGCCCCAAAGACCGTTAAAGTCCAGTAATTGGATCTAGATACGGTGATAAGGACACATTTGCATGATTTCATTCAATCAATACCCGTAGACATGCAATAATAAATATATAGTTAATTGATTTTTTTGTTTCGCGGAGTGGAGAAAACCCAGTGTGACCGTGGTACTATAATAATCATACTGCGAACATTTTGCTGACAGTACTGCTGATCTTGACCTCAGGCCTCGTCACTGATCAATCGACTTCACAAACAAGGAACGGAGTCCTGATCATGGACGGTGTCCACTCGACATCCTCCGTATTACCTGTCGAGACCCTTGAGCTCATCTTCAATTACCTGGAACGTCACGAACTCGTCCCAGTCCTTAACAGCAACTCCATATTCCATAATACTGCACTTCGTGCGGTCTATCGTAACATATCAGAAACGTCGTCGGTCAAAGCTTTGAAACTTATAAAGACCCTTGCTTCTAATGCCACCTATTCCCGACATGTCCGTTCCATCGATCTCAACTTTGCCGACAACTTCATCACCGCCAATATCCTCCGCCTCCTAAATCGCGCGCTCCAGCAACTCAAATCGCTCACAGCACTTACCCTCAACTTCTCCCAGACAGACAACACTGCTGATGTTGCATGGATATTCCAGGGGTGTTCCTTCTCGCTCACAACCTTCACCTCATCCATGCGGTGCGACCGCTCGCTGGCGAAATTCCTGGCTATGCAGCCGAAGATAACGGAGCTTTGTCTGAGAGGGCTCAATGAGGAGTATGACTTTGCGCTGGAACCTAAGGCGCTCCCTAAGCTGGGACAGTTTAGGACCGTTACGGCTTACCCCAGCATTATCGGAGAGGTCTTGAGAGGTAGACCTGTGGAGAGCGTTTCCATGTCACTTTACCGCAGGGACGTCTGTGCATCCCTCGACACGTTGTTACTATCAGCTACAGCGATAAAGAGGCTCACTGTTCTGATCTTGGAAAGCGACCCTCCTGTCGCACTCCTTCCTCTCATCGCAGCCCGGCTACCTCATCTTGAGGCTTTCCATCTCGTGGTTCTCACGCCTCACTCCACCCATGTAAGTTTTTCATCTCATGCATGGCTTCGTCTCTTTCGTTTACTTATTGTTTACAGGAAATTCTACTCGAGATCGGCTCGAGTCTCACGCAGTTCAAGGCCCTGAGATACATCACGTTCATGGCGCCAGGTATACCTTCTTCCTTCAACGATGAAAAGATCATCGCGGAAGCATGGAGCAAAGCGTGCCCAACCCTACAGACCATCATCCTTCCTAAAGGACTGGTGTGGTTCCAGAGGGACGAGAATTGGGCATGCCTGAAGGATAACGAGGATTAAGGCTTCCTAAACTTCACAGAACGAATAAACCATCACAGTCTCGCATTAGTTGGGTGCCGGTATCGGAATTACTCGAAGGGTAAAGAAGTGCTCGTCGGGATTGTTCGTGGAAGGAGAGTGCCCACTTGGGAATAATCGGAGAGCCCACTAGTGCGGATCATCTACCACGAGACCCATGATTGTTTGTTGGCAACGATTCTCTTAAGTTGCGACGTTCAGAGGTTAAGCAGGAAGCTCTTTTTTTTAGATATCCCAATGGCGAATGTACCGACAGAAGTGCAATTTTGGAGACAGCTCTCCTGCAAATACTGTACAGGCTCGATCGGAGAAGGAAATATCAACCATACATCAACATCAGTCAAGAAGTACATTTCGCAAATAAATAGGCATCAAGGTACATCTACTTCGATCGTATCTTCTCCAGCATGTTCGAGGGTACCGATAGGATCTTGTGCTCTACATCAAACGAAGCGGCCGTTGTGTGGTTCCTCGATAGGTGATATTCGCATTCCAACTGCATGATCTTGAAATCGATAGGGTCCAGCCCATTCATGATGGGTTCTGATAGCAAGACCGGGGGCCAGCCCTTGATGAGCGAGGGAATCATGATGACGTCGTTCCGCTGACGCGGATCACAGTGGTACGTTGAATGTGTGGATTCGCATGCGCCATCTGCTGTGGTTTTCGTATGACCTTCGTTGTCATCTCCATTAATGGCGACCTCGTTATGCTCCTCTGGGACGTCATCTTGGACGCATTCATATTCGCATTCTTTGACGCCTTCATCGACACCTTTGCTGTCGTATACCGCAACATTGTCCTCGACTCCTTCGTTGTCGACCTTCGTTATGTCTTCTTCGCCGTCCTTGTCGTCTTCCATAAAATTTTCCTCCAAGCATATGTTGCCGTCCTCTGTGACTTTTTCTTTCATATCTTCGTTCTCTCCCCCGAATTGTTCCTCGACGCCTCTATTGCCGTCCTCTGTGAGTTCGTTGTCGCCTACTGCGGCATCTTCCTTGACGCACCCGTCATCTTGTTTCATAATATCTTCCTCGACGCCTTTGTCGTGCACTAAAACGTCAGCAATGAAGCCTTCCAGGCCTTCAAGTTCATCGTCGTCTTCTGTGTCGTCTTCCTTGTCGTGCACTGGAACGTCATCCATAAGGCCTTCCAGGCCTTCATCGTCGTCTTCCTTGTCTTGCACTGGAACGTCATTCATGAGGCCTTCCAGGCCTTCGTTGTCATCCTTAGCACCCTCATTGTAACTTTCCTTGACGTATTTCTGGTCATCTTTGTCGTCCTTCCTCAGGCTTTCGTCGTCTTGTTCGTCTTCCTTGCTGATCTCTTGTTCGTGTCCTCGGTCGTTTTCCATCACATCTTTGTCTTTCTTCTTTGTCTTGCTTCTGACATCTCTGGGTGGCGGCTTGTGTTCTGCTTTGTATTTAACGCGCTTTACGGCCCGACGAATCCTGCGAATCTGCGTAGCATTCATGGTGGCCCATTCACTATCGGGAAAGATGGTGCCATGCTTTCTGGTGGGGATTGGTGTTGTCGGGTAGGCATCTACGACTTCCTTCGACGGATCAATCTTTTAGGTTCAACTTAGCCTCGTTAACCACTCGTATGTTTATGAGACTTACTTCGACAAGCGTTACTACGGAGGTGTTGCTCGAAGAGTGCCTCGCAATCTCGGAAGAGGTAGTCGAACTTCTCGAACGTGGACAGGGGATGTTAGTGATAAAGGAGGTATCTCCCTCATTGCTGGAAGAGACGAATTCGCCAAGAACACTACTCGGGAGCCTGATCGACGAGAAACGATAATCGCGAGTTGACACTGCTGGCTCCTCAGGCTTACGAGACCCTCTTGCGTCATCACCTGATGGTTTGGTACTGTGGTAGATCACGAAGGCCAGGTGGAAAGTTAAGACAAATGAATACAAGGAAATCTTTCCCAAAAGTTTGAACAACGCCTGCGGGATCTTAAATATGACCATTCCAACCGCAGCCAGCATGGCCGAGACGGTCATCTCCGTAGTCCGTCTTGGCCGCTCTATCAAAGACGCTGGCATGAGGATGATGTCGTCAGTCGCGATATTCCTCCTGGGTTTATCGAAATCGTAAAGGTCGGGTGGCGGATGACACGGCAAGAAGGCATGTAAATAGAAGCTATTATGCTTTGTTTGCTACGCCGCAACGCGTCTAGGTCACGTGCTTGAAAATCACTCAGATATTACATAATTTTTAAAATAATACAATGTGATGTTCACAGGGGTACTTAAACGTCAAGAGCGCCAGTGTCTCCGCTAGTTTCACTTTCCTCATCATCACTCCCAGACCACTGTCTACAGTCATCACACAACGACATGCGGCACGACGTGCAAAGCCGCTTCGAGCACCCCGAACACGAAAAGGCCGAATCCGACACACAGCGATCGCATACCTTCGCCTGACAACTCCCGCACGACGCGACAAATTTAGGACGTTCCATCATCACCCCGTCGTCCACATCCGACTCTTCTTCAGCGCAGTCATAGCAGAGGTGCGCGCGGTGGCACTCTTGACATTCATCGATATAAGAGCAAGAGCTGCAGAACGGCCGGTTGCAGCGCGGACAGCGAATGACGACCCCCGGACTATGCTCTGCGCAGAGGTCGCATGCCCATACTTCCTGACACAGACATGCCACACCACCGCTTGCGCACTCTGGGCAGATCGTTTTAGACCAACATAACGTGCTGTTGCAGTTCCGCCACCCGGGGAGCTCGCATTTCATGCAGCAACCGCGCTTCGGAGAGTGGACGCGTTCGGATTTGGCGTATGCGACGATCAGGTTAGGAAGTACGGACTTGCTCCCGGGTAAGCCAGGAATAAGCTGAATGTCGATGGGATGACCGTTACACGATGACATGTTCCTCGTGCAACACCACGATTTACACGCAGGACACTTTTCTATCTCCCCCGTGCACCCCCACTCCTCAAGACATGGGAAACATAACACCTCTTTTTCATGCCTGCTGCACCATGTGAGCGGGGGTTCAGAGGATCCTGGACAGTTATCCGACTCGCACGATGCGACCTGACAGCTGTTGCAGTGGATAAGATTGGAGTCGCATATAGAACATCGCGGAGAGCGTGTTCGTAAACAGGCGATGTCTATTATGTCACCAATAACCTCTTGTTGTAAAAGCCGTCTGTGGTATCTCTACAGCAGTTAATTCGTACTATGACAATGAATGAGTACGATCAGACCTTACCTTCGCCTGCACCTGTTTCCATATCCTACGTGCAAGGTCACACTCCTCCACTGGCCCGGGGTTGTTCAACTCACGAAAGGAGGTCGACCTCGCGAATACGAATTCATCAATGTCTGCTATGACCGAAACCGCAAGATCGCACGGGACGGGAATGCATATGTTCCGCGCCATATCAACGAACTGCAGAGGACTGGTGGTGACAACAAATTGTGTAACAGATTGCGTGGAGAGACGAAAATGGATCACAACACTCGATAGGTCAGGAGATCCTGGTTTTTCCTGCGACATCGCGTATCCGAGGGTCGCGATGTGTTTTCCTTCGTCAACTGAGGACGGCTCATTCGATGAGTCCAACATGCGGTAGACAGTTTGCATGACCCGAAATATGTACATGCGCATTGGATGATCATAGTCTTTCTCGCACGGTGAGATGATCGTCCAGGTAGGCATGCAGAGCAGGTGGATGAATGGGGTAGAAGAGGAACCAGGAACACAAGCTGCCACGAATATCAATAGGCGTCTGTTCATTGCGATTTCCTTTCCTAGCAACACGTCCGACTGGTATCGCCTAGGGATGCAAGTAAGAGGGTATGTTTGAAACAATTCTTACGAATAGGAGGATCATTTGACAGTCTTCTATGCATACGATCCAGACCTATTCCACGATGTTTATTTTTCTGGGCGTGCTTTTGTAGATGAGGCACTGCTATCCCGACCAAGTAGAACGCGGTGCTCTGAGTCCGAGTCGGAGCTTGTGAGTCACGAGGTGAGCCGCGATTACTATCAACGTACGCTAGGATGCCACACTAGAAGGTTGTTGGAAGGAGAGCATAATTTCTCCACGGCGGGATTGCTAGAGGCTTTTAGCTACACAAGTGAATGGCAAGCGCGGAAGTTTGTCCGACCCACATTCACATTATTGCAAGCAAATCTCCCTATAAAGAAACTGAGCTCAGACAGTCTATGTCCGTGTTCAATCATGCCAACAGTAAATACAGCAAAATGATGCAAGATGTCAAAGTAGTCATGGAGAGATAGGTAACAGGAGGTTACCGACTAAGATGTTCTCGACTACGGTCTATTGGCAATTGCCAGGGCCCAGTACTACTAAAGCCGACCATCACATCCCCACGAGTGCCATAGCCACCACTCCTGCACCCAAGCTTCCCAACGCAAGCGTCTGTTTCCAAACCTCGCTACGCCACAAAATCGGGTCCATTACGAAGTCTCCTGCAAGCATCTCGACACACGCGGCGTACATCAACATCCCTGCTGAAATTGCAGACATGATTCCTTGAATGAGGAGCATTTCCACTGTCGAGAGGTGAGGCTGCGTCAGAAAAGGTAACAAGGATGTGAAATATCACAGTGGGACGTACCGACGTCATGACCCCGCCTGAATGCCAAAAGACCAATTACAATGCCCACAGGGTTGGTAACTGCAAAAAGCACGATAAGGGTAGATCGTAAAATGGCCATATATTTAGTGCCTCCATCGTCCGACGAAGGAAGAGATGCTATCCGAATGCCAAGCGATAGCCCCTCAAAAAGCTGGTGAAAAATAATAGCCACGAGGAGTGACGCTGTAATAAAATTTGGACTCGATATCGATCAACGTAAGTGAATAAAGCTACGCACCAAACTCGGGGCCCTGAGTGATCGCTAGTGTTAGACCTATGATGACAGAATGTATCATGATGCCTAATTGCAACACCTAGAAAGCGAATTAATCCACGAAGACTTCGAGCAAGTGCAACGCTCACGAGAATGCCGACAATCTGCCTTTTCTTTCCGACTTGAACCTCTTTTATTTCAGAATCGAGCGTATGTGAATGCCCATGCTCAGCCTGCAGCACCCGGTCATGAACTATGTCAGTCACGATACCCTGTTCTAATTCTTCTGGGTCATATGATGACGACAACTTGAATCCGCGTTCATGGTGCGTATCATGGGAGCACCTAGCCTCATGTCTATGATGTCCTTCGAAGAAATAGGAATCGTGCCTGTGCGGCTGACTCGTAGACCCATACGAGAACGATCGCGTTCGTCGAGGGCTTTGTGGGGAATAAGAATGTACGAGATGCGTGCGCTCAGATTGGGAAGCAGAGCTTTCCAGTGGCTTAGGCGTATCGACGCGACGGGTAGGTGTCGTAGAGATGGGTGTCGATGCAGTTATCGGGGTAGTCGATCGTGGAGATGGAGTCGGTGAACCGTATGAATGGAGCCGGTCTACGTATGAAGTGGATACATCTGAGAGCCGATCAGTGAGCGCTCATTTTTGTGGCGATACAGGACACGCACATTCAATCAAGAAGATGGATAAAAGCGAGGCCAATCTATAGAATGGATATATTTGTTACAGAGAGAAGGCGGGAAATGACAGGGTGACGTACACGATGAGACCAGTAAAATCCCCTATCTTCGACTGTGAGCGTAGAATTGGGTTGTTCAAAGCCTCGAAGGAGTCTTGGAGGAGATGAACGAACGCTGTGGACAGGATGACACCTGGTGATATAATGATAATGTCAGAAACTGATATTCCAGACTGAGTGATATCTCACCTGTTCCAAAGTGTTTTCCAATAAAAAAGACGATGCGAGGGATTTGAAGAAACGTGAGGCGCTTCGAGAGCAAAGGAAATGATGATGCTAATAAACAGTAGCTAGTATCGCAAGATTCGGAGAGAGCAAGTGCTACTCATGAGGATACCAGTAACGTACCGACAAGAGATACAACAAAAATAATGCATATTGCGCTGATGCGCGAACCTACGAGTTCTACATTTGAATACATACCTGACACAGCGTCTGTGTTCATGCAGTGACGAGGATGGTGAGCTTATTTATGGTGAAGTGCCTAGACCTTGTCACGGTGCGTACCGTATTAGTATCCGATTGGCTGGTCACCAAAATGACAATACTAGTTCCCGCCGGATTGTGAGTTCGTCGTCGTTCGACGGTCGTGTTCAATGCAAGCCTCGTGGGTCGTGTTCTGCGCTTTCAAGCCTAGAGGCGTAGTAGGTGGGTAAGAAAATATTTGGCAGCGATGTGGCAAAGGCCGCCATGCCATGATTATTTCTAAGGTTCACTAGTTGGGGACCTCACCAGTCACCAACATAATTTACGTCACATGCACAGTACTAGTATTGATATTACCCGAACAGTACTCGGCACTCGAGCTGTCCTCAGGCCATGGCCTTTTAATTTTTCAAGAATATAACTCGCCTCAGCACCACTACCACTAGTACAGAGTTGCGTAAGATAAAGATGCCAGGAATGGCACTTTTCAGCGCTTTATCGACCATGTCGTTCCTTTAATTTGGCAGACGTGAGAGTCGGTGACATCCTATAACAGTGCATGTAACTTTTGTGGCGACCGTGTCCAATTGATACTGTGTAGGGAACAGTACTATTACATATCTCCTTCCTTCTTGAAAATCAGGGTGCTTGCCTCAAAGCCTGCTCAAAGTCCGCGATGATGTCGTTAATGTGTTCGATACCCACGGACACCTGCCCAAATAATCAGTCAAATTTGAACATTTCCATCAGAAGCATCACGCACCCGGATCAAATCAGGCGTGACCCCCGAAGACAGTTGCTCCTCATCACTCAGTTGTTGGTGCGTCGTCGACGCGGGGTGGATGACAAGGGTCTTGGCATCACCGACGTTCGCGAGATGACTAGCCAATTTCAGGCCGTCTACAACCGTGCTTGCCACGCTGACGTCGCCCCTGGCGCCGAAGCTGAGAACACCGCCAAAGGCGTTTGGGCGGAGAAGCTTCTTCGCCCTCTCGTGATAGGGGTGACTCTCTAGGCCAAGATAAGAAACCCACGCGACCTTCTCGTGTTTTGAAAGCCACCTAAGAACAATAAAAGTTTCCTCATGGATCAGTGCATGGCGGCTTACTGAGCGAGGGCTAAAGCGTTTTCGGAGTGTCTCTGAGCCCTCAAGCTAAGCGTTTCAATACCTTGGATGAGCAAGAATGCGGCGAATGGATTCAGGGCCGGACCCAAATCACGAAGGAGCTCGACGCGAAGCTTGGTAGCGAAAGCGACAGCACCGAATGTGTCGTGAAAGATCAAGCCATGGTATGCCTGGGACGGAGAAGTGAACGACGGGAACTTGCCGGAGCGTGCCCAGTTGAATTTGCCTGACAGAAAAGATGAGACATGCAGGTTGAAAGTGATCGCGGAGTGAACGTACCTGAATCGATGACAACACCTGCAATCGTCGTTCCATGACCTCCGATCCACTTGGTTGCACTGTGCACTGATGACCATACAGATCAGCCGCGGATCACCTACATGAGAGATATGCTCACCAACAATGTCTGCGCCCAAATCGATGGGTTTGATGAGGTATCCTCCAATTCCAAACGTATTGTCCACAATTAAGGGGATGCCGTGATCATGTGCAACCTATTGACTTAACATGAGCAGCGGTCCATCGACAATGATTAGTATGCGCACTTTTGCCAGCTCAGGAATGGGCGCAACGTTATACTTTGGATTACCAATGCTCTCGACGTAAATTGCCTTCGTGTTCTCATCGATTGCGGCTGCGAAAAGCGCTGGGTCATCGCCATTCACGAACTTCACACCGATACCAAACTTTTTGAACGTTACTGCACACCGTATGGGTCATGATATGGTAGGAAGACGCTGACAAACGAACCTTTGAACTGGTTGTATGTCTTCAACCTCATTAGTTAAAACAACAACCTCTCGACTCCCCAAAATAATAAACTTACCCCTCCGTAGAGATATGATCTGTTGCCAAGATGTCAATCGGGAATCTAGACCTGAAAGACTGGGCCTTACGTTGAGACGATGTTGTCGCCTGCACTGGCTATCGTGGATATGGCAAGGAATTGGGCAGACTGACCGGAGGCTGTTGCGACGGCTGCAACGCCACCTTCAAGGGCAGCCATTCGAGTCTCGAAGACATCCTACATGAATAGAGGTAGGTACTTGGCTGCAGGGAAGGATTGATGAAAGAATGACGTACGACAGTGGGGTTGCCAATACGAGAATATATGTGTCCAAAAGCCCTGTATAATGTCCCATCAAGTTCAATTCGCCTTCCTCAATGAAACTAACTTGAGGCTGCAAAGATCCGCGCCATGCTGAAGTGATGATAAGCCCCTAAATCAAATCATGGTGCAAAGTGACCAACTTGAAAGTTGTTAAAGACGAAACTCGTGGAGGCGTAAATAGGAACTGCGCGAGCATTGGTCGTAGGATCAGGAACCTGACCGGCGTGCAACTGCAGCGTCTCGAATTCCTGGGGCCTTCGACCAAAAGTTAACCACTGCGAAAAACCTTGAAATAAGACATGTGACTCACTTGTTTGCTTGAGCCATCGCAATTCGACGTTGGAATGGGAGATAAGTGGGTTTGCGTGCAGACTCCGACTACTCTGCTATAAATATGATATTCAAGGTTCTGAGTATCAGTGGTACATCATCACAAACATTGCTCAACTGTGATGAAACCTTACGGAAAGTTTAGGTCCAGTCTGAGGGTGTTCCAGCCGCCCGCCTAGATCCTAGGGGTGTTTAATTCCCAATCCAAGAGGCTCAGAAACACACGCGATAGAATGGGTTTGCCACATGCACGCGCTCACTGGAGACTGCACAGCGATGCGCATTAGGTATCAAAATATGCGGGATGTCGCCAGTGTGAATAGTATTGAGAACGGTACTACTGGTCACCCAGAGCTGCTTACTACTATAAAAATGGACAACTAAAGTACATCGCACGCGAAGGGAACGACGCAGGCGGCAGCGGGAGGAAGAAAACAATAGGGTGGCTGTAAGTAGATCGCTCGACAAAAGTACATCATTTTACTTATAATCTTACTTAATCAACTTGGCCGTATTTGTTTCCTCTCTCATGCATCACTCACCTGGTAAATTTTGAGCGATTTCATTCCTTTAATTCGGCAAATCAGTGAGAGTCGGTAAGACTCTATAACAATGCATGTAACTTTTTTGACAGCCGTGTCCAAATGATACTATGTAGGGAACAGTACTATTACATATCTCTTTCCTTCTTGAAAATCAGGGTGCTTGCCTCAAAGCCTGCTCAAAGTCGGCGATGATGTCGTTAATGTGTTCGATGCCCACGGACACCTGCCCAAATAATCAGTCAAATTTGAACATTTCCATCAGAAGCATGACTCACTCGGATCAAATCAGGCGTGACCCCTGAAGACAGCTGTTCCTCATCACTGAGCTGTTGGTGCGTCGTCGACGCAGGGTGGATGACGAGGGTCTTGGCATCACCGACGTTTGCGAGATTACTAGCCAATTTCAGGCCGTCTACAACCGTGCTTGCCACGCTAAGTTCGCCCCTGACGCCGAAGCTGAGAACACCGCCAAAGGCGTTTGGGCGGAGAAGCTTCTTCGCCCTCTCGTGATAGGGGTGACTCTCTAGGCCAAGATAAGAAACCCATGCGACCTTCTCGTGTTTTGACAGCCACCTAAAAACAATATAAGTTTCCTCACGGATCAATGCATGACAACTTACTGAGCAAGCGCTAAAGTGTTTTCGGAGTGTCTCTGAGCCCTCAAGCTAAGCGTTTCAATACCTTGAATGAGCAAGAATGCGGCGAATGGGTTCAAGGCCGGACCCAAATCACGGAGGAGCTCGACGCGAAGCTTGATAGCGAAAGCGATAGCACCGAATGTGTCGTGAAAGATCAAGCCATGGTATCCCTCGGAGGGAGAAGTGAACGACGGGAACTTGCCGGAGCGTGCCCAGTTGAATTTGCCTGACAGAAAAGATGAGTCATGCAGATTGAAAGCGATCGTGAAGTGAACGCACCCGAATCGATGACAATACCTGCAATCGTCGTTCCATGACCTCCGATCCACTTGGTTGCACTGTGCACTGATGACCATACAGATGAGCTGCGGATCACCTACGTGAGGGATATGCTCACAAACAATGTCTGCGCCCAAATCGATGGGTCGGATGAGGTATCCTCCAATTCCAAACGTATTGTCCACAATTAAGGGGATGCCGTGATCATGTGCAACCTATTGACTTAACATGAGCAGCGGTCCATTGACGATGATTAGCATGCGCACTTTCGCCAGCTCAGGAATGGGCGCAACGTTATACTTTGGGTTACCAATGCTCTCGACGAAAATTGCCTTGGTGTTCTCATCGATTGCTGCTGCGAAAAGCGCCGGATCATCGCCATCCACGAACTTCACGCCGATACCAAACTTTTTGAACGTTACTGCACACCGTATGAGTCATAATACTGGTAAGACACTGACAAACGAACCTTTGAACTGGTTGTATGTCTTCAAGCGACCACATTAGTTAAAATAATACCTCGACCCCAAAAAATAATAGACTTACCCCTCCATAAAGATATGACCTGTTGCCAAGATGTCAATCGGGGATCTGGACCTGAAAGATGGGCCTTACGTTGAAACGATGTTGTCGCCTGCACTGGCTATGGTGGAAATAGCAAGGAATTGGGCAGACTGTCCGGAGGCTGTTGCGACGGCCGCAACGCCACCTTCAAGGGCAGCCATTCGAGTCTCGAAGACATCCTGTATGAATAGAAGTATTTGGTTGTAGAGGGATCGATGAAAGAATCACGTACGACAGTGGGGTTGCCAATACGAGAATATATGTGTCCAAAAGCCCTGTATGATGTTCCATTAAGTTCAATTCGCTTGTCATACTCGATGAAACTGACTTGAGACCGAAAAGCTCTGCGCCATGCTGAAGTTGTGATGAGCCCCTAAATCAAATCTTGGTGCAAAGTGACGAACGTTAGAGTCGTTAAAGACGAAGCTCGTGGAGGCGTAAATAGGAACTGCGCGAGCATTGGTTGTAGGATCAGGAACTTGACCAGCATGCAACTGCAGCGTCTCGAATTCCTGGGGCCTTTGACCAAAAGTTAAGGACTGGGAAAGACATTGAAACGAGAAACGGCACTCACTTGTTTGCTTGAGCCATCACAATTTGATGTTGGAATGGGAGATAAGTGGGATTGCGTGCAGACTCCGACTGCCCTATTATAAATATGATATTCAAGGTTCTGAGTATCGCGGTGTGTCAGAAAATATAGGAATGACGATCAATCACGCAAGTATATTACTACATCACGAGTTCAAGCTCAAGTATAACCCTGGCCGAGGAATTAAGACAACATGTGAGAGAGAATTTGGATCATTGGAGCTACAGAGTGGAAGAACCACGGACCGATAGGCACGGAAGCTGTTGAACTCGTGAGTCTTGTGACTCTCTACTCCCAAGGTCGGTAGCTCCGAGTCCAACTTGAGTTCAGGCCTCATCAATGGTAAATCAGATAGCAGAGCCCTAACGTCGATGGGCCTTCCTTGGCTTCTATAGAAGGCTGTTCAGGAGAGATGGATCTTCTGTTGGAATGCCAAGTTCTCCCATCGGAGGATATGTCTGTATCTTGACGGAAGTTGACCCACATCCATAGCTAGTACATACCAATCATATTCCCTGCAGCTAAACTGATCATCCATTGGCAGTATCGATTGGTGTGACTTGCAGAGGCAGAGAGGTTTCAGATCGGCGTACACTCGCGCACGGCCCTTTCCGCTTGACGTGATATACATACCCGTGGCGCCAATGTGATGCTTCTGAATCATTACCGTTGATATTCTAACGTTAAATTGTATTGGTTCAACCCGCCGCTCTATCTGAATCCACGTCTTAGTAGTCTGCCGCTTCGTTAACTCCGGCCCAGCTGCTTTAATTCAAGTAGCTAATACTGCGGCATGCCCTACCTCTTCGCAAGCTCCTCGTGATAAAGCATTTCCTGGATGTCCTCTAACAAGCGACCATTATGGGCTAATGCATAGGCAGAGCCCTTTTTATGGATAAGTTTTCCTGAAGCACACGCTTCTTATATCAACCAACATCTTGGCAATCGTCCCTGCACTATGAACCGATAAGCAACCCGATTGAAATGGAAGATTTTCCACCGCACCATACGTAGACCAACATGCAAAAGGTGTCTTCACCTCCTGATCCCGTACCCGCCCTCCTCAACGAGTAAGCTAGGCTGGGTCGAGAGTAGTGCTTATGGAGTTACAGGGATGTGATCTGGCCAGATGTCGCGAGCGAAGAACTTTTCGTGTCCACCGAGGGAGGCCTCGCTAAGAAGACGTGGGTGCTAACTGATCAGCATGTTACACTTGATATCTGACTACATTGTCTCAAAGATCCAATACCATCGGTGTCTCTCCAGGGTCTACTGGTGCGGAAGAACACGGCCAAGATACCGTTAATTCGAAGTTCTGAACGACATACAAGAAAATTTCGGACGAGTATGATGACGACTTCTTGGCCCGGGCGAATGATGATATGGGCGTTGTCCTCACTTTTGTGCGTTCGTTTCAATGTATTTAAATGCCAATCTAACAAGGTGCATCAGGCTGGTCTACTATCAGCTGTCAACTCTTCATTCATCGGCAGCATGCAACCCGACCCTGGAGATACTACGAATGTCTTCATGCTAAAGTTGGTCCAAATTACTGCCGAATAGCTGGGACAACGCTTCACATCGGGCCAATGTACGCACCCCTCTGAGAACAGTGGTTGTCCATGGACTGGACCAAAGACTTTCACTTCCGTATAGCGAGGAATTAACTTGGAATGGTGTCCTGCAGTGGTCTCACAATAACGGGAATAAGCCCCACCCTGAAGAATTCGACTGGCTTGTTGATTATCTGGGGAATAAAGCGGGCGAGGGCTTTGAATCGGAAGGAGATGCTTTGCTTGCATTGAGCGCCACGCATGGACTATGGAGTTCTGCCAGTTTATCAATGCGCTCATTCGTTGTATGGACGAAGACAACGACGACAACAAATATAAACCCTCCTGAGTCCTGTATGCCGCACTGAGACTTGTTTCGGACACTCGAAAAGAACTTGCGGCTATTACAAACGACTCAATGCCACAGGGTATCAATGCAAATCTCCTGGATTCGCTTTGTCGCACTCTTTTCGCTGCCGTATGTCCAAATCATCAGACAAATCATAACAATGAATCCGACGTCCCTTTCCACGAGGAACGAGACGGCCGCTACATCAGCATCATATTTTGCTTGGCAAAGAACGGGGGGTTGGCGTCAATGTCTGATCCGTGATGGCCCCGGCGGTGTATTGATCTACTAGTAGTTGACAAAGTTAATCAGAGGAAGTATGGTGGATCTTTGGTGACGGTTCGATTTGCCGTGTTGCCGCGTATATTTTCAAAGTCCGTTGTGTGTACTGTTGTATTTACTTTTGTATTTACCAAGATCATCCCAAATGTCACGGTCACCACGTTGGGCAGCGCTGAATATACCATCTGCATATCTAATTTCCAAATAACGGATCAACGTTCTGAATATACCTTCTACTTGTCTAATTCTAATCACGGTTCAACGTTAACGTTCAACTTCCGCCGCTCGATACCAACATTAGTTCTGCCGCTGTTTGCAGAGGTACTTGATAGCAGTCAGGAATCAGTGGTAACGGCATCGAGTGAAATTTAACATGGCTAGTAGCTGTTGTGCTGCCCAGGCATTTCTGTCACGACGACGCGACTTTCTGCACTACTTACCATTCACCATCCCCTAACTAACTAAGATGGCCAGAACCCGAACCGGACGGAGTGAACAGTCAATGATCTGAGGACGGAAGCTTCGAAACTGTTCATTGGACTCGGAAGGAAGAGGATCCAGGACCAGAAGGTCTCAGACTGTAACCAAGGACCTCCTCAAACCCGCGGACGAGTTTTTAGCGACGATGTTTAAATGGATGGTCCAAAACCATCTGTCTCTCCTGCTGAATTACTTTCACAGATGCCGAATACACTTGGAAAGAACGGTCGAGTTCCTGCCCGTAAGTAGCATATCTGTGCTAGTAGTTCATTCCCAGCTGATTTTCGCTTATTCAAGCTCCTGATGATCTCATCAGGCCGATTATTGAGGATTTCGTGGCGAAGGGGTACAGTAACACCGAAATCGTTTCCCGCCTACGCAAATACTATGATACTGATGCATACAATGTTTCGTGAGTTCTTTTTTTTCTAGCTGAAAGCATGCTTAATACATGACCTAGGATTGACCTCCTGAAAAAGCGGCGCTCTCAGTGGGGGCTGAAGTCCGCTCGTGGGCAAGCCCATACCATAGCAAGTATTGGTCCTGCAATCGAGCGAGTGCGAGCACGCTTCCCAAAGCAGGGTTCGCATGACATGAGGCAAACCCTCATACACGAAGAAAAGATTACCGTGTCAAGGTGTGTTTTCTTTATTCATATTTCTGTATTGACGCATAGTATTTTGGGAAAAGAAAGTTGATTCTTCGCTACATGAATCTCCACCATCAGGCAGATGTTCAAGCTCGCAAGAGTCGACGCCTGAAGAGGAGTGTTTACTGGACCGCAGGCGTCAATGATATTTGGGTATTTGATCAACACGACAAGTGGCGCCGGTTTCAGCTCTTCCTGCATGTTGCGATCGAGCCATTCTCAGGACGCATACTTTGGATCAAGATCTGGTGGACCAACCGTAACCCCCGTCTTATTTGTGGATGGTACTGTGATACTGTACAAGCCCTTGGTGGTGAGCACGACTATCTCGCTACACTTGCCAACTGAAACATGGTTTTACTAGCTATGCCCCTTGTAACCCAGAGTGACCCTGGAAGTGAAAATAATGGCATTGCCAATGGTCACACCTTACTTCGTCATATGCAAGATCCAGCTCTTGCCCGCACTTTACAACACAAATTCAAGGGCCAACATCGCAACATCAAGCCCGAAATATTTTGGAGCCAGTTACGACGACGCTGGACTCCAGGATTCGAAGATATTCTAGAATATGGCTTCACCACAGGAATCTATAATCCTGATGACGCCTTGGAAAGGTAGCAGTACCATATTGATTTCCTTCTTTCTCGCTGAGCACTAAGCATCAAGTATTCAAGGCTCGTTTTTCATTATATATTTATTCCATGGCTCCAGCATGAGCTCGATCTCTTTGCAGAAAGGTTCAATCATGTCAAACCTCGCCATAATATCCACAAGATCCTTCCGCACGGTCGTCCAAACGACATATTCTACCATGCCGAAGAATATGATTCTTGTGACTTCTCAGTAAGTACTAGCTATCTTTGTGTCTCGTCGATTGATTGAAAGGTACATTCTTCCTAGGTGAAAGTTGACCATTCTTCACTTGATGCTATGCGACAGATATACGCTCCTCCGGACCACCCTGTCTTTCTCCTCCTAGTTCCGCAAGAGTTTTCTCAACAAGCCTCCATATTCATGGCGGAGCTTGGATCACCTCCGGTAACTGGGGACAATGTCTGGAATGTCTATGCTGACCTTCTGATGTGTTTCCAATCAATTGAATGGGATGAAGGGATTCGCAAACTTCTTGCGGCGCAACTCCCACTTCCTTGTGATGGGGACAACCTTATTGGCTCCGAGGACTTACCTATTGTAGATTTTCCGCCGTTTGTTGAAGGTAGTGGTCCGGGCAGTGATATGGGCATTGAGAAGATCTCAGATGATCTCAGATGAGGAGTCAGATGATGCAGAGTCGGATTTCTATGAGTTTGATTGGACTGATGATGAGCTGGCATATACGTTTGTCGATCAGATGCTCAAGACAGGCAAAGTGCGGAAAGATGTTGAGAAACTGGTGCCACGTCTTAGACTTGTTCGTGCATCACTTGTCATTCCTGTTGACATTGACGACAGCGACTCTCGCGCCAATTATCTTATTGAAGAGAGGATTAGCGGTACATTTGTTAAGTATATTAACAACAATTCGGCTGTTCCAGCTCGTATCCTGGACAGCAAAGAAGCAGAAATCGGACTATTCCTGTGCTTCGTGCAACACATCCAGTATCGTCTCTCCAATGAGATGGTCTACCTCTCTGATTTTCAGGGTTAGTTTGGTTGTGCAGTCATCGTTCGACAAACTTACTGACTGTATCTTGACCTAGGCTCCGGTGATCTTCTTACTGACTGTCAAGTCATAACGGGCTCGTGAGTTGATGCTGAGCTGGTCTGTCTTATTGGTTGACTGACATGAACTAGAGACTTTGTGAATAATTTTGGCGACGGAAACTGCACAGCTGCTTTCAAGAACTTCCGATCTGAACACCAGTGCAACCAATTTTGCCGTGCCTTCGGTTTGCAAGCATTATCGTAGTCTTGATAGGAAGACGGAAATCGCGTCGTCGTGACGGAAACACCTGGGCAGCACGATGTTACTAGTCACATATTGAATTTCACTTGATGTTGTGCTATAAAGTACCTCTGCAAACAGCGGCAGAGCAAATGTTGGCATTAACGTTGAATATTTGAATGTCGAACGGCGGAAATTGAACGTTGATCGATCATCGATCATCGATGATCCGTTATTTAGAAATTAGACATGCAGATGGTATATTCAGCGCTGCCCAACGTGGTGACCGTGACATTTGGGATGATCTTGGTAAATACAAAAGTAAATACAACAGTACACACAACGGACTTTGAAAATATACGCGGCAACACGGCAAATCGAACCGTCACCAAAGATCCACCATAGAGGAAGAGCTGGATGCCGAAACCCCACCCTTCTGAAACCTACCTTCCAGGATTCTACCTTCTTTGATCATCGGGAGCATCAATCCTATATGCAAGGATATCATTCTCACCTCTACCGAGAAGACGTCGCTCAGACTATTGATCAATAAAATGTGGCACGCTCGCATTGATACGGACGATGACGACTACGTTGATGCAATACCAGTATGTGCGGAGAGCTAAATGCGAATTATCAACGCTGTATGAAATTTTGCCGAGGGAATGTATATAGATGTGCCAGTGGGTATTGATTGATACATAGATGGATTCCGTGACTTGGCGCCAGATGTGGAGGTGAAGTGAAAAAGTATGTTGGACATGGTGTGGAAATACTGAGGCCAGTGCGAGACGACGAATGCGTGAAATGAGGTGGTAGCGCGTGCACAGGCTGGGAGAACTGGAGGTTACAGGAAGTTCTGATGTCCAGCCCAGCTCTCACTCATGTTGAGTCGGACGTCCTGGGAGGTCCGTAGGCAGAGATGTTGCTGACTGACGCGTGGGACACGCGTCACGCGGCCGCAGCGGCGTAGACCTTGCGGTCGCTGTTGTAGTCAACAAGCCGCAGACTAAGTGTTGTTTAGTGCTGATAGGCTGTGTCCGTTATTGCCGGCGTCACTGCCTGATTCGCCACTAACCTTTCTAAAGAAATCGTTACCGCTCTATCTCGATCATGCGGTGTCATCCCAGACTCGGAGTCTCTGATTGCGGTTTCACATAAATACCAGGCCAGAGGCAGTCACTTCACTATCAACTTCATCATGGTCAACACAATTCCTCCCGCCAATCCAATCCCTGTTTCACCATCCTCTGCTGAGGTTCTGGCACGCCTCTTTCCTACACCAGCGCCCCCTCCATCAGTCCTTGCACCAGCCCGTCTACCAAATGCCGGTCCAGGGCCGACTGCTGCACTGCTGAAGACGCTCAAAGATAATCACGAGCGCAGCCATGTCTTCTTCAACTACTACAGTTTTCACAAGTATGTGCTCATAAGATGACGTAGCAGAACAACCCTGACACTGCATTCAGCCATGCAGCCCACCACTTGTTAGCCATTTGGGCTCTTGGCGCATCTGGACCTTTGATCACAGCTGCATATGAGGACACTCACCTCGACCATATGCGCGATGCCTTCCAGGCACCTGACCGTGTAGTAATTTCAGATGACAACTTCCATGACTACCTCGGCGACGAAAAGTAAGCCTGAATACCTCCTACATCTCAGTCGAAATAACTCACAAACGCGACCCAGTTATTATAATGCATACCTGGACTATTACCACAAAGTAGTTCTCGCCCCGGGTGCCACCATCTCAAGCACCCTTGAAAAGTACATTTTCTCTTCGGAGTACAACATCAACGATTCTCTCGCATCGGGAAAGCAGCAGCCTGAAATGCTTAACCGTTTCGTGGAAATTCTCATCCATCCCCTTATTCACACCGGCTACGGTGCAGAATTCGGACTTCCTGGTATGCTGGCTGAAGGTCTCGCTCAGGCGAGCGTTCATCCTGCACGAGCAACCGTCTTAGTCTCTCGTTTACTTTTCCCTGGAAACCCGGACTCTCAGTACAGGCCCAAATCGCACGTGCATGCGCTCTCAATCCTCTCGCAGATGCTTGTCGATAGCCGTTTCTGGACGCGTAGCCTCGAAAAGCATGAATTCGAGGCTATGCTCGTGTCGCACGGCGAGCTCATCAACTCTTACGCAGAGATGTGGACATGCGAGATCAACAGCCAGGAAGATTTCAATCGCCACCTCGAGGAGCTTGTATGGGCAAGCACTTTGATGTACGGCGTCAGTAGCTGGGACGGCGAGGACAAGGAGTACCGTGCAGATTTCTTCACCATGCACATCGTCACTGCATGCCTCTTCCTCCCGTCTCTTTGTGCCCACCTTTCATACCGAAGCCAGTCTCTACTCCTACGTGCACACTTCCTCGCGGGCATCACTTGGTGGCTCGTTCGTGGACGCCCTGCTCTCCCCCTGCGCAAGTTCTTCGCTGCACCACTTGCGCCCCTCCCTTCCCCAGCGCACTTCAAGTACCCAACCACGTTCCCTGGCGTTCTACCCCAGCCAGCAGCATGTACACTACTCGGCGGGGATAGTCCACATGCGGTGACACCCAACGTATGGTACCCCCTTTTACAGAACACAATCGTACACCCAAATGAGCATCTCTGCAAGTGCCAGCGTGCGCTTGCGCACTTTGCCATACTGTACGGACACCGTGAGGCCGGCTTCATGTCGGAGGCACTGTCCTCAAGTCCGGCAATCAGTTGTCCTGACACACCACTGTTGCCTGGTGGCCTTGAACTCGCAAAGGATGAGTGCAAGGCGCTCGAAGCTCCGGAGTGGGAGTTCCTTGATGGGAGCGTATTCTTGCGCGTAGCTTGGTTGACTGGTGCTGCCCTTGGATGGGTGAGGGATGGCGAACCGAACACAGGTGCCTGGGATTACCAGGAGTTTGAGAGAGTGGCTTTGGAGAGAGATGAGCTTGAAGCTAAGATAAATGCATAGGCGATGGGGACATGTATCCGAAGTAACCGGTTTCTTTTTGTTTGACTCCCATCTCAGCTGATAATATACACGTAACTATCCCTTATAACATATACAGAATCCCTGATGTCTGTCTTGAAATGACACGAAACGACTTTTGGATCTGACATGACACCGAAACCTGGCCGCATCACTGGTCACGTGAGTCAAAGTCAAAACGTCACCGATGACACCAACTAGCTATATAAGCCCCTTTTCCGTTTCTAGCACTAACTACGATGTCCTCAGAACTCGACACTACCGCTAACAGACCATTCCATCGACCTGGTGACGAACCTTTCCAACACCCAGTTGGACATATGCATGCTCACGGTCTAGCGCAATATTCTCCTGAGGCAGCGGAAGCGTTTTCGTTCCCTTCCAAGCCTGAGTCAAAGCACAATGTGTCACCTCTTTTGTTCCAGACCCCGCAACCGCCTCTATCTTCCGTATGCCCCCAGCGCTGGCCAGGAATAGACGCAGACAGCACCAAGATGCTTTTGAAAGTGTTAGAGGACAATCATTCGAGGTGGCATATATTCTTCAATTACAAGGGATTTCATAAGTGCGCTCCGTTCCAAGCGTATATGTATGTTGGACACTAACTTCGTGTGAAGCCATGCGGCCCATCATCTTCTCGCGATCTGGGCGATGGGCGCAAGCGCCAAGATCATATTTTCTGCTTATGAAACTCATTGCGTGTATCAGCGGCCTGCGTTTGACTCACCAAGCCGTATCACACGCCATAATTTCAATGAGCACCTTGGCGACGAACGGTGAGTGATGTTCAACAGCATCGTTTGTTAATTACTGAATTTGTCCAAGCTTTTATTCAGCTTACTCGGATTTTTTTGCCCTTGAACTCGGGAAGAAAGGGTTTGCTCGCACCTTTGAGGAATATGTATTTGCTCCTTCTGCCAATTACCTAGCAGAACCACCTCCGGAAGGTGATGGTAATCCGGAGATGCTGTCTCGCTTCATTGGTGGATTGCTCCACCCTCTGATTCACGCCGGTTATGGCGCAGAGTTTGGATTGCTAGGCATGTCAGCAGAAGGTAGAGTTAACATTTATTTCACGCATTGTGCTGGTTCTTACCTGCAGAAAGGTCTGGCTATGACTGCTATACATCCTGCGAAGATGCATGCACTTCTTCCACCTTCGGATTTCAGTTCTCCTTTGAAATCTGGAACCATGCATGCCCTATCAATTCTCGCACTTGTCGCTAAGGATGAACGATTCGAGCACGTCAAAATGATGGACGATTTAGACATGCTTACGATGACCGTCTCATCTTACGACGAGGCACTTCGAGCGTACGCTGAAATGTGGGAATTCGATGTAGCAAATAAGGAGGGCGTCGCAAAAGCGGTAGAGGAACTTGCTTGGTTCAACTCGATAATTTATGGAGTAGGGGGCATGGCTAAGGATACATTCAGCGCTGATTTCTTCTTGATGCACCTTGCCACTTCCACCCTTTTCCTCCCGTCCCTCGTAACTTCGCTCTATCAAAACCCCCGTGCCCAAGCCTTGCTGCTGCGTTCCTTCTTCGCAGTGAGCCTGGCGCGCTACTTGTCGCGGGGACGCCCCACCCTCGATATCACCAAGTTTTATAGTGACACATCACGGCTTTTGCCTTCTAGTGGTCTGGACGTCATCCCGGGTCCGCAGCCTTCACCTTTCGAGAACACACTTCCCGACAAGAATTCTCCTGAAGCGCGGACGCCAAATTCCTGGTTATCCATAATACAGACTACGCTCGTGCATCCCTAACGAGCATTTGTGCAAGGTGCAGCGGGCACTCGACGCATTTTGCATCATTGTACTGGCTTGCGAGGACAGGGATGGTTCAGCCACCCGCAAAGAAGCGAGCGTAGCCACAGATAACAGTAAGCTCGAAGATGCTGAGCGCGACATGGGACTTGGAAAGTTGGATGGAACGTTGTTCCTTCGCGTGGCTATGCTTACTGCGCACACGCTTGGTTGGATGAGAGAGGGTCCAGCGCGAGGAGGGGTGGGATTATGAAGGATTTTATGACAAGTGAAGCGAGGACGTGAAACACTTCGAGATTGTAGTGTACAATAGTGGTACAAGGGTGAGTGCTATGTCTTGTTATTCTGAACTTCCAGGTGCAAATAATACGTGTGTGATGTTGTACATGTGCTAATATATAATGCGTGCAAATAATTGAGGGATATTGTATCATGCATGACGTGATGATTCGGAAGAATACATGCAGCAACCTGAAATAGCTGCGAGCTCTTGTTTGATTTGGGTCATGGTGGGTCGCAAGAACGGTACTGGGCTCCAACACCTATCAAGGAGTTTCCGGAAGTGGTCCACCTCCTTCTCCGGAAGCTGGAGTTTCATGGGAGTGCATCCACGGGAGGGTTTCACGCCCCTCATGATGTCGAAGATGACTGCAGTATCGTTACTCCTATGCGAGAAAGGAAGTGATCCGGTTGCAACCTGCAGAACGTTGTCAACGGACGGAGACAAACAGACAGATGGACGAGCCAACCTCGAGACAAACGCATGCAAAAGCGTATACGTCGCTGCTAGTGGATATCGGAGGCGGCTGAGCATCATCATCATTGGTGAGCGCTTCGATGAGTTCAGGCGCCATCCAACGAGTTGAACCAGCGAAGAGCGATGTTGCGAAACGACTGTTCCGCATGCTGGGCTCGGATTCAAGGACCTCCTCGATGACATTTGACAAACCAAAGTCTGTCAAGAGAGCTTGACCATCGTCGCCGATAAGGATATTGGACTAGATCCAAAGCGTAAATGTCAAGTCCGAAGAGCATGAATGAAGACAAACTTACGCCTTTGAGGTCGCGGTGGATAACGACTGGCTGGCAATTGTGCAAATAGCTGACTGCCGAAGCTATTTGCTGGATCTGTTACACCTCGTGTAAGGGGGTACTGTGTCACCTGTATATCGCCTGACTTACTAATGCAAATCGATCTGCTTCGGGATTCATTTCCAGATAACGTGTCAATGTACCGTTATTGCACCAAGGGGAGACCATGGCTATGGAGTTAGGAGACTGGGCAACGCCATAGAGCTGCGCAATATTTGAGTGACGCAGGCGGTGCCAGGCAACAACCTCTGATTTAAGTCGCTGTCATGCTTCATTAATGCACGAGTAAACGGATTTGGAGATGTGCACGCACCAGCATCAGCTTCTCCTTGATTTCGTCTGTCACGTGCATGTACTGGCGAAGGTATTTGAGTGCGACCTATCAATCCACTACTAAGATACTGAATTGGGAAGAAGACAAAATGCTTCTTACTGGTCGTGTCCCATAGTGGGAATGTGTCCAGACTCCCTTCCAAACGTCGGCGAAGGAACCGCCAGATACAGGTGCGTCGCCTACTTTTTCAACCTCGTCTGTGAGGTCAACAAGTAACACGCTGCCTTTCACGACCAGGGTCTTCGTTAATTGCTCTAACGTTGCCTTTTGCCTAGCACGTTGCTTCAGCCGCGAGTAGTCCAGGTGCTCGGTCACCCAACGGAAGCTATCGTAATGCGCAATAGCTTGGGTGATAGAAGTGAGGGAAGAGAAGTACAACCGGGCTGGGTGTCGTTGGAGAAGGGAAGCGTTACGAAGGTGCACGTCGGCCGGTGACTCAATGTCGACGTCAATCCAAGCAGCAGCGGCTCCCATAACTTGGTTTCCTACGCTTGAACCATGCGGCTGAGGCTCCTCGCGTTGTGTGCCGAGCACGTAGAGAGCAATGGTAGGCATGATTGGGAATAGCAGATGAGCCGATGAGCTAGTGAAGCCATGTGTTCAACATGGCCTGATATATAACGGTTTCTTAGACTCACGGATCCCCAGCAAACTCCTCATCGAGGGTGGCGAAGCATGAATCAGGGAGCACAAACTGTTGACCTTCGGACGCCAGACCTATACAGATCTCGGCATCGCAGAACCTCCAGCAGTCAAGACCCTCAAAGTGACGGAACACCTTCTTGTCGTTGTTCTCGTGCTGCAGGAAAGCATGGAAACCCCCCAACGTAGCACGTCTCCGAACCCGATGCCATGCATGTCTAGCGTTAACGACCGCACCACTGCCAGTGATGACACGTGTCGTCAAGCTGGCAACCGTCTTCGCGTACTTGTCACTGTTTCGATACCGTAAGAATACGAAGAACCGGAGCAATGCGTCTCGGGAGTGTCTTGAAATCGGCAGCTCGAGCCTCGTGTCCGGTCGTGATTCCCCAGAGTGTGAAGAGCGGATCTTTGATATCAATTCACTAAGGATCCGCTCCACTTCGTTTTCCAGACGGGTGAAGGCCTGTTCCGCGGTGCGCAAGACAGACCGGCAACCTTCATCCAAAGATGGGATGTCAAAATTATGGAAGATTGTCTGAACTTGCTCGGGAACACGACGCGTTTCAGTGAGCTCGTTGTCGTAGATGTCATATGTATGGACGCGGTGATCGTCGAGGGTGTGCTTCAATGGATCGCTATGTATGTATCTCCTGTTAACGACAAACTTGGGGTCATTGATGAATCACTCACGCATCAGACAACCAAAACCGCCAGAAGAACTGGGGAACGTAAGGTGTCACTCCGATAGTTTCATTGGGGATCTGTATCAAAGAGATCATCACATCTCCCATCAGTGAGAAAGGTGCACACCGTACCATTGAACTATGCTAGTCAGGGAATTTTACAGGAATCACTCAACCGCCTACTAGTGACAAGGTGTCCCAAAGGTTGGAGGTTGTCCACACAAACAGCCAGGTTTGTGTAAGGGCTGCAGACAGACTCTTCAAGGTAAACGGCCGTCGAGTCAACCGTGGACCGTCCCAGACCGTCTCTTGTGGGCGAATAAGTGCAAGAGAAGTATCGCTGTGCATGGTGGAGTGTGTCATATTTAAATAAACGTCTTGACGTGAGCCCTCAGCTATGCGGCATGGGCGCTGAGTAGGAAATTACGCGTGACCATGATCTTGACACAAAATGCGGGGAATAGTATGCGGTGCCATTCGACGTGGCACTTACTCAAGAGAGTCACCGTCAACTTTCTAGCTAAAACTGATGGTTATTACGTACAGCCTAAGTGGAGCACCGGCTAGTACCGGAAGCTCAACCATTACTTGGGTTCCGATATTGATGTGGAAAAACCAGTTCAGCCAAGTTCATCAGAACTCCTCGGAAGTCCCTGAAGCTCCCAGGGCACACAAAGCTATACCTAGTACTTCAAGTTTCTTATGGGCGAAGTGGTCCTTCTCTCCCATAACAACTTTTTTTTGAAATTGAGTACTGAGTACCAAACCAGATTTGAACTTTGTGATTCAGAAATACCACCGTCACCAGGTTGTGTAGACGTCATCAGACAGTTATGAATGAAAATTGAGCTAGTAAACTTGTAGTAAATCATGCATAATAGCACATACACACGGTGGCCGCATACTCCATACTTGGAAGAAAAATATCAAAAAACGTGCTCGCTAAGGCTTAATGCTGTACGACAGCGTGTGTTGGGGAAGTCATCAACGGAGCGCCCGCTTAATCGATTGTGCAGTGGTGCTATTACGGAGGACCCTCCATCCGAGCCACAGAAGACAGACGAACCCCGCGTAGCACATGATGTCATCATGGTCTCGGGACCAATCGCGACGTGGAGAGGCCGTAGAACGGATCATCAGAGAAGGCGTTGAACCTATAGTGTTGACCTTCCAGGGTATCTGGCGTGCATGGAAGCGTAGGGGTACGGGTCAGTGGCATGGAGCCCACATGACCGCGTGCATCTTCAGAATGTCTTTCATTATTGAGGGCCTCACACGGCGACATGTTGTCACGAGCATCGTCGGACATATCGTCGAAGGCGGAGGAATTCCCTTGCGAGGCATCGTCTGCAATGACATCATGATAGCTGCAACGTGAAGTCGTAAGTGGTCAAGCGCCTCTTTGTATGAAGAGGCACTGACCGGGACTTTTGACGCTCCTGTATGACTCGTGGCTTCACTTTGCTTACTGCCTTGTTGATATACCACATTGCAACAACAGTCACCAGAAGTGTGATAGCACCAACTACATCAGCAATAATCTTCCTAGTGGAACCGGTAGATGCTGTGAAGTATGTGAGCAGGTGCGACATAATGGACAAAACAGGTAACGACTCACGCTTTGGGTCACTCTCAAGCATCGCACCAATGTAAACAGTAATGAATTGTTTCGGAAGAGAGAGTACAGCCGCCAGCATGAATGTAGATATCCCCATTCCACACACTGAGAATATGGCTGTCGTCACTGAGAATAGCAAATATTAACGAATGACGTATGCGTATAATAGAAACTTACGGTGCCCTGGAATAGCACTGTAACGCGCGACCAACGCGACTTTGAAACCGCGTTCACGGATCACCTTGCACAGGGCGGCATACATGACACTGTCTTTTTGCAACTTATCTCCGCGAGCTTGGCAGAAATGTTTGAAAGTGCTTGAGAAATATGTTCAGGGTTTATCATAGAAAGTATCGAGTAAAACTCACTAGAAGTTGGCGACTTCACCTATGAAAGTGCCAGTTGCGGTGATGGCAAAACCAATCATAGCGCCCCAAACAAGCCCACAGAGGATGGCCAATATCTCGTGGCCAAACAACTGAGAGCGTAAATTACAGTCAACGAGGCAATTCAATATGAAAATACACTCACCGGAGGGAATGATATTACAAAGAATATCGCAATTGGGATGAGCCATCCGAATTTCAAGCTATGCAGTTCGGTAAAATAGGGAATCAACATGCTTCAACGTGAAATAGACCCACTCATGAATCTTCTCCACTGTAGGCTGTAAAGCGTGCACTATCCGATCATGGAAGACCACAAAAAGGGAAACCAGGACGATGATGGCGACAAGGCAAACGCAAGTTACTGGAGCAATGCGGATCATTCCATAAGACTGAACTGTAGGACAGACTATATTGAATGCACACCTATTCTGCGCCATGTCCATGGTCGTTTCCAGATCAAAAGCCCCTTCCAGTCGAAGAAAGCCTCTTCAAACCCTGCGTCGCTGAGACTCGAGCCGGGTTGCCTTTTTGGGACAAGCGGGTCTGTGTCGCGGCGTCCATGAATTTCCTCATTATTGCGCTGGACTCGGATTCTCGCAGGCATAAATTTGGAAGATCGACGGAGGATAGCTCTCCTAATGAGCTCGATGAGCTCATCCCGAGAACCAGCCAGCTCATCACCATCCAACAATGTACAAACGCATGCATGGTTTACGCTGGCCACACCGAACGATTGCAAAACCTCCCAATGCTCGCCCCACCACTCGCTCCAAGGCCTTGACGAGCACCTGTCCATACCCGTGACTACGATGGCAAAGAGGGCAGCACCGATGGTAGACTTGACATTATTGTAATGACGCAGCTGGGCCTTCACATCCAGTGATCCTTCGATGCAAAGGATGAAGAGAGGAACACGATTTTTGTCGCGCACGAGTTCTTTGACGAAAGACTTCAGGTTTCCGAGAGCCATTTTCGCAGAGACGAGTCCCTCGGAGCCTTCGTTGAGGCCGGGAGTATCCCATATTCTATATTTCCTCTCGTCGATTGAGAAAAGGTAACCGTTGTTCATCGATGTGCAGCCAATTGCATCGTTTGACGCTGGCGCTTCTTCGCTTTCTAAGAGTATGTTGATAAGGGAGCTCTTTCCTGAGCCCGTCGCTCCAAATATGACAATATCCTGAATCTCATCATCATCCTGGAACATATATTCAGTAAATATGAGTACTGGAAGTTTGGTTGGGCCATGACAAACCGCATGAAAAGCCACGTTGCCTGACACAGGTTTGCTTTGGGACTCTTCTGCATATCTCTTGAAATTCATGATGATAAATTTACTCGAGTTGGTCAACCAACTCGAACTGCAGCAGACAGCTCAGAGGAAAATGAGATGTTGGTAGTGTTAGCTTGAGTGCAAGGAGGGCTATACTCTCGTGCAGGGTAATGCATACATGCCCACACAGCTCGGGCACCTCGAGGCGCTATATACTGGTCCAAGGGTCCAGAGTCTAGATGCCAAACGTGGTACCTGGCATATCAGAAGGCCTACTCGGAATTCAAGGTAGCTCAGCTGCGTCTATGACATGACTCCAAATCGAAGACTAACGCGTCTCCTACAGTCGGATTGAAATGTAGAATGGCATGGACTAGCATTGGAACTTGCTAGACTAAAGACAACGGCTAGACGGCTGATGCTCGGTGTTTCAAATGCATAAGCATGAACTTCTGAAGTGTTGACTCGAAGGTCCAGTTGGGAAGATGCCGTCTTTCCAAAAGATGGATATCGTTGGGCTGTGGGCATTGACGCGGTGGAGAAAGGTGAAAGTAAACTCAAGTCTGTATTGGGTCGAGTTTACTTTTGAACCAAGGTAAATCTGATTGACTCGCAACGTACGAACTTCCAACCGCCCACATCGAGTTACAATCGAGTTATACACCTAAACACCCTGGGAATATTACGGTGGCGTTTTCCGCAACCAATGTTCTAGCTATCACTCTCCAATTTACGCCTGTTGAAAGCTCACTAGATGATCATGTTACTGACGGTCACGGTATGTAGAATCGAATGTGCACACTGTACACCCTGTTCAATGCTCTCGCATCCCTCAAGTTACATCAACTTCAAGCTTACTATGTGCATTCTTGGCCTCACGTGCATCTGAAGGCAATATTGCTGGTACGGTCCTGGAGTACCTGGTTCTCAGCTCTGGAGTAATGAGCAGCGGGTCGAATGTTTTTTCCTTACCCATTCTCTCAACTCGTAGTATCTCATGCTGGTATGTCACTACGTTATCATGACAAGGGGATATCCTTGTTGGTATTAGTAACAGGTCGCAGGTCCGAATCGTCCGATGAGCACACTGCCAGTCCTTATCTCTGGTGCATGTAATTCATTTCCGTTTCCTTACATCATTGTCTCATGGGCCCAAGTACTAATATATCTGAACAGCACAATACACATCACACCGTTGTTCTTGATCATCAAAGCATGAAGAAAGGACTCACGTCATGAACGTACATCCGCATCAACAGCAGTGCGGTCGTATTACGAAGCTCCGCATGATTCGTGCGACTCATCGACATCAAGCCAGCCAGCAGTTGCACATTTGGCTGATTCCACTGAGGAGTTCTGTTCTAGGTATTACAAGCGTCCAGTCGATCGATACCCTACTGTGCTAGTGCATTAGGTGTGCACATCTGCCACGTATAACCTTACTTGCGAAGGCAAGTGTGATGCAATCTTGGAACATATTACCTCACCGATCATTTAGTATGTAAATCCAAAATTCCCAAATGCACTTTAGTTTGATCGAGGGCTCCTGATCTGCTTCTTCGTTCTGATCGTTCCATCGATAACAGTTGATGTGATCAATCAGGATTCTCACTCAAGAAGCAGTTATCCAGACTGACCGTTATAAAGGCGCTGGATGGTGTGTTTGCGCTAACTCCATACACCCCATCCGGACATGAACATAGTTAACCACGATCTTGCTTACGAGCCGTATACCATTCCCCTTGATCTTTTCCCCTATTTTGCAGGTCGGTAAAGAGCAAATGGGATGAAGATGATGACGTCTCACTCACTGGCCGGTTTTGCAGCTGTGTCTTCTGTTGCTGTGGTTTACGATTGGGGTGAGCGAAATAATACTTTCCGAGGGTATCATAACATTAACATATATACGCCATTCAAGCATTAACATTCGGACAAGAGGTTAGTTACAGTGTCATCGTCGCAGCTGTTCCACTAAGAATGCTTCAACAGTTCGAATTGGTCTGGGTAAGCGGAGTCCTACTAGTGTATCAGAAGCAAACTGGATAATGAGTTGATTCGGAGCAGAGGCGACCCTGGTCCTTCATGACCATTCTTTATATATGTGTACGTTGTTAGTTGACATGTTGCACTGAGTTGACTACAACATGTGCTAGGTGCGCTACATCGGAATACCATACTCTGTGTAAGTTAGCGAGACTAACAAGTCGATATTGCACTGTACTAACAAACCACATCTTACGATTAGGATCATCGTATTATGTATGTATCCCAAGATACAATGAGCTCGTTTATTCTAACTGGCGGCATGTAGCGTATCTCCCAATCTCGATGACAGACGCAGTGAGTATTCTGTACCGATGCCTCCCATTCCAATTCATTTATTAACTGCACTCCCACACAGGAGTGAGTGATATTTTCCGTTCCTTGTTATGTTGAACATAACGACTGCAACAGCTGTACGTTCATTTAAGGCATCGAGTCTATGAATGCACATAAGTAAATTTGGTTTTCAGGCCTAATTTTTTACTTCATATTGATATGGACGCCTGTCGTCGTCAATGCTATGCTGGGCAGTGAGCTCATCTGCAGTGCCTCACTGAGACTGACTTGACTGAAATATTATACAAGTCATAATGATGATTCGGATACATGCGATGTATGGACGATCCAAAAAGATGCTCGTCTTTCTCGTTATAGTCTTACTGGCTTCCACAATCTCTTCCGTCTGTTTTACAGCAATCACAGGTAACTTTGTCTCAGTGGATAAGTTTTAATTTCATCGATGAAACCTTCAGGCACATAAGACTCATGGACAAATACTAGATGATTTTTCTGGCCACCATATGTGTTATCCCACATATTTTGACGAAGGGCAGCCGATGAATATGCAAGTTGAGAGTGTTCGTTTGATGTCCACCGCTATATGGGAGATCCTCGCCTTCGTTCTTGCAGTCCGGATTGTCGTAAAACACTTTCGAGAGCTGCGATATTCGCCGACAGGACCGACCATTGGTGACTGTTTTATGGTATTAACCAAAAGTCATACATTTTACTTTGTTGGGTAAGTTCGGTGATTTGAATGTTATTATCTTGCTTCGCTGAAAGTTCTGCATATGTTAGATTTCTCGTTGTACTTTGCTTCAGCCTAATCTCACTGTTTACATATGTGCGCCAACGTGCCGCCAAGCATCTGTGTCTGTTCGCTCACCATCGTTTCTACAGTTACCATGGACTGAATCTGGGCAAAACTATTCCGGTGTTTTCCAAATTGCCCAGGAGTTGCAGATGTTTGTGCTGGGACCGCGACTCATCCTCAGCATTCGCGAATATCACGCCGGGCTCGTGGCCAGGTCTGACGAGGGAACGGGCATGACGACCATTCATTTCCAGGCTGGCGGGGATGTGTCAACTGGTGGAGATATTTAGCACCGCGATCCAAATGATCAACGTCAACCCCAGTTATTTCGGACTCTTGTTGTGGTATTTATTTGGTGATTTGAAGGATTGAATTAGGTTTGGGAAAACTATGTACTGCCTTATCCTTATTTATCGTGGATCCGTTAGGACGGGACCCCATATTGGACATTACCTACTCTAGGTGCTGTGTTTATGTACGGCTGGTTCTTTATGTATCATTTACTCTGGACAATGGCTCCGACTTGCACGAGAACGGTCAAGGCCTTCTGCAGGCGCTTGATATGATGATAATGGTTAGTGGCTCTTCTCCTGCTCTTCCGAGTCTATCTCGCTTCTTTGTTCTCCTTCGGTCACGTTACCTGCCCAGCCACACATAAACAAAACTTATGTCTTGCGATCAGTGCATGCGGGACGTAGCGCATTCTGTTATTTATGAAGATGACCGACAATGTTTAGAATGATTTTTTGCCATGAGATTCATCCTCTCACCATATGGGACGACTCGCAGCGAATCGGCTTGTGGCTGGCCGTGGTGAAAAGATTTGACAAGTCTTTTTCATCTGTGACAGTGAACAAACTCACCTTCAAACTTCGATTGGCATCCTTCACATACTTTCTGCTCTCTTCTGGCTCACTCTCAGGCTCGTGCAAGTCTCTCTATTTCCCTTCAAAACAGCAACACCAACCTTGTACGCAATCGTCCTACTCACTGCTTCTCAATTCTTTATACCTGCAACACCCGTCTTTTCGTGGGTTCTCATGTTCTACTCGAACCAATTCCTACTTGCAGACCACCGCCCCGCAGTCCACGTCATCCTCCTTCCAACCCTTGAATCCGTCCTCTACGGTGCAAACACAAGCGACATCCTCATCCACTTCAGTATCGGACCTCTACCATGCCAATATCATCGATGAAGTCAGAATGGAGGTCAAAAAGGGCCCAGCACTCCACACGCCTATAACATTATGCTAGATCTCTGTGCAGGTGTCTCTCCTCCACCGAGATGGTAGTCTACTGTCGAGGGAAACACTGGATTCATTCTAAGTTTGCGGTAAGTTGATGACTGGGCTAGATGGGCAGAACTCATTGTCATTGCTCAGAGACTGGCGAAAGGGTCGAAGGCAACTGCGTCTGCTGGCTGAAAGCAGTAACCAAGTAATAGTCCTGGAAATTATGGCCACCTGCTTTCACCCGACAACATCCAACCCGGGTCAACCCAAGTTCGGCGTCAAATCCTATCTGTGATTGGAGCATCAATCGTATGTCTCTCACATATGTAATACAGTCTACTGATATACCTATGGCCAGATGGGTAGCGGGTATAGCAGCATGAAGTCTACCCTACTCTAATAATGAAATAAAAAGACACGTCTACGCTGCAGATCGTCACGGTATATAGGTCGTCAACGGGAAAATAGTAAGAAGAAATGTGTCATCAACGGAAATGGTCGTCTAAAGGAACGGTCATTAAAAGAAAGACCCTACACCGGCAGATCCGCTAGGTCAGCTTTTTCGATTATGGTGTCGTTAATCTTTTCGTCAGAGTCCGTGCTCCGTCGAGCAGGATTTCCGGGGTCGCCGTGTTTTGGTTGGGGTCTGTGGTCCGTACTGCGGTCATAAAATATTGATACTGAAATGAATTCGATAGACATAATTGCAAAGAGGAACCAAAATGTTGCGGCTCGTCCGTTATATTCATGCGAGCCCCCATGCTTGGCCTCCACGGATGTCTCTATCGAGCTGACACCAGCGAGGCCAATTGCTGATCCAAATTGAAGAGCACCGTTAAAGATGGCACCGACTGTGCCTGCCATGGACGATGGTGCGGCTTGAAAGATAGCAATGCTGTAATTACAGCAATTAGGACGCGTTCGTAAAACCACGACAATTTGGACTTACTTTGTATGCGTATACGCCAGCATGGCCCCTGCACTTCCTACAAAAAAAGCTGGGAATATATATGGCCAATATTCCTCAGACTTTCCCCCGCCAAGCGCCAGCAATACGGTCGCGACCATGCAAAAGGACAAACCAGTGAGAATAATCCATTTCGGACTAAACATACGAGAAAGTGGTCCGGTGAAACTTATCGCGAAGGCCGCGACACCGATCGGGAGCCTGGTAAGTAAAAATAGTCTTGATAACGGGTAACTTGGAATGACAGTGAAGACCTTACATGTGTACAGCCGATGATATCGCCGACCACTCAAATACATTCTGCCACAGGGTGGTAAAAATACTGAACACTGTGCTCCACCAAAGGAATGGGAAGAGCGCGACGCCAAAAAGAACGGAGAAATTGTGGTAAAACCACGTCCGGGGCGGTCTGGTACAAGATCAGTCAATGGTAGGTAGTCGATGTAAGCGTCTCTGATATCATACATTGCAGCTTTGTCCGCAGGTATGATTGTTTCCCAGCAGAAAAACCCGATCACCATCAATATTGAAATGATTAGCGGGACCAGCACCATTACGGATGCCCAGCCATCAGTGGATCCGGATGTCACGGCGAAGATGAACAAAATCAAGGCAGCTGTCGGAGCTCGTGAGCAATGCGAAGCGGAGCATGCTGAAAATTCAAACCAGTTAGGATGGTTATGCCGAGTAAGTCAAGACTTTTCCATTTCGCTGCTGCAGGCTCAAGATTGCCTTTGGTGTTTGAAATTTCTGGGGGTATGATGAAGACACAGGCCAGAGCGGCTGGCGTAGCCACGATGGTTACAAACCAGAACACGAAATGGTAAGATGTCCATTCAACGAACATTGCACCAATCATGAGACCAAGGACTGTGGAGGGGACCATGAAGTTAGTCATGGATAATCAGCTAGTCAAAATCCTCACCGTTAGCGACGCAGCCGCAGCCTCCGAATAGCCCTATTGCGCGAGCTTGTTCAAGGGGATCGGGAAATACGTTGACCAGGAGTGTTAGGGCAGAAGGGATTGTCATTGAAGAAGCTGAGAAGCGATTTTCGTCAGCCAAAACCATCGGACTGGCAAAAATGTTTACCTATTCCAGTCAACGCTCTGAGAACGATGAGCGGAATGGTATCATTGACAAATCCAGCGCACAGCGAGATGACAGCGAGACCAGATACACCCCCAACGAACGCAGTTTCTGTGAGCCCATTAATGTGACTATCTGACAGGTACGGCATAGTACTGACTTGGGTTGTATACGTCGCTAATCCGGCCGCTCTAAACAATGCGTTGAAGTGCAAGATCAGAATCGATGGGATGAGCACGCACGATGAGCAGAAAAGATGCAAAGGTCAACTGGAATCCACTGATGATCCAAGTGGACTGACTTTCAGTCATACCCATGGATACTTCAAGTGCAGGGATCGCGGAGAAGAGAGCTGAATTATTGAAGGAGTCTAAGAACTGAGCTAGACAGAACAGGAACAGTAAGATCACTCTGCGAGTACGAGAATAAATGTGGGGTTCATGAGCGACCACCGTTTGAGCCGGGGAGGGAGGCAGCATTGCACCAGAAAATTATAAACAAGATACTGAAGCCGTCAGTTCAGGAGCAACCAGCTGACGAGGGGAAGGTTGGAAACTTTCTCTGTCAAAATGGATGAATGGCCTCACATTATAAGAGGCATCTCTATAACCAACGTGAATCAGACGCATGACGGATCGAAGCACCAGCGACTCGGAAGATCTCGATTAGTATGTGCTCTGTGAACACACGAATGTGTATAAGTTTATGTGGACTATCTTTGGAGAGATTTCAAGATTCTGGCAGCCTCTGTCTGTATGCGTAGGGAAAAGAATGTGCGACTGGCATCATGTTTGACTTACGGTGTGGCTCCGGGAAATTCTCGCACCATCACAGGGAATTCGTATACCCGACCATGATGTAGCTTATGATGGCAAATATTGTAGTTCAGCTACACAAACGGAATTCATGCGCAGATTTATTTCATGATGAGTGTAGGTTACTTTAGCATGAGCTATCGTACTTACCGTTGCCTTTGACTCAAGTTTTTTGTTCCCTTGTTGCACTATCAGTATCACAGAAACAAGCGCGAGTTACAGTATTCACCTCAACAGCGCGGAATTGTGTCTTGATCACATCACCACCTCGCATGTACAAAACGACTCTGCATTTCCAACCGTACGGCCACCGCGATAAGGAGGGAAAATCACTCTGCTACTCATCGCTGCAGCCTTCAGGACAAACACGAGTTTGGGACTGTGGCGCACTTTGACAGAAGGCGGCCCAGCCTCCAGAGATCTACGAGCGAGATATCATATAAAACTTAAATCCACGAGTGCAGACCAATGGAAGTTTGGAATGAAAAGACAGGAATCCCAGTGGCTGTCGGTACTAGTGCTGAGGTAGAATTGTTTGCAAGCCGGCACGACTAGCAGAACTGGCGAAACGGTCGGTCAATATGCTCCACTTCTTCAAATTAGCCTTCCAACACTTCATTTCCGTCAACCGGCACCCATTCCTGTTGCGAGGTCAGGGGCTTGTATGTTGCTGATAGGGGCATCTGAGGTGTCAGAGGTCCTAGTGTTATTACTAAGGTCTTACTAATACATAGTAGTAGCTAGTCGTTGTTCAAACGTTCATCGTACACCGACTGGCCGTTCCATGGTTTCTTGCTCACGTTCCAGTAGCGCCAAGGCCGCGTCGATCTCACCAAGTGATATAGATTCAGGACCTGCAAGATTATGATTATCTGAGTTTGAGGTGCGCAAAATTCACTTCTAGTTCGACATTGATGCTTCGAGTTTTACACTTGTGAATAAGGTAGTTTTGGAATTAGTTGTCACGACCCTGGATGCGAAGACCATCTGGACGGTGTTTGCAGGACTACTGCTGGGCAGTATTCGCATCCAGATTTGTCGTCGACCTTCTCGCCTCGGATTGAAATTGTTGATTATGAAAGATAAGACAAGCCGTCCGGCGAGTGCAGCGGCAGGCATTACACGATCGTAAATGACTGTCCATCTGGTACAAGCTGTATAACTGAAAAGTCTTTCTACGCTACAGGTAAGGAGGTGCACTTGCTCTAAGTCACATCGACTCAGAGAAAGCCATAACTTAAAAGGTGACGAAGGTTACTGGAAGTTTGGAACATATTTCGCTGTGATCGATAATCTGATTCAGTGATTCCCTGTAACTTGTCATAGAACCGGCTGACTCTTTTACCACGAACACTAGATGCGATGTCCTCGAACCGTGACATTTGTGAGACACTTTGTACACCGGCATTAACGCACGTTATAGAATTTCTGATGAGTACACGTCCTATGAGCACTCATGAACACAAAATTTCTAATAATTCCTTTATTTTTGTTCAGCCGAGAATGCTACAGCCATGAGGACGGCTTTCTTTTCGGAACCCGAATCAGTTTTTTGGCAGTGGCCTGATATTTTCCTTCATACTTCGCTATTCCTTGTTGATGCATGTCTCACGCTTAGATCACTCATACTTTTCCCGTGACTCAGTGGGGGGCTCGTCTTTAGCTTGCCGCGCTTGCAGCATGGTCGATTGCGCTGATCGAGTTCACTATCTGCGGCATCTGTGTATGTTTACATCTATTTTGGTAGATTACCGAATGTCGAGTGCTCATGGACCCTGTCTCAGCGTTCAAACGTTAAGCTTTTAAGGTTCAACGAACCACAATCGCAGTTTGCCCACTATCTTCTGTTGTCGATAATGTTGCCTCAGCATGTGTATGCTTCCGTGAATATCGCCCAGTATAGGCGATCCAAGACGACTCTCACCGAGCATGTGTTTAACTTCATCTTGAGCCTCGTTCTTGAATCGCTCATATATCATATCTCTGTCACAGGTGTCCACTCGAATATGATCTCTCGAGAAAAGTTCAGCAAGCAATGTTTCAATGTCTCTCAGACAAGATCATCGCAATCTCAAGATCCCAGCGCTGATCTCCTGGTATCCAGTTTAGTGTCAGTATCCATGAGACTCCTGAGCCCACTTCCAGGCCTGATTGTCATGTCACCTGTCGCAGGCTGTATGCAACAATGGGTTGGAAATACATATCATCAGCATTTCCTAGTATTCTGCCGCCAATAGATTATCGAAGATAGAGCAAATCAACCCTGAGGTCTGCTGGCAATGCAATTGACATCTGTCTGAAGGAGTATTTCGGATGCACAAAAGATTATCCACTGGCAGGATATAAAAGCAAGCTGTCTTCCTACCATCCCTTCAGCTTTGTTTTTGAAGTCTCATATCACATCTCACAGATAATGTGTCTCCCCTTCATCCTCGTTGTTGTTGCTGCTTTCAAGTTGGCAGTGTCCACACCAGTGGTCAGTGATGAAAGTAAATGTCCCACCTATTGCAACTACCATCAAGTTTGCTGCCCTGGCACTACGTGCATGGAAGTACCCTCTGGCCGGTGGGTGAGTATGAGTAGTTTTCATCTACCTCCGTCACGGTGGCTTACCGGCATGGTAGATCTCACTTGAGTGTCTCTGATGCTACAGTTGTTACAGGGATCTGTAACACCTACTAGAGCCCCAGCTCTCCCTATGCCTGCCCCCGCTCTGCTAGACTCCCCACGCGGCGGTGCGCCGCCCGCGCCTAGAAAGACAGTGGTCTGGACCGCTGTGACCCCGCCCCTGGCGCTATGACCCCGCCCCTGGCCTAGACGGCCTTGTACCTGATCCATGGAGGCTGTACGCCTCATGGTCACCCTAGATCAGCGCATGCACGCCGCATGTCGCTTCATGAAGATCCGGAGCGCGCTTGGCGCTCCCTGTACCTATGCGCAGCTGCCCTTGGCACAGCATGCTTGATCAGAGGTTAAGCCTCATGTATCTTATCTGACCCTCATGTCTGGCTATCATAGATTTACGATATACTATTGATTACAGACTGAGCTAGAATACTTGTAGTACTTCCCTATAAGTAGACACAGATTATTGTACTTAGACTTTACTTTAATCTACTAGGTTCATCCCCAGAACTTGCTCATCTAAGCCTACCAGCTTCCTTGTGTGAGACCGCACTTCTAAGTCGCCCCCATACGACTTAGCACGTATCCGCTAGCCCTGCATCTCGACGAGCGCCGTCTTACCGAGATCGCCGGAGGAATCCTTGACGTTCCGTCAAGGCCAGACCACGTTCAGCTTCAGTAGACTCACTCGAGTCGTCGCTGAGAAGACCCATCCTAGTTCGCACACGCCGACCAACAGTCGACGTAACAACAGTGAGTCGTATTTCCACTCTCGCCTTCGTGCACTGTGGTTGACAAGACGACTCGGACATGTAAGTATTTCGCTGCCGAGTGCTCGGTTGTCACAGTGAACGAATTTCACCCTGCTCGAGTATCAAGAGCATCTCAGCGTGCATACGGGGGCCGCTCACAATATCATAGACGGTAGAAACTGCAGACTCAAAAATCTTTACATGTGACAAAACCTTTCTCCCACTAACCATGAGTGGAGATGTATCTCTAGAACTGGACCCGTGGTGAGACATGAAGATACAAACTTGAGAGTGTCTTTCGGGGTGAATCTGTCACCTACTATAGTGTAACTGCCAAAAGTGACTGACCCCCACTTTAGGGGTTATCCTGGTAGCTTCGCTATTACACACCTCGGACTGACTAAATGAATGTAAGTACATCTGGAAAATGTAGCGTGCCTATGTATTGTTCTGTAGCTCTATGTAGCTCGGTTAGTGGTTGTAACTGAGTAGCAATGTCCTCCCTACTGACCTGCTATATTCCAGGCCTCTGCTACACTGGTGCTACTGTGTCACCACGGTAACTCAATTGAATCATTGTTGACTAGGCTCATAGCTGCTCATAGTGGGCACTATTGCAGGACCGGGTCGTCCGCGTCACTGTTCAAATGATGGCACAGCCACGACTCAATCACGCATTGCATGAGCACCAAAAATGATATCATTGTACTACCAGAATCATGAGCAAGTAGTAATCAACCTTGGTTAGCCATAAAGTCTAAAAATGACAGTCCCTCTGATGTATCAAGTTGTGGGGCATGGACAGCGACACCAGCATATGATCTGGACACAATGCCATGAGGTCCAACGAGTCTGTCAATTGGACGGCAAATCTCACCTCGCTCTCTCCAGCAGACTGTTCTGCAGCTTCTGTGCAAGAGGATCCCCTCGTTCTTTGGTGAAGGTCTTCCAGCATTGAAGGTCGTCCAAATGACGGTTGTACACTTTTTCATACTTCTTCCCTTTGAATTCCACCTTTTCAAACTGGCCTGTATGCCACTCGTCCAATGCTAGTTCAACCTGGCTCAATTGTGAGTCTATCAGCATGAAAACAAGCCACCATTACGCACTGCAGTGAGGACAAATGCAATGAGTTTGAGGGGAATGCCGTCTGTGAAGTATTGAGGATACTTCACACCATCTGCATGTGCATCTGAAAAAAATTGCTTATTGATGATCTTGCTGGTGATCTTGTTGCGGTACAGGCTGTTTGGGATTGTTTTGTCGTTTGGGTCCTGCAAACATGCTTCAGAACTGCGAAATTGAACGAGGAGGAAACATACCAGGTAGGCAAATGTTGATTTGGTCTTGAGCTTCTTGTATAGTTCACAATTTGCTTGCTGTGTGAGTTTTATTTCATCGTCCCCTTCCTCATCTTCGCAATCTTCAATGCTCACAAATCCATAGGTCTTCATTACTAGTGAGCGTGCAATGTCTTTCACCTGTCCGCGAACCTGAGTGACACAATCTTTGATCTGTTGGCTAAAGTAAGTACAAATCTTCAATTCAAAGCGAAACTTACCAATCCAAACTCAATTGGATCAATTTCCATGTCAATGCACAGCTCGTCACAGGCCTTTTGCCAGGCATCTGCAGCATGAACATCAAGTTCACCCACAACATCTGTGAATGGTTGATTAGTAGCGATGTTGAGCTTGAAATGTAAATAACTAAGTTCGAGAACATGCTTCCTTTTTTTCTCGATGTTGCGGGCACTTCATACCCTGGTGTTCTTCACTTTCTTTGGTGGTGGTGGCTGTAACTCGATGTCGTCGTCTGTGAGTCCAAGTCCTTCCCTGTCACTTCCAAAAGGTACATTCTCTTGATCAGTACTGATTGAGGATTCGGTAGACTGTCGAGACAGGCTATAATTGCCTTGGATATTGGTTGATGCCATCGATAACACAGACTGTGCTCGCTGATCAGTATTGACACCATTAGAGCGATTCCTAGGTGTTGGGGTGCCTCCCAATTGACGGCGACGAATGAGATTGCGACGTGGTTGTGGCAAGACAATTGGATGTGAGGTGATCTGTAGTTCAAGGGTAGTTTAACACACTTCCCAAGGCAAGCCAGCAGGTGACATTACCATGGCATTTGCAGCAGGAATATTGATTTGAAACAGATTCTCATCCTGGGCTGCTACTCGCTCGTGTTGATTGTGGCCAGTGTCTTGGTCTTCGAAGTCTCCAAATTCACTCGACTATCATATAGCACTCAGTCAGCGGTCACGAACTTAATATCATCACGAACCTCAGGTTGCGCAGTAGTACTTCTATTTGAAACAGGAGTCTGTTCAACAGCGCCAAAATGAGTATAGCCACCATTTTGAATAGGAGTCTGTGGAGTGGGGCCAACATATGACGTCTGTGGCTGCATTTGGTGCTGCCATGCCGAGGTCTGATTTGGAGCAGGCCATGTGCCAGGATTAACCTCAGGAGCATTTTGATCATACCCATATGTTGTTGTATCAGTCCCAGCTAGATACTGACTCCGATTTTGAGGGGTTGCTGCTGTTGCCTGCCTCCGTCGCATTTTTTCTGCAATATCTGCACCTAGATCAAACATTAGAGACCGTTCATCACTATTTGACCAACATACGAAATGGGAGTGATCAAGGAGTCTGCTTGATTTGACGACTACCACGGCCTAACTGTTCAGGTTGGTTGAAGTTGAAGTCTGCAGCAGAGAGGGTGTCTGAGTCAGGATTAACAGGGATCGTGATAGCTCGTCACAAATGAGGTGAAAATTTCCAACACATCGGGACTTAAAAAATGTGATTGACAGCAAGTACAATAAATCTTCTACCGCTGCTAAGTTTGACCACATAACAGACTCACCTTCTGCAATGCCAAAATGTTCATTCTGCAGTATGCCTTTCGGAGACCATGGTGCCATACGAAGACACCAAGCTCAGGCCCCTGCCTGTCGTCACAAACACGATCATGCCTGGACAAAACTCTGGAAATCTCGGAGGCAGATTACAGCCATGACAGATAATGCATCAGCATCGCAAGTGCACACTCAACTGGAAGACTTTTCACATACAACAGACGTCAGCAATTCAGACCAGTAGGACTATACAGGCAACTCGGATACCATCATGCAGGGGTTAGATGAGGATCAAGATGTGCCTGTGGTTGCTTTGAGCCAGCATTCACGAGTGCAGGAAGTAGTGGATGAGTTCTGGAAGGGGGATATATGGTCAGAGGGCTTTCCGGATATGAACAAAGCTGGCGCAGTCTTGGGTAATGCAAAAACGACTTTTGAGACCATACATGATGACCAAGTCTTGCGAGGGAGTGAGATATGGGGACCGTTCGCAGATGAGGATGAGTGGTGCCTGGCAAAATGGCTCATCAAGAATGTTGGCCATAATCAGGCTGAGGAATTCCTCAAGCTCAATGTGGTGCGTCAGCATCAATAATACGAAGGAAAGGTGGACTTACCTATTGCATAGGTACAAGGGAGGGTCCAGCCATCTTTCCACAACAAAAATGCTCTGCTCTCAGCTATTGATGAGCTACCAGCAGGCATCGATTGGCAATGTGAAGCGATGACACTCACTGGTGACATCACCAACGATGAGGGTGAACCACAGACGGAAGATGTTGAATTATGGTTCCGTGACCCTGTGGAATGCATTCGGGATCTCATTGGCAACCCATGCTTCAAAGACAGCATGTCTTACGCACCTGAACATAGTTATACTGGACCAGAAGGTAAATCACGAGTTATCGATGAGATGTGGACAGCGGACTGGTGGTGGAATATGCAGGTAAGGAGAGGTTCATTCGACACAGCCAGCATTACTCACGAATAACCAAGGAACGGGTGCCTGTTGGGTGAACAATTGCACCTGTCACTTTGTCATCAGACAAGACTCAGCTCTCGCAGTTTCATGGTGATAAGGCTGCATGGCCTGTGTATCTTACAATTGGGAACATCTCAAAAGATGTACGGCGGCAGGTTTCATCACATGCGACAGTCTTGCTTGGTTACCTTCCTGTAGGCCACTTCGATTGCTTTTCAGATAAAGCTAGACCACTCGCCAAGTACCGCTTGTTTCATGCATGCCTGACATGAATCTTGGCAACTATGGCATGCGCAGGCCGAAAAGGTGAAGATATGACCTGCGGAGATGGTGCTATTCGCCGTGTCTGGCCCATACTTGCTGCCTACATAGCTGATTATCCAGAGCAGTGCTTGGTTGCATGCTGCATGGAAAATCGATGCCCGTTATGCAAGGTTCACCACAGCGAGCGTGGATTGCACCAAGAATTCCCCAGATGAAATGTCAATGAGACCATTGCCATGCTTGCTCAGAATGAAAACGCACCTTCTCCAGAGCTGACAAAGGAGTTTAAAAATCTGGGCCTTCGACCGATATTTCCTCCCTTTTGGGCCACACTCCCGCACACAGATATCTTCCAGGCATTTACACCTGACCTGTTGCATCAGTTGCACAAGGGTGTGTTCAAAGATCACCTCGTTCAATGGACTACACGGATTATGGGGGAGAATGAGGTGGATGACCGGTTCAAAACAATGACATCGCACCATGGATTGAGGCACTTCAAAAACGGCATCTCATCAGTATCACAATGGACAGGAAAGGAGCACAAAGAGATGGAAAAAGTTTTTATAGGGCTCATATCAGGAGGAGTCGATCTGCGTATCATCCGAACTGTGTGCGCAGTCACAGATTTCATTTACTATTCTTCCCTTCAATCTCACACAGACCACTCGCTCCAGGCACTCGCACATGCACTTGAGGAGTTCCATGCACACAAGGATGTCTTTATTGAGATGGGTGGCAGAAAAGCTACTCACTTTAACATCCCAAAGATCCACTCAATGCAACATTATGTGGAATTGATTCGACGGTTCGGGTCTGCAGATGGTTTTAATACTGAATCACCAGAACGGCTACACATTGATTATGCGAAGGAGGCTTACCGCGCAGGAAACAAGAAGGACTACATTGCGCAGATGACAGTTTGGCTATGGCGTCAAGAGGCTGTTGACAGGTTCAGCACATACTTGGACTGGTATAAAGCTCGTACCTTGAAATCATTGGAATCAGGGCCAAAGGACTGTGCAGAGTGTGGATTGGAGTTGGAGACTGAAGGAGATGAACAGGATGGTGAAGTTGTCATTGAAAACTCACCACTATTTGATGTAGACCGTGACGTTGCATCCGAGACTGATGCAAATCTGTCAGAGCGAAACACCACTTCATTTTCTCGTACTTCAATGATCCACATTCCTACCACCCATCCTCCTCATCTTCGCAGAATCCCAGCCTCCAAAATAATCAGTGACCAGCATGCATCACTTTTTCTCCAAGCATTAACAACCTACATTCGCACTCTTGGCATCCTTTATGTCCCAAAATCCTTTGACACCTTTGACCTATTCTCTCGCCTGGCCTTTGAATTACCTGCCATCGCCGAAGTCAGTTCACGCAAGCTTAAAAATATTGTGCATGTCTCGCCACCAATTGCACATGCAGGTAGAAGACTGGCACGGCCTGCATGTCTTGAGTTTGCATTTGTTCGTACCATGGAAGCTAATGCTTTCACTGATGGTACATGTTTACAAGGTGAGCATCAGGTAATTTCTCGTGCTCACACTGACTGATTAGTACATGTTCCAGGTCTTCGTGTTGCTCAAGTACTATCAGTCTTCAAGGTTCCAACATATTATCCGGACGAGGAACGTTTGCGAGGCCCTCTCGCATACATTGAATGGATGACACCTTTGCGAGAACCTGATCCTGATCTTGACATGTTTGTCGTATCTCGATCCACCTGCAGGCATCAGCGACATGCAGAAGTTGTCCCCATCAGTCATATCATCCGCAGCTGCCACCTAGTGCCAAGCTTCGGTTGCACAAGAGATTCGAGTTGGACTGCAGATAATGTCAATATTATGTGTGATCAGTTCTACATAAATCCGTACATTGACATGCATATGTTTTGTTTATTGAAGCTACGGAGAAAAAATTCGATATAATAAAATCTATCAAACACGAACTCCTGCAGTGATTGAGGCATCAATGTCACGGCATCTCTGGTCCTAGGTTAGTTGCAGTGCCATGACATGACAAGCTGAGAAAACGAACCTGCACTATTGACGCCAACTTGTTCCACGACTCAGTCCATAGTCTTCTGTATGCATGCGCTTGACTGTATGTTCATCTGTCTGTGTTGGACAGGCCATTGTTGTTAATGCAAGATAACACCTAGAGGCATTTTATCAACTGACCTTGGGCTGCGGTTGAGTTGTAGAGCGCCGAGTAGACACTTCATTTGGTTGTCGTTGGAGTATGGGAGACACTCCAGTGAAATCCTGTGTCTTGGCAACATCAGGCTCAGACTCTGGCTCAGTCTCGGAATCATCTGGGCTGGAAGGCACAGTGGTTGTAGGTAATGTGCTGTGCACTGTGCTCAGCTCGACGGGAGTGCTGTATTCTGTCTTAAAATTGATATTCAAAGTCTGCAGGATGGTAGTATTGAGTTTGGAGCAGGATCAGATTATGAAGTTCAAGTGAGACTTACAATCGGTTCATTTCCAACGGAGTGCACGATAAATGTGAGAGATTGCGGTTCAGTGGTGCTGAGAAACGGCTGTGGATTTGCGGTGTGACGATGCGCTTGGCAAAGCGGACAAGTTTGAAGGTGGCTGGCCATTGGCGCGTCAGTACTGTCTCTGGTTGAGCATGTCGAAAAATGAGTTGAGTGACTTGGTGGTTGAGAGATTGCGTGGTTTGAATGTGATAGTGGACTGGCCCTGGTGGTTTTTGCTATCTTGAAGAAAAGATCCTATGGGGAGGCTATTGTAGGAGGTTGCCGCTATGTGACTACTGTAGCCTGCCATAGCTTGCGGTAGTTGAGTGTAGTGGGCAACCGCTATGGGTGCCAATATGGGAAGGGCCGCACTATCACACGAAAAGCATTTTCCAGATGTATGTCAGTATGGACTCCCGCATTGACGGACGTAATAATAACATTTTCGAACACCTCACAAATGCCGTAAAATGCAGTAATTGTCCACAATTGAGACTCGTTGCGAGGCACTGCAACACCTGATGAAGAAACCCACAGGCGGAAAGGTGGCTTTAATGGCTACAGCTATTTTCAGTGATGAGGGAAGCAAGGGTTCTTCAAGCCCATTGGTTGTTGAGTCTGGCATAGCTGCCCCCAGTTCTGGGCAGAACTACCTTGAATTTGTTCTGCCCACAACACTATAGGCGCTGAGATGTCCAAGTTTGGCCGGATTAATCCACACACCTCTTGGTTCGAAGTCACTGTGGGAAGTAGAAACAATGAATTTCAGTGGTTCGAGCACTGAACCAATGAGCCTCAATGTGTGTAACACTGAATCCACCAGCAAGAGTATTCATTGTTTCGGCTAATACCATAGATTTCATTGCCAGTGTGAGCACTCAGTGGTGTAAACAATGATATGTGACTATGAAATATGATAGATAAAACAATAAAATCTAGCGGTTAGGCCAATGAATTTTAATGGCATGACACATGAATTTCAATGGACCACCAAAAAAAATGGGCGCAGCCTATGAAATGATGCGGAGAAAACAACAAAATGTGAAAGATTAGCCAATGAATCTCAGTGGTGTGAGATATGAATTTCATTAGTGAAACGGACTTAGTGGAATTGTCGCTCTTCCTCGGATAAGGTAGACATGTTGGCATTTTTTTGTCATGTGACCGTTGAATATATTTGTATTATTGTTGATATATAGAAACGGTCCTGTGGCCCAGCAGTAACAATGATGCAGCTATCATTGTCGGAGGTCTTGGGTTCAATCCCTGCCAATGGCAAATTATCCTGGGTTAAATGGTACATGTACATGGAGTATACCTGTGGGCACCTATAACTTGGTGCCATATTCTTTTGCTAAATACAAACACCCTATCAAATTCAATGGTTATGTCGTCAATAATCAGTGGCCGCACCATCGAAAGTCAGTGATTTGCCGCATTGAATTCAGTGGCCATGTCAACAACAATCAGTGATTCAACCACTGATGTCCATCGTCTTTTCGGGGGATTCAATGGCCGTCGATTCATTGCGCTACCTCATTAGTTTCAGTGGCTCTCTCTATTGATTTTCAACGTTTTCTCCTACTTAAATTCATGGGCTTTCCTTTCCACAGTGAAGTCAGAACTTACAACCCGAGTCAACTCAAATTTTCCTATCTGTGATTGGAGCATCAATCGTATGTCTCTCACATATACGCAATACAGTCTACTGATATGCCTATGGCCAGATGGGTAGCGGGTATAGCAAAAAATACAGCATGAAGTCTACCCTACCTCTAATGATGAGATAAAAAAACACGTCTAATTTGTCTGCAGGTCGTCAACTAAAGAAAGGTGTCATCAACGGAAATGGTCGTCTAAATGAACAGTAAAAGAAAGACTCTACACCGGCAGATCCGCTAGGTCAGTTTTTTCGATTATGGTCACATTCACGTCGTTAAGCTTTTCATCAGAGTCCGTGCTCCGTCGAGCAGGACTTCCGGGGTCGCCGTGTGTTGGTTGGGGTTTGTGGTCCATACTGCGGTCATAAAATATTGATACTGAAATGATTTCGATGGAGATGATTGTAAAGAGGAACCAAAATGTTGCGGCACGTCCGCTATACTCATGCGAGCCCCCGTGCCTGGCCTCCACGGATGTCTCTATCGAGCTGACACCAGCGAGGCCAATCGCTGATCCGAATTCCAGAGCACCGTTAAAGATGGCACCAACTGTGCCTGCCATAGACGAAGGCGCGGCTTGGAAGATAGCAATGCTATAATCACAGCAATTAGGACGTTTCCGTGAAACCACGACAATTTGGACTTACTTTGTGTGCGTATACGTCAGCATGGCCCCCGCACCTCCAATAACAAAAGCTGGGAATATGTATGGCCAATATTCCTCAGGCTTTCCCCCGCCAAGCGCCATTAATGCAGTCGAGACCATGCAAAAGGACAAACCAGTAAGAATAATCCATTTCGGACTAAACATGCGAGAAAGTGGTCCGGTGAAACTTATAACGAAGGATGCGACACCTATCGGGATCCTGGTAAGTAAAACAGTCTCAATAACGGATAACTTGGAATGACAATGACAGTGAAGACCTTACATGTGTAGAGCCGATAATATCGCCGGCCACTCAAATACGTTTTGCCACAGGGTGGTAAAAATACTGAACACTGTACTCCACCATAGGAATGGGAAGAGCGCGACGCCAAAAAGAACGGAGAAATTGTGGTAAAACCATGTCCGAGGTGGTCTGGTACAAGATCAGTCAATGATTGGTAGTTGGTGTAAGCATCTCTGATAGCATACATTGCAGCTTTGTCCACAGGTATGATTGTTTCCAAGTAGAAAAACCCGATCACCATCAAGATTGAAATGATCAGCGGGACCAGCACCATCACGGATGCCCAGCCATCAGTGGATCCGGATGTCACAGCAAAGATGAACAAAATTAAGGCAACTATCGGAACTCGTGAGCGATGCGAAGCGGGGCATGCTGAAAATTCATACCAGTCAAGATGGTTACGCCGAGTAAGTCAAGACTTTTCCATTTCGCTGCTGCAGGCTCAAGATTGCCTTTGGTGTTTGAAATTTCTGGGGGTATGATGAAGACACACGCCAGAGCTGCTGGCGTAGCCACGATGGTTACAAACCAGAACACGAAATGGTAAGATGTCCATTCGACGAACATTGCACCAATCATGAGACCAAGGACTGTGGAGGGGACCATGAAGCTAGTCATGGATAATCAGCTAATCAAAATTCTCACCGGTAGCGGCGCAGCCGCAGCCTCCAAATAGGCCTATTGCGCGAGCTTGTTCAAGGGGATCGGGAAATACGTTGACCAGGAGTGTTAGGGCAGAAGGGATTGTCATTGCAGAAGCTGATACGCGATTTCCGTCAGCCAAAACCGTCGGACTAGCTGAAATGTTTACCTATTCCAATCAACGCTCTGAGAACGATGAGCGGAATAGTATTATTGACAAATCCAGCGCACAGCGAGATGAGAGCGAGACCAGATACACCCCCGACGAACACAGTTTCTGTGGGCCCATTAATGTGACTATCTGACAGGTACGGCATAGTACTGACTTGGGTTGTATACGTCGCTAATCCGGCCGCTCTAAACGATACGTTGAAGTGCAAGGTCAGAATCGATGGGATGAGCACGCACAATGAGCAGAAAAGATGCAAAGGTCAACTGGAATCCACTGATGATCCAAGTGGACTGACTTTCAGTCATACCCATGGATACCTCGAGTGCAGGGATCGCGGAGAAGACAGCTGAATTATTGAAGGAATCTAAGAACTGGGCGAGACAGAACAGGAACAGTAAGATCACTCTGCGAGTACGAGAGTAAATGTGGGGTTCATGATCGACCACCGTTTCAGCCGGGGAGAGAGGGGGGAGTGGCAGCATTGCAACAGAAAATTGTAAACAAGATACTGCAGTCGTCAGTTCAGGAGCGACCAACTGACGAAGGGGAGGTTGGCAAATTTCGCTGTCAGAATAGATGGATGGCTTCACGTTATAAGAGATATCGATATCTCGATAGCCAACCGGAAGATCTAAATTATGTGCTCCACTCATGTGAACACATGAATGTGTATAAGTTTATGTAGACTATCTTTGGAGAGAATTTCAAGATTCTGGCAGCCTTTGTCTGTATGAAGGAAGGATGTGCAACTAGCATCATATTTGACTTACGGTACTAGGGCTCCGGGAAATCCACAGGGAATTCGTATAGTACCCGACGATGATGTAGCTTACGATGGCATTAAGTAGCTCGGGGAACTGAGATTGATTTCATGATGAGCGTAGGTTACTTTAGCACAAGCCATTGTACTTACCGTTGTCTTCGACTCAAGCTTTTGTTCCCTCGTCGCACTATCAATATCACAGAAAAAAGTGCGAGTACTTCACCTCAACAGCGCGGAATTGTGACGCGATCACATCATCCCCTCGTATGTACAAAACAACTCTTCATTTCAAACCGTACGGCCACCGCGATAAGGAGGGAAAGTCAATATGCTACTCGAGCAAACACGAGTTTGGAACTGTGTGGCACGAGTCCTCCACTTCGACGGAAGGCGGCCCAGACTCCAGAGATCTACGAGCGAGATATCATATTAAAATAAGTTAAAACTTAAATCTACTGTGGTAAAGATTGGAAGTTCAGTTTCGTTGGGAATGAAAAGACAGGCATCCCAGTGACTGTCGGTGGTAGGCAATTGTGTCGGCACGACCAGCAGAAGTGGCAGAACGATGGAAGACCTTGGTCAATGTGCTCGAATTCTGCAAAATCATAAAATTAGCGGCTCTTCATTTCCGTCAACCGGCACCCATTCCTGTTGAAGCTAGGTCAGGGGCTTGTAGTCAGGAGGTGTTGCAGATAGGGGCATCTGAGGTGTCAGAGGTCCTACTGTTACTAAGGTCTTACTAATACATCGGACCACGTGTATTTGTTTGCTAGCTGCTACTAGCTAGTCATGTACCGACTCACCGTTCCATGGCTTCTTGCTCACATTCCAGTAGCGCAAAGGCCGTGTCGATCTCACCAAGTGATGTAGATTCAGGACCTGCAAGACTATATGAGTATGAGGTGCTCAAAATTGGCTTCTAGTTCGCTTCAAGCTTTACACTTGTGAGTAAAGGTAGTTTTGGAATTAGTTGTTGCGACCCTGGACATCTGGACAGTGTTTGCAGGACTACTGCTGGGCAATACTAGCATTCAGATTTGTTGTCGACCTTCTCGCGTCGGATTGAAATTGTTGAAAGATAAGACAGGGCCGGCGAGTGCAGCGGTAGGCATTACACGATCGTAAATGATCGTCCATGTGGTACAAGCTAAAAGTCTTTCTACGCTACAGGTAAGAAGGTGACGAAGGTTACTGGAAGTCTGGAACATATTTCGCTGTGATCGGTTCATTCCTTGTAGCTTCAGGCAGAACCGGCTGACTCTTCTGCCAAAAACACTAGATGTGATGTCTTCGGACCGTGATATTTGTGAGACACTTTGTACACTGGGGTTGTAGAATTTCCGATCTTCTTTCTGGCCGGTAAGTACGCGTCCTATGAGCACCTACGAACCCCAAATTTCTAATCATGCCTTTATTTTTGTTCAGCCGAGAATGCTGCAGCCATGAGGACGCCCAAGCTTCTTTTCGGAACCCGAATCAGTTTTATTGGCAAGTCGCCTGATATTTTCCTTCGCACTTCGCGTTATTCCTTGTTGAAACGTTGATGCGAGTCTCACGTTTAGATCACTTATGCTTTTCCCGTGTTTTTCGAATGCACATTCATGTATTTATAGCTTGATCGTGCTCCTCCCTGGCTGCGGTAGCTTTGCACACCTCTTGTGATAACTTACCACAAACTTCCTAGACTCGTGCCACCCAAGCTGATCCGGTCAATCAAAAAAAGGGTATATAGGGTATTCAACCTCCCTGTATCAAAATAGCTATACATACTCCAATTGTACTTTGGCCAACCTATACTAGTTATTGTTATGTATGTATGGGCACACAGTGCACATGGGCTCATAAGAACACAAATCGAGTCAGAAGATATATAGTAAATAGAAGAGTCGAACAGACGTGATGGAGGCTGTGATAGCCAGATGAATGAAGGACTAATAAAAATCAGGATACACAAGCACTCGACAACCTACTGCCTTTCAGGCGGATGCGGTGAACTTGGTCCCGAAAAACTATGTCCCGGCGCACTAAACGCATACCCAGCACCTGGCGGAGGCCCAGGGGGCGGCGCATACGCAGCAATGCCACTGATACCAGATGAAGATGACCGTCCGACACGAGATGACGGCGGTGGTCCAGCAAGAGATGGAGGCGCAGGTGCATACCCCTCACCGAGAACTTCCTCGGCATCCATTTCATCCTCACCCCCATACGGATTCCGCAGAGGCTCAGCTGTCATGGCGCTCAACCTATAACTCTGACCCTGCGCGGCGTTAGCCTGCAACTCCCATCCCACGGTATCTGTGCTTTCGTGGCGGAGGGGCTTGGTTCCTAATGTGGGGGTTATGTCACCTGGGAAGGGGTTTGGATTTTCCGGTTTCTTAGGTTGAGGTGCGTGTATGCGTGGGTCCGGTGTGTAGCCTACGGCGCGGCCTTCGCTGTCCCATCGCTGGTAGGGAGGGTCGTAGGGGGCGTCTGAGGAGTTGAGGGGAAGAGTGGTGTCTGAGGTGTTGAATACTGCGGAGCTGTTTGCGCCGCCATTTTGATACAGTGATTCACTCTCGGCGTCCAATTTCGCTTGACTGAAGAAATGATAAGATTGTGATAAGTAGGGACAGCGATGATACTAACCGTGCTTTGCGTCGCTCATACACGATTTGTGGCTTGACACGGTTTATTTCTCTGGTGATGTACCACATGGCAGCCACGGTGACCAGGACGGTGATAACACCAACGACGTCGCTGATGATCTTGTTCTTTGAATTGGTAGCCGCTGACGAAAACATGAGGATATGGTCGTACATATGGGTAAGGACTTACAGGTGCCACTACTTTCCAATAAAGTTCCAATGTACACAGTTATAAACTGCTTTGGCATAGAGAGGGCTGCTGCCAGCATGAAAACAAAGATGTTCATGCCGCATACTGCAAATAATGCAGTGGTGACTAGACGCACGTAAGGCAAAGATTGTATGAGAGAATGGAAGAAACAAACAGTGAGGTGGGATGGCGCTGTAACGGGCGATCAATGCAATCTTAAAACCGCCCTCGCGGACGACTCTTCCCAAAGAGGAGTAAATGACACTGCTTTTCTCTATCTTGTGGCCGCGAGTTGAACAAAGGTGTTTGAAGGCACTGAAGGAAACAGTAAGGAATGACCCAAACGTCATAGAAAGTAAGACGTACTAAAAGTTTCCTATTTCACCGATGAAAGTGCCAGCTGCTACTATGGCGAAACCAATCCATACGCCCCATACGAGACCACACACAATAGCCAGTATCTCGTGGCCGAAGAGCTGATGGGAAGTACGTTAGTGTGAGAAGAGATGAAGGGTCGATGCGCATACCGGAGGGAACGATATCACAAAGAAAATGGCTATAGGAATTATCCATCCAAACTTGAAGCTGAAAGAAAGGTGAGTGCCATGGTATGATAGGACTGGAATCGACATACTTGTGCATCCAGTTAGCTGCTGGTTGAATTGCATGTACGATTTGGTCATGATAGAATATGAAGAGAGCGCCCAAAACGGCGGCGAGGATTAGAGCAATATAAATAACTGCTTGCCGTTAAACCAACAGTTGATACTGTAGGTAGATGAAGACGTACAGATTCGTTTCTTTGTCCACATCTTCTTTTTATCGAATATGGACTTGAAATTGAAGAATGTCTTCTGATCGAGGGCCTGTATCTCACTGGGAGTTGGACTGGGGGTACGAGATATTCGGCGAGCGTCTTGATGAACATCGTTGGAATATGGTGAAGAATAGGGAGGACTTGGGACATATTTTGAATAATCGTCCATTGTCGTCGTGAAGAAAGGAGCGAACGAGCGTGTAATTTCTGTGGCGGGTTGATCCTTTTGTTGTAGGAGTTGTTGTGACGGTCAAAAGTTAAGGTAAGTGACACAGCCGCAACACCATATGTGTATACTACACCAGTGCAATTGATGACTTATCCATCAACAAATACATAGCTTCATCTGCATTAGCCGCCGTCAACGACAAAGCTGACCACAGGTCAACCACAGGTAGTGTTGTAATTATTGGTGGCCAATCTGGTCAAACTAGTGATGGAGTTGCTGATGGGATCATCATGAACGTGTCATACGGCGCTCATTCTATCACTAACTCATAGGTCATCGAGGGAATAACCCAGGCTAGTACCTCGACAGCATCAGCGGTACCACAGCCAACCTAGGATATACTACTACATCTGTCAACAAACCACAGCCCTCAGCCAGCGCCAGCAATGATCATTGGCAATATCAAACATCGGGTCCATCCGGCCGCTTAAGTTTAAATTCATTGAGGAGGGCAGGCAACATCATGTCAACTCGCCAACCTCACTGCGCTTGCATAGCTGACGATATCCCGTCCTAGCGGATGCACTGGTTGTTATGGAACCGACCCCGTCTATTCTAGAAGCAAAATCAGATGTTGTCGTCCTTGCGATCGCAACTTGAATGCGGGCGCATTGAAATTCATTACGTCTGGTGAGCCCGAAGAGCTCAAACTGAAACACGGACCGCCTTCCGCTTGTCAACATCTCAAAAAAAACGCGCACGGTCAGTGGCTACCCGAGACTCTCTAGGAATCAGATGGTGATAATGCGGTGAAGCAAATCGAGACTGCTGCCTGCAGCAGGCAGGCTGCGCGGAGCGGCAGAATTGCGGGGCGTTAGCACTGCATCGCTTCAGTAGAGCGCAGGGTCGGTCACAATATGTATTAAAACGATGGCTGTGCGTATCCTCTTTAGTTTGCTCCACAACTCAAGTACTTCAAGGATGTACCCTCGCGAGGTCGAGTACCACGTTTGATTTCCAAATTTTCCAGAGGGTCTATAGTATCATCATATCACAGCATAGTACAACGCATACCACTACAATATCTACATAGTCACATCGCTTCCCACCAATATGAAAGTCAGGGATTCTAAGTATAGAAAAATCATCGAAACAAGACAAGATCTAATCATAATTTGCTCCTCCAAACCTCCCTACAAACCACGAGCTTCGAGACGACTGCGGAAGATCTTTTGGAACTGCGAGACGTGCTCAAGGTCCATGAGCGTGTGATGTTCCCCAGGCACATCAGTATATGATGCCTCGCCGCGGCTGTAGCCAGACCATGGCTTGAGCTGGTTGTTCAGCCAGTCAGCCTTGGTTCCAGCAAAGGGAATGGCATAGAAAACGTCGAGTGCGGCTGTAAAGTTCGTACATGAGCAAGCGGTACTGAAGTTAGAAAGTGAACGGATTTACCAACTGAGCCTGATGGGTTATAGTCTAGTCCGCAATCGATGAGAGACCCAGCTAGGTCTACCCATTTATCAAGCTTCTCGAGCGTCAGCTGGAGCTCAACAATTCGTTCAGGAGGGGCCATCTTCCACACAAACTCGAGCTGCTCCTGCTTCGTAAGGGGTCTCAGCGGAGGAGCCAGATCATCAGCATCGTGTTTTGCCACGAGACCAAGGAAGGACGACAAGTGGAGCATGCCGGAGGTCCAATCAATCTCTCTCATGCGAGGGGCGATATGAGGGGGGATGTTGACGAGACCCACGAACTTCACTTCATCACCCATGGCCTCGAGACGCTTTGCAACTTCAAATGCAACAACACCGCCGTAACTGTAGCCTGCAATAGCGTATGGTCCCGTTGCCTGAGTCTTCTTGATCGCTGCGGCATAACAGGAAGCCATCTCATCCATGGAGGTGAAGTAAGGGTGGCCCGCATCGAAGCCACGAGCACGGAAAGCATAGAAGGGACGCTCATTAAGGAAGTATTTGGCGAGATTGACGAAAATGAGAACTCAATCGATACCGGGGTGAACGAAGAAAATTGGCGTCTTATTTCCACTAAGCTGAAGGGGAACGATGGGATCGTACTCTTCAGTCTGTGTCCCTTTGGAGAGTAAGGAGTCGACGTATTTCGCCAGGCTCGAGAGAACGGGGTTCTTGAGGATTTGAATGGCAGAGATGTCAGGTACGCCGAAGTGTTCCTCTCCTTCGCGCTTGAGGCTGGTGATTATATGTCAGTGAAGGTCGTTTGAGGACAGGAGGAGATGACTCACCGGATGGCATCAATGGAAGTCCCACCAATCTCGAAGAAGTTGTCGCTCGCTGATACCTCGCTGTCCGCGAGGTTGAATATGCCTGCATATATTTTGGCAAGTGCCTTTTCCGTCTCGGTGGACGCGGCGACGAAGGAAACGCCTCGTGCTTGACTGAGAAGCTCTTCAGCGCGCGCGATGTGCGTCGCAAACTGCCCTTGCGTGAAAAGACTAATCAGACGCGCACGAGACAGTTTACCGAGAGTGGTCCTCTCCATCTGGTTCACAGGGATGGGGATGACGATCTGAGGTGGCAGGGTGATCATCTTCACAGAGATATCCCGCAGAGCCCGGTGCGTGGCTAAGAGCTTCGCAGAGGCATCTACTTCGTCGAGGTCGAAAGTTGGTGAGTAGAAAATGATGAAACCTTCAGTTTCCTGGCCAGGAGCGCGGTATGGAACGGTAGCGAGGAACGAGTTCGTGACCCCGTCAGCGGTCTGCAGGTAGGTGTCGAGCTCGGGGATACCATACGAGACACCATGGACGATGAGTGTATCCTTGATACGGCCGCTCAGGCGCATGACACCATTCTCGATGATGCCAACATCGCCGGTGCGGTACCAGCCGCCTTCAACAAAGCTGGAGGTCGTAGCCTCGGCGTTGTTGTAGTACCGTACAAAGACCATCGGTCCACGAACCTGGAGTTCTCCACTCTCTCCATCTGGGCGCAGAGTAATGTCATCTGCAGGGTCAACGATGCGCATCTCACAACCATTGATGTGTCTCCCGAGTTCAAGGAACTCGTGAGCAGGCTCGGTTGTGAGGACATCCACAGGATGATAAATGCATCCGGCGCTGCAGAATAGTCATAAATTTGTTTAGATAGCCATATAGTTTAATTGGTCTTACCATGTTTCTGTCATTCCAAACCCAGGAGAGATGTCGAACGATACAGCGGAGGGGTTCTTGCCAAACTTTTTCATCATAACAGCGAAGGCTTGCGCGGTCTTGGAAGCCGTCGCTTCGCCTCCGCTGTTGATACGTCTGATCGAGGATAAGTCGAAGCATCCAAAGAGGTCGGTGTGTTTCTCCAGATCACGAGTTAACTTGGAGAGCAGGAAATTTGGGGCGAATGCTAATTCGATGGACTAAAAATAGAACGATGAGAGATATATTACATAAGCTTTGGTTGGGTTTTAACTTCAAGTTGGCACACCTTTTCATCAATGAGACGGAGCAGCCGAAGGGGGTCAGCAAGGATAGCGGCTGCGTGAACGTGGAGTTGCGAAGCACCATATAACAGAGGTGTGATATGCATTTCCAACGATCCCGCGACGTGATCAAATCCGACCCCTGAATATCACGGTCAATTAAAGACTAAAGTTTAAACCACGTGCGTCTTACAGTTCAAAACTCGAGATTCGGAAGTCAGGCTGTAGCTTTGACCCTTGGCACGACATGCAGAAAGGATCGTACGGTGCGTGTGAACGACCGCCTTCGAGAATCCAGTTGACCCTGAGGTCAAGAACAGAATCGCATCGTCGTCCGGCTTAGCCTCGTGTGCAACCCAGTCAGGTGCGACAGAAAATTTGTCCACCGATGCTTTTAATTCAGAGAGTAGGTGGACATCCAGACCAGAGATAGTGCTGATCTGCTCAGCACCTATCTCGCTGGTCAACCAAATAGCAGACTCAAATAGGTTCTTGATGTGGGCGACATGGCCTTCCTTATGCGTCTGTTGCGCGCTAAGTGCAGGCTGCAAGCAAGGCACATAGCCGGCCAGCAGACATGACCATACCGCAGCCATGTTGTCTTCGTGCTCCGTCAGGTACACGATGATGACTGAGCCTGTGGGTTTGCCCCACTCAAGCATGGTACGTGCAAGGTTGCGAACATATTGGTTGAATGCGCTGAAGGTCTTTGTCTGGATGGAGGAGTCATGTGCCGAGGAGGTTATGAAACCGAGCTCGTGCAATGGATAACGGTCGACAGCTTGAGCTATCACGTCATGAAGAGTATTGGGTTGTGGAGAGACAACGGATGTCTCGAGGTTTGTAAGGAATTCAGTGTTCGAGGTAGGGGCGACTGCGATGAGTGCCATTGCAAGATGTGTAGGGTTTCAAACGGTACGAGGATATTGGTTGTGAGGATCTGTTTGGAGGCCCACACTTATATACTGCGAACCCAGAACTCATAATCATGGAGTAGCACTCGATAGCGGATGCCGACTACTATATGGACTTGTCCCTCTGATGTCTTTGCTTATCGTTGAACGTTGAACCATTGTCCAATGAAGGAAACTTCGTGACTTACACGCCGTGTGTCTTGCACCGTGATGTTTGAGTGTCAATCGTAGTATGTACCTCACCGCAGCTGAGCGCTGATCACTGCCCCTAGCATTGAATTGTAGCGGAGAACTTCTCACATGCTGGTCAGTTATACATACTAAGTGCGCGATCCGAATCAATAAGGAACTTGGACTGTCTTGCGCTACTAGTATATGGTCTGATTAGGTGGAGACTAACATCTTGGGAGAGGATTGAGCGTACAAGTGAGACATTTAGGTACCAGTCCGAGTAGAACAGCCGATGACCCCGCGAATTATGGTCGGTGTCTCTTCAATTAATTCTTGACGCCGATTCTTTGCACGCCCTGGTATTCATCGATGAAGAACTTTCAATTCGGGGCCGGTATGCATTCCGGTGACATCTACAGCCTCTCCCGTATCATCCGAAGGGGGAAATTTTGTGACACTTACTTCTGCATTTTAGCATCCTCAATTAATGTTACTGTCAGTCTTTTTAGGGATCAGATCGATCACGATGCGTGCTGCCCGGGACAAACTGTTGATATCAAACTCGCCAACAGATAAGCCAAAATCTAGATCTAAGCCCGTGATGCAAAGTCAAAACCAGAACCTATAAAAGCAAATTTCCAGTATGGGCCCCAAAAGTCAGAAGTTGAAAGTTCATGGTTTGACTTGCCTTGCTCATTCTGCAAATGACCGTAAGCATTTGCGACGGGATTTCTCTAGAAACGGAAAAAATATGCTCACACACTCCACGGCACAGTCGACGATGAAGTGACTTCGGACCAACTACACCACCGGTACCATAACATATCAGGATATCCCGATCCTAGTTTAGTGCCTCGGAGGGCACGAATGTGTAGATGCAGTGACAAGGAAGAGATTTGTATCGACATAATCGACATAATGTATAAGGCGAGTACCTACCTGACAATGCATGTGACGGTGAACCTCAGGCTGGCCGACTAAGACAATACTTACAGGACACGTGGCTAAATTTAGGACACCGTCTAGAATCCAGCATCGTCTTAGACTCTTAGCCCGAGAGTCAACGACACGACTTGGTAGGTTGGGCTGGTCCGAGCGTTAGCTCGGGGTGGGACGCAAGCAGGTGGAGCCGCTGGGAAACCTGCTTACTGATCGTGTCACTGACTCTTTGGCAATTTGATCTGAGCTACGAATTTTACTATATTGACATGGGATGGACTTCGGCTGATTAAGTAACAGGTAGCGGGAAAAATTACGAGGGAGTGGTGGGTGGGACTAAAGAAGGTCTGGTATATGTGCGAGTGAGGATGTGCGAACGGTACGACGAACTCGACGTTGGTGAAGGAGGAAAAGAATACGACTACCGCAAGCGAACAACGCTACCGCTCAGCTGGACGTTTGGTGCCGGGTTATTCCGGCGAGCTACATTACCCGGCACCTGCGCTAGTATGCTCTCGTCGAACCTCTCAGGCCTGGCCCCTGGGCCCATGCACGTGCAAATACACTTCACGCCCGTAATAGTCAGAAGATGTACTAGTCGCCGGACCGTCGGAATTAGGGCCCAGCCTGAGGGGTTTGCGTTGTGAACACGGTTGGACTTACTACTTGTTTTTCTAGCACCTTTGATGCTCTTTTATCTCACATGATCACAATGTTCAGTCAGCCTATAATCAGGTGGCTAACAGATTTTGGTAACTTCCGGCACGCGGCACGATCACTCCGTACTAGTACGAGCCGTTGACGACCTTTCCATTCGACATTGATTGACTCTTCAACTGAACCATGTGAACACCTCTATCAAATAGTCACGAATAAGTAGTTTCGTCTTTCTTTGCGTCTACATATAGTTTGATCAAAAGCTAGAACGTGAACGCCAGTTTTATTGAACCTTGACTCCTTCCCTCGCACCAATGACTACCGCCATCGACAAAGCTTTTTACGACGAACAAGGGTACATCATCATCCCAAACCTCATTCCTCCAGAGACGTTCGAGGCCCTCGAAGAGGCCTGTGAGCGTGTTATAGCTAAAACCAGATCCGGATCATGGCCCCACCGGCGTACCGTTGGAAGACAATTCCCTCCGTTCGACGATAGCAATCCAGATTCATGGGGCGTTCAACACCTCATGCATCCTGACCTTGATGAGCCCGCATTTGCAGAGTGGTACACCTCGGACGCGCTTATTAATGTTGCGACGAATTTGTTGCAATGTAATGAAGATGAGCTGCAGATGGGTATGTTTGTTGCTTTGCCTGATAGTTTGTCTGATGTTGATATATTTTTCAGAGCTTTCTAACTTGTTGATCAACCCATTAGAACACGATTTTGCCCTTCGGTGGCATCGTGATGACGTACGAGAAAACGCGACCGCTGAAGAAGAAGCTGCTGCTCTTGCACTCTGGACGCATGGGGTGAGTACTCACAGTTGATGACCTGTTCGCTCTAAATGACTTCTAGGTCCAATGGAATACGCGAGTACTTTACAACGTCGAATTGTTGATGATTTATCTGAACCATGAACAGTGCTTTGTACGAGGACTCGTGTCTCTACCTCATCCCAAAGACCCATAGATTCCCAAGAACGGAGCCTCAGAGAGCCCAGTCAATAACACAAGCACCGCCTGCGAACCCTTTAGACATGCCCGGAGCGATTCAAGTCACCTTGCAACGTCAGTTCACGAAAGTTTATTTCTTCTCCAAGTGCGTCTCACCGAGCTTAAATACCAAGCTGGCGAGACGGTGATCTATAATAACAATATACTACACTGCGGAGCATACAACTCGAAACAGCGCCGCGCGACGCTTCATGGTTGCATGGGCGACATACGTGGCGGATCGACAAGAGCCAAAAATGTCCTCCAGCATGGACTGTTGTGGATGACGGAGGACCGCTTCCGTGATAGGTTGAATGAGAGAGGAAAGAGGATGCTTCAGGCTCTTATTGATATGAAGAATGGTGTTCAAGGCGATCTCGGATATTCGCTAGTGAATCAGACGTAGGAAACGTGTTTTCATCAATTGAGGTTAAGCTTAGAAATGTATCTAAGCTGTTGATCAGTTTCAGGGATGTTGACGGTTGACGCTGTCAGTATTCACTTCAGCAAAAAATGAGGCATGCTTGTGACGTGCCCGTTCCTCTGCAGTCATAATGAAAGTCGCATCATCTGCTGAAGCTGGGTTTACAAACAGTGCTCATCGATGCTGTCACTATATTCACCGGCGCTCATGTCTATCCATCGCTGGCAGACCTCATGACACCTCGTTTTTACGGCGATCTCATAAGAATCCCCAGAAAATCGCCTACGACGAGGATGATGGTGTAGTGAGTCGCTGATGCCGGCGGGAGTCAGCGCTTTATCGAAGCTCTAAAAATAATCAAGAAGGAACCTCCCAACGAGTCAGCCTAGGAATCACACAAGTAGTGTTGGTAGCGAGGCTGATGAATTCAACGTCACCGTGTAATTGTAATTTTCATTGCAATCTATCGCTGTTTGAGTTGTAATAGTGACTAGTGAGTCTAATCGTTGTCATATATATGAAATGCAAGCTTTTGGAGAGATACGGAGAAATAGCAGACAATGGACATGCAACTTGATGCAAGTGGGACTCTGTGGGAGAGAAAAAAAGAGACGCGCGGCACTCGCCGGGCGCTGTGTATGAAACCTTAGATTAGTTTCCTTGAAGCTGTTGCATTTTGCCATCATGATTGCAATTGTATTATTTGAGTCTTTACCCACGAAATGTGGCGAGCGTCCTATTCTCGAGAGATCGCCAAGGTGCTCAGTTCCGGCCCAGGCCTGCCAGAGAAAAAATAGCCTCGGTCAAGGACAACTTTGGCGCCGCTAACATTGTAGACTCACTCAAGGCTTGAGATGCAAGGTCGAACATGCGCACCCAGTTCGATGCTCTCTCATTTCTCGATTTACACCGACTTCAGGATTGCTATGTGCCATTTTGTCTTCACACGGGACTGAAGATATCGCTGGCGCGGTCAAAATGAACAGGAAGCAAGTGTCTAGCTTATTCAACACGAGTCTATCACCCACTAATTCATGCGCGCTAGAAGCTTGCTATGAAGGGTCGAACAGCGCCCTGGTTGATGCTTTCCCATCCCTCGAAGTAGTAGTATCCTATGCATCAAGATAATTTTACTTGAGCAAAGAACCTTCTGGCACGTCACTACGTTATCATCGGATGGGACAGGCTGTGATATCAACAGGCTGTGCGCTGAGCGCTGATGATTAGGCACACTGCCCGTTCTTATCTCTGCACTTGAGACGCTGGTGTAGTTAATTTTGTCTCAGTTGATGTGATCAATCAAGATTCTTACTCCAGGAACGGATATCCAGACTGACCGCTATAAAAGCACTAGATAATATTGCGTCTGCACAAACTCCATACGCCCCATCCAGATATGACCATAGTATTAAATGATCCCGCTTACTGGCCGTTTATCGGCCGCAGTATTATTATCAGCTATTTAATAGGTCCGTAAAGATAAAGTGGGATGAAGATGGTGACGTCTCACAATCTGACTTGTTTCGCAGTTGTGTCTTCTGCTGTAGTGGTTTACGATTGGGGTGAGCGAAATAATACTTTCTGAGGGCATAATGTCATTAATATCTATATAGCATTCAAGCATTAACATTTGGACAAGAGGTAAGTTGCAGTGTCATCGGCGCAGCTGTCTCATTAAGAATGCTTCAACAGTTCGAACTGGTCTGGGTAAGCAGGTCCTATATCAGAGGCAAATTGTATAATGCAATTGACTCGGAATAGAAGAAACCCTGGTCCTTTATCACCGTTCTTTATGTTTGTGTACGTTATGTTATGAACACAGTTGACATGCTGTGCTAAGTTGACTTCAACATATATTAGGTGCGCTACATCGGACTATCATACTCTGCGTAAGTTAGCGAGACTACCAAGTCGTCATTTCACTGTACTAACAACCATATCTCACAATTAGGATCAACGTATTATGTATGTATCCCCAGATACACTGCGCTCGTTTATTCTAACTGGCGGCATGTAGGCTCTCTCCCAGTCTCGATAACAGACCTTGTGGGTATTCCGTATTGATGCCTCCCATTCCCGTTCATTTATTAACTGCACTTCCACATAGGAGTGAGTGATATTTTCAGTCTCTTGTAATGTCGAACATAACGACTGCAACAGCTGTAAGTTTATGTGAGGCATCGAGTCCATAAATGCACATTAGTAAATTTGGTTTTCAGGCTTTATCATTTACCTCATATGGATATGGATACCTGTCGTCGTCAATGCTATGCTGGGCGGTGAGCTCACCTGTAGTACCTTACTGAGACTGACTTGACTGAAATATTATGCAAGTCATAATGATGATTCGGATACATGCGATGTATGGACGGTCCAAAAAGATGCTCATCTTTCTCGTTATAGTCTTGCTGGCTTCCACGGTTGCTACCGGCATTATGACAGTCATGGGGAGCATTGGTATTTCAGTGGGTAAGCTTCAATTATTTATGAAACCCTGAATCACATAAGACTCATGAACAATACCAGAGGAATTCGTCTTTTCTGGCTACCATACGTGTCTTTGGCTACCTGATAACCTAGAACAGGTGATCCTGAATGATGATAGGTTGATATCCACAGCTATATGGGAGATCCTCGCCTTCGTTCTCGCAGTCTGGGTTGTCATAAAACGCTTTCGCGAGCTGCGACAATTTCCGACAGGATCGACCATTAGGGACTGTTTTACGGTGTTAATTCAAAGTCACGCATTTTACTTTGTAGCGTGAGTTTGGTGGTTTGGATGTTGTTATCTTGTTTCGCTGAAGTTCCGCATGTGCTAGCTTTGCTGTTACAGCTTGCCTCAGCCTAGGCTCACTGTCTCCATATATCATGGTGCGCCAACTTGCGACTAAGCATCTGCATCTGTCCACTCATCAATGCATCATCATTTTAACAGTTCTCATCGTCTGCGGGAAGTAGTTATTATTTTGGTATTTTCCTAATCATTCGGGAGTTGCAGATGTTTGTGCTGGGTCCACGTTTGATCCTCAGCATTCGCGAATATCACTCCAAGCTTTTGGCCAGTTCCGACGAGGGAACAGGCATGACGACCATTCATTTCCAAGCTGGTGGTGATGTGTTGTCTGGAGATGTTTAGTACGGTGATCCAAACGATCCACTTCGGTTATTTGGAGGTTTGAATTAGGTTTGAAAAACCACTGCCATGCTGTATTACTTATTAGAATTATCTACCCAGCCATCCATGAACGAAACGTCTTGCGATCATTATCAATGCATGCGGGTAGCGCAGTCTGTTGTTTATGACATTGTCCACAATGTTTGAAATGATTTTATCGCCACAGGATTCATTCTCTTGCTATATGGGACGACAGTGAATGGGTTTCACAGTAGCTGGAATGAATAGAATCGACGAGTCATTTCAAAGTCATTTGCACCTTGTGATACAGTGAACAAACTTCGTGAACACAAATTCACCTTCAAAGATTCGATTTGCATCCTTCACATACTTTCTGCTATCCTCTGGCTCACTCTCATGCAAGTCCCTCCATTCCCTCACAAAGGGCTGCCCCCGCCCGCCAACTAGCAATACCAACAATCACCATACTCATCCCATTCACTTCTCAATTCTTTATACCTGCATGCAACACCCATATTTTCATGGGTTCTCATGGGCTACTCAAACTAATCCCTGCCCGCAGTCTACCGTCCCGCAGCCCACGTCGTCCTCATCCCAACCTTCGAATCTGTCCTCTACGGTGCAAACATACCCGACATCCTCACTCACTTCAGTATCGGACCTCCATGCTAATATTGTTAACGAAGTCAGGGGCGAGGTCAAAAAAGAGCTCATCACTCCACATGCCTATGGCTTTGTGATAGACCTCGGTGCAGGTGTCTCTTCCTCCACCGAAATGATAATCTGTTACTGCAAAAGACAGGACAAAACCACACCGTCAACTACCTCGACCATTCGTGTGTGACTCAATACTTAGCTGTAGTACCTGACGTGCATATACATGTGGACTGGCCGTACTGCCTGGGTACAGCAAAGATGCTAGAACGCTTCTTATCCTCCCTTGCGGCGGCGTTGAAAACATCTCTACCATCCTTTCCTATCTTCTTGTTCCGCACCCGCCTGTAGACACGCCCATGTCTGTCCTCACAATCTGCTCCGCCCCCTCGCTACAATCCATCATCTCCGTACGGGTCACAGAGGTACTGAAACCTGGAGGGAAATGTTGTTCTATGAACACGTGCTTAGCGTGAAGACGGATGTTATGTGATGGCAGCGTTTTGGACGCTGTTGTGGAGGATTTTTTCGATATGTCGCACATCCCATCGGTGGATTGAGGATGTGAGGGGATGGGTGCAGGGAGAAAGAAGTATTTGGGAGAAGGAAGGGGAGACCGAGGAACGTCTGTTTTGACACCGAATGGGAAGATTGGTTGAGGTGTGAGCAGACTTGTGTCATTCCCTCTCCATAGGCTTGGTAAACTTGGGCCATATGGACGTCGGTTATCCTGTACATCGCGCCCGAGATTCGTATTTTAAAATTTCACGGTGCGCTATCGTATTGGACCCTTGATCTTCGAGGCGACCTTGACTCACCGACTATCGAATGTGTGATTCTACCTGATTCTACTCCCTGGGGCGATACCAGGGGAGTAGCGGGGGTCCAACTCTACGATGTCCATCCCAGAGAACAAAAGCACAGCTGGAGGCAGACAGACTCGGAGACATACTGAGAGAACTGTCGGAATTTGATTCCTCCGAGTCACCGAGTCACTTATTCGCGTGTTAAGCGACTTGTCGTCCAAAAAGGTCGGCGATACAGAACTTCAGAAGTTTATAATTTGCAAATCAAAATGGAGATGAATGGGGGTCGCAAGTTGACAGTTGGGCAATCGGTCCACATATTGTTCTTCGAATGCCCGCACGCCACTCGTTTGCGGATTTGGATCAATGACCATCTGTGGTGCGGCGACTTTTGTCGCGTATAGCAAAGGAAACCGCACCTGATGCGTGCTAAAGACAGCAACTATCCATAATTTGAGGATGAGTGATTTTGAGGAGCGCTTCCTGGGTCCTCTTTCAACAAGATCGCGGCCCATGAGTTGTTCGGGGACAGACCCATCGGAATCTAGATTCAAATTATGATAATATGGACATTCGGCGACGTCCGAATATGAAATATGTGACAGCTGAGCGGTGGGAAACGGCCTATTAAGCTTTTAAGTTCTTCAACGCCCACTCCAGTCCAGATTTTGCGAGACTTACGATGTGCAGACTTCGAATTCCATGCAGAGCGTCAAAAAAACTCTCAGAAAATAAAACTGCTATCAGTCCACTATCAGGGCCAATTGTGGACCTTGATTCGAAATGTCCGACAATCGTGCTACGCTCCTAAAAAAAAAGCAAGCCCAGATCTCGTCTTGTTCCCAAAGTTCACTTTCTTTCCATCTTCCTAGGAAAGCCTCATCATGGTCAATAATGCTGGTGCCACTGCCCCAGTGACAAACACACCTCCCCGCAACTCTGGCTTGGCCGCCGACCTCAATTCCACCCCACACGCAGTCGGCTCCGCTGTTGTCAGCGAACACACCGATACTCTAAGCGACAAGTGCGTCAGATTTTGTGTTCCAGCCACTATTGTCCGTACTGAAATTCGTTATTCATGCAGCGTCAGTGATGTTCGTCCATGGACCATGCGCGACGACAGGAACTTCAAGCGATGTGGGGCAGACGAAATGCTGCAGCGGCTCCTTGAAATCTGCGTAAATCCTACCCAATCCCTTCTTCCCAGTCAGAAGTCCACGTTACTCGACACTTCCCTCGAGGCTGTCCTGCCCCTCTGCAATGGGCCAGGTGTGGCGCAGAAGATCAAGCAACACTTGACTAAATTGTGAGCCAGCAATTCAAAGAACGCGCAAAACACTAACGCCATTATCAAGTTGTAATATCGAGAGCGAAACCCCGTCTTACTCTGATTTCGTCGAGGCTGCCAACCATGCACTTCGTGGACTCAGGAAGGTGAACGTACCTGGAATACCTGCTTTTCAAGATGAAGATGAAACCAATATCATCTTCCATGTGAATGATCCATCGTTCATACACCAAGAATATCAGGGCGAGAAGTACAGCCGCAATCCTGATGTCGTCGTCGTTTCTCATCAGAGCGCTGCGAATATCATACCGGAAGGAAAATCCAAAGATGTTTACCAGTCTGCCTGCAAGGCGCCTACAAAAGATCATGAGAACTTCCAATGGATAGAGGTTCGAACAACATTTGAGTTTAAACGCCCGAAGACGCGTCTGCCTCATCCACCGTCTGCTTACACTAAGGACTACGTAATTCCTACTGTCATGTACATGGAATATATGACAGACACGGACACGTCTGCCACTGGTACTACTCAGACCTCCTGCGAGACCTCGAACGAGCGTAAGCCGTCCATCTCCGCTGCTTCTTTTGATATGCGCCATGAAGTACAAAATATATCCGATCAACTCAGAAGCAACAAGCGTGGCTCTGATCATTTACGTTCAAACGAGCCGTCCACCAGCAAACGATCCAGGCATGACGAAGAGAGGCAATCAAACCAGGAGGAGAGGAGCAATCAGCAAAAGAAGGGGTCGAATAAACTTCATCCTGTCATCCAAAATGATTTGTATGTTGAGGAGATGTTTGCGGCTCATGTGGCGCGCCAGCATGTCATCTCGTTTATAGTAAACAGTATGTGGATGCAACGCAGTTGTCCTGTTGTCGAACTAATTGTTCATTCCAGACGACATCATTTATCTCTGTTGGTTCGATCGTCAGGATATGATCCCATGCGCTGGCATCAACTTCGTTCAGGACCTTCCACGCTTCGTGGTCTTGCTCTTCATCATGCAGCGCATGGGATACAAGCAGTGGGGCCTCCACCCGTTGTTCGAACCTGAACCTGGATATGAAGGCGAGATTATCGTCGAATACGAGGACAACACGAACAAGGACGACTGGGATAAGAAGGGCCAGGATAAGAGGAAGCGCATTGACCTTACACTGGATTTGAGGTCTGAGAAGTCCATGACTTATTTCGGTCTACGGGGACGTGCAACCACTGTCGTTCCCGTGAAGAGCAAGGCGCTGTCGGCTCTGCCGCGGCGTTCATATTTTCTTAACGAATCCACCGAATTGGTTGCCAAGCTCTTTTGGCCAGAAGAGGCACGCCAGAGCGAGCCCGAGATCCTCGAAGAGGTCTACAAGATTGCGAAGGATGATCCCGATGTGTTGGGCCATGTTCCAGAGATGGTCTGGTTCCACAAGTTTGAAGACACATCCACAGCGATAATCAGAAAGGCACTAGGAATCGATGACGCGGGCAGCCAGGTTCTATACATAATCGTGTTCAGAAAGCTTGACCCAATCACGACGCTGAGCGGTGAGGAGTTCCTCCTCGCATGGTGGGAAGTTGTCAAGTGTAAGTGACCTGTCCTTCTCGTGCTATTTATCATCCACTCATTACTGCTACAGGCCATCGCGCGCTCTGGAAGAGGGGAGTGCATCACTGCGACATTAGTCCCAGTAATCTCATGGGATACCGCTTACGCGGTCGATTCATGAGCGTCCTGAATGATTTCGACTTATCGTCGATCAAAGAGTCTTTGTCCTCGATTCAAGACTCTCCCAAAGGCTTCGAGCGCACAGGAACGGTACCGTTTATGGCGTTGGACCTTCTTATGCCAGGAGCCGGACGAGTCGAGCACGTGTACCGTCATGATGCTGAATCGTTCATCTGGGTTCTCACCTGGATCTGCCTTCGGTATAAAAAGGGCAAGCTTCGCAGGAAGCGCAGACCATTGGATGAATGGCTGACAGCGGATGCCATGGGATGCTTCTACCAAAAAGCGGTTTTTTTGGGAATGCAGCCTACGATGCGTCCAACACGATCGCACAAAGAAAATTTCAAAGTTGCCTCTAATTGTTTAGACGTGATTCACAAATATTCGGGCCCATTCGCGTCCGTTCCAGCGGACGATGAAGTCGTATTTCAGGAATGGCTGCAGAACCATGTTCCACAGCATGTGCGTGAACTTACAAGCAATCTCTTGTCTTGCCAGTAGGTTGCGGTTTAGTTGTAGTTGAGGCAGGATGCCTCCAGAATATCCTGAAATTATATACTCAGGCTATCTTGTAGATTGAATGTAGAACGAACATCGTGCTCCGTGCCATCCTTATTGTTCATCTTTCGAACGAACAGGCTGGGGGGCTCAACATTCAATACTCAATGCTCGCCCTCTGCGTGAAAATTTTCCACGGGGCCATTATGATAATTCTTGACTTCTTGAACTTAAACCATCATGATGGCACTGTCCGAGGTCCACTTCATAATAACTTGCTCGGCGATGGACGTTCAAAAGAGTGATGCGAACGTGGAAGAACAGCGCAGAATAGGTACGTGCGAGGGCTGTGAACTTCGACTTAAGAATATGTTTACTGCGTATACCGGGCGGTGGTTAAGGCCGACGGTCATTGCCACTTTGTTGATGCGTTCAGTTTCCCACCAGGGCCACCACCCTCAGGTTAGGGAGCCTAGAGTTGGAATGGTAACTACTAACACTCCTTTGTATCGCTCTAAAATCAAACAAAGGCGGTGAGTTTCTCTATGAAATGGAATCTAGCTAATAGCCTATCAATGATTTGGAATAGGCGTGATGCTCATCAAAATGCTGACTGTTATAATGGGCCCGTTCGTGTTGACCGCTATAAGAGCGGTGGATGGTCACGGTGGTGTCTCTGCACAAACTCCCTACGCCCGTGCCCTATACAGAAATGACTCTAATCTCAAATGATCCCACTTGGTTGCCGTTCATCAGCATGTCTGTTCTCCTCAGCTATTTCGCAGGTGCGTAGAGAGCAAGTGGGATGAACTTCGATGCAGTATCATTGATTTATTTTGCAGTTGTATATTTTACTGTGGTGGTATACGATTGGGGTGAGCGAGAAAATACTTTCCGAGGTGTCATTAACATTTATACGACATTCAAGTATTAACATTCGGACAAGAGGTGAGTTTCAGTGTCATCGTCACAGCCGTCCCACTAAGAATGCTTCAACAGTTCGAACTGGTCTGGGTAAGCAAGGACTTATCAGAAGCAAACTGGACAATCCAGTTGACTCGAAGCAGAAGCAACGTTGGTCCTTCATGACCGTTCTTTATATCTGTGTACGTTATGAATGCAGTCGACTCTGACATGTTGTGCTAAGTCGACTTCAATACATGCTAGGTGCGCTGCATGGGACTATCATATTCCGTGTAAGTTAGCGCGGATAACGAGTCGTCATTGCACTGTACTAACAACCATATCTCACAATTAGGATCATCGTATTATGTATGTATCCCAAGATACACTGCGCTCATTTATTCTCACTAGCGGCTTGTAGGGAATCTCCCATTCTCGATAACAGACTCGGTGGGTATTCTGCACCGATGTTCCCATTCAATTACTGACTGCACTCCTACACAGGAGTGAGTGATATTGATATTCTCAGTCGCCTTATTACGTTGAACATAACGACCGTAACAGCTGTAAGTTCATGCGAGGCATCAAGTCCATCGATGCACATCAGTAAATTTTGTTTTCAGGCCTTATCGTTTACTTCTTATCGGCATGGATACCTATTGTCGTCAATGCTATGTTGGGCGGTGAGCTCACCTGCGCTACTTTCCTGATACTGACTTGACTGAGATATTATGCAAGTCATCATGATGATTCGGATATATGCAATGTATGGACGACCCAAAAAGATGCTCATCTTTCTCCTTGTGGTCTTGTTGTCTTCCACGATCGCATCCGGTGTTATGACAGCAATGGGAAATGTTGGTGTCTCAGCGGGTGAGCATTAATTATTGATGAAACCCTGAGGCACGCAAGACTCATGGACAGATACCAGAGGAACTCGTCCTTTTTGGTTACCATGCGTGTCTTGTCGAATTTGACACAAACCAGAAAGACCTGAATAACGAGACTATGATACCCACCATTATATGGGAGATCCTCGCCTTCATTCTTGCAGTCTGGGTTGTCATCAAACACTTCAATCAGCTACGACAATCTCGGACAGGATCAACCATTACTGGGGACTTTTTTACGGTGTTAATTCAAAGTCACGCATTTTACTTTGCAGCGTGAGTTTGGTGGTTTAGATGTTATTATCTTGTTTGACTGAAGTTCTGCATGTGCTAGTTTTGCTATTGTAGCTTGCTTCAGCCTAGGCTTACTGTCTACATATATCACGGTGCGCTTATCTGCGACTAAGAATCTGTGTCTGTCCACTCATCGTCATTTTAACAGTATTCATCGTCTGTGGGAAGTGCCGTTTATATCGGTTTTTTCGGAATTGGCCAGGTGTTGCAGATGTTTGTGCTGGGTCCACGTCTCATCCTCAGCATTCGCGAATATCATGCTAAGCTCGTGGCCATGTCTGACGAAGGAATAAGCATGATGTCTATTGATTTCCAGGCTGGTGGCGATGTTGAGCACAGCCATTCAGATCAACGCTAACCACAGTTACTTGGTGTTTCGTCGTAGTACTTATTTGGTGATTTGGAGGATAGAAGTAGGTCTGGGAAAACCACTGCCGTGCTGCATTACTATTAGCATTGTCTGCCCAACTATACAAGAACGACATGTCTTGATTCAATGTTTAGAATGATTTTGTTCCCACGGATTCATCCTTTCACCCGCTTGCGGTGAATAGTCGTGAACAGGCTCCGTGCCATACCGTGACAAGTTCAAATATTCACCTTCACATACTTCCTGCTCTCTACAGTGCAAACATAAGCGACATCCTCACCTACTCCAATATCGGACCTTAATAGCGTCAACGAAGCAGACAGGTCAAAAAGGGCTTATCTTTGCTTAAGCAAAGAACCCTCTGATACGTCACTAACTAGTACGTTATGGGGCAAGGAGAGATCCTTGTTGATATTAGCAGTTCGCAGGCTGGGCGCTGATGCATGATGATTGAGCACACTGCCCGTTCTTATCTATGCTCTTGAGCCGCTGGTGTAGTTCATTTTCGTCTCTTTACATGATCGTCTCATGGGAACAACTCATATATTCGAACAGCATAATACATATCACACGATTTTTGCTGATCATCAGAACATGAAGAGCCGACATCATAGGCCGCATCACATCAACGGCAGTGTGGTGGTGTGATGAAGCTCCACATACCGGTGCGACCCATGCGACATTAGACTAATCGAGAGCTAGCAGTCAGACCACCCTCGACGGATCTCATTGAGGAGTTCTAGGTGTTACTAGCGTCCAGTCTGTCGACGCCTACTGTGCATTGGGTGTGCACATCTTAGACTGTGGTACGTTGCTGCGTTATGATTGGATGGTGCAACAGAATAATAATCTACTAGCTATCTGAATGAAGCCCTGCAGTAAACGCTAGCGATTAGATGATCATGTGCTGATGGAAGCAGTGCAGAACGTGCCGAACAGCATTGGAACACATTCCTTCATCAATAAGTTCTCTCACGTAACGAGGCTCTGCAGTTAGTCTACGTTAGGTATCATTAGACGACCATTGATGGAAATGGCCAGAATGTGGTAGTTTGACAGCACTAGATTTGGAACATATCGCTTCGCCGACTGATTTTCAGCGCCTTCACATATTTCGCAGCATAAACCTCATCCACCCCATCCAGATATGACCGTAGTCTCAAATGATCCCACTTGGTTGCCGTGGATCAGTAATTTCAAGGTTTTCACCTATTTTTTAGGTCAGTAGAGAGCAAGTTGGATGAAGATGGTGACGTCTCACTACCATTGACTGGTTTTCCAGTCGTATCTTCTGCCGTGGTGGTATACGATTGGGGTGAGCAAAACAATACCTTCCGAGGTATCATTAATATCTATACGGCATTCAAGCATTAACATTCGGACAAGAGGTAAGTCGATGTCATCGATGCAGCCACGTCTCACTGAGATTTTTTTTGACAGTTCGAACTGGTCTGGGTAAGTAATGTCCTGTATCAGAAGCAAATTGGATAACGCAGCTGACTTGGAGCAGAGGCAACACTGGTCCTTCATGACCGTTCTTTATGTTTGTGTACGTTATCGTGTTATGAATGCAATCGACATGTTGTGCTGAATCGACTTCAACATATACTAGGTGCGCTACATCGGACTATCATATTACGTGTAAGTTAGCGCGGCTAACAAGCCGTCATTGCTCTATACTGACAATCATATCTCCAATTAGCGTCCTATTATGTATGTATCCCCTCAAATAGACTGTTCGCTTCTTCTAACTGGCGGCATGTAGTGAATATCTTGGTCCCGATAATAGACAATGTCAGACATAGTGGGCATTCTGCGCCCATGGCTGCCATTCCCATTCAATTACTAACTGCACTCCTACACAGGAGTGAGTGATATTCTCAGTCACCTTGTCATGTTAAACATAACGACTGCAACAGCTGTAAGTTCATGCGAGGCATCGAGTCTGTTAATGCACATCAGTAAATTTTGTTCTCAGGCCTTATCATTTACTTCATATCGGTATGGATGCCTGTCGTCGTCAATGCTATGCTGGGCGGTGAGCTCACCTGCGGTACCTTCCTGATACTGACTTGACTGAAATATCATGCAAGTCATCATGATGATTCGGATATATGCCATGTATGGACGACCCAAAAAGCTGCTCGCCTTCCTTGTTGTAATCTTGCTGGCTTCCACAATCTTCTCCGGCGTTATGACAGTCATGGCACACATCGGTGTTTCAGCGGGTGGGCTTTAATTATCGATAAAACCCTCGAGCACATGAAACTCATGGACAAATACCAGAGGAATTCATCATTTTTGGCAACTATGTGTGTGTTACTGCAAATGAGGACACACACCAGGTGGATCTGGGTTACGAGAGTTTGATATTCACCGCTATATGGGAGATCCTCGCTTTCATTCTTGCAGTCTGGATTGTCATAAAACACTTGCGTGAGCTGCGACAATCCTCGACAGGGTCGACCATTGGGGACTGCTTTATGGTGTTAATTCAAAGTCACGCATTTTACTTTGCAGTGTGAGTTTGGTAGTTTGGATGTTATTATCTTGTTTGACTGAAGTTCTGCATGTGCTAGTTTTGCTACTGTAGCTTGCTTCACCCTGGGCTCACTGTCTCCAAATATCACGGTGTGCTAATCTGCGACTAAGCATCTATGTCTGTCCGCTCATCATCATTTCTACAGTACTCATCGTCTGTGGGAAGTATGCTTTTTGGCGGTGTTCTCAAAGTTGCACAGGCGTTGCAGATGTTTGTGCTGGGACCGCGTCTGATCCTCAGCATTCGCGAATATCATGCTGAGCTCGTGGCCAGGCCCGACGAGGGCACACGCATGACGTCCATCCATTTCCAGGCTGGTGGCGATGCGTTGACTCCGGGCGAAGGTGTGTTGACTGGTGGAGATGTTTAGCACGGCGATCCAAATGATCAACCACGGTTATTTGGAATTTCGTTGTAGTATTATTTGGTGATTCGGAGGATATATAGAAGTAGTAGACTGCTGTGCTGTATTACTTACTATCAGCGAAACGTCTCGTGATCTACATATATGATGAACTTAATGTTTAGAATGATTTTATTCCCACGACATTCATCCTTTACCATGAGACCAGTGTTGCGGGCCACAGTGAACGGGCTTATAGCCGGGGTGAATAGACTTGACAAGTCATTTTCACCTTGGGATACAGTGAACAAGTTCCGTGCATACAAATTCACCTTCAAAGACTCGATTTACATCCTTCACATACTTTCTGCTTTCTTCTGGCTCGCTCTCATGCAAGTCCCTCCATTCCCCTACAAATTAGCAATACCAATCTTATATGCAATCGCCCTACTCACCCCATTCACTTCTCAATTCTTTATACCTGCAACACCCGTATTTTCATGGGTTCTCATGTTCTACTCAAACCAATTCTTACCCGCAGACCACCGCCCCGCAGTCCACGTCGTCCTCCTCCCAACTCTCGAATCCGTCCTCTACGGCGCAAACATAAGTGACATCCTCACTCACTTCACACACCCAGTCCTCGATATCATCGCTTGGCTCCCATACGGCGTTATCCACTACACATTCCCCCTCGTCCTCGCTGCTCTCCTCTGGCTCTTCCGCCCACCCACTCTCCCCGTATTCGCAAAAGCCTTTGGCTATCAAAACTGTATAGGCGTATTCGCCCAAATAGTCCTCCCTTGCGCAGCACCCTGGTATGAAATCATATACGGCCTTACACCTGCAGCATACGGCACACCCGGATCCGCAGGCGGCTTAGGCCGCATCGACGACCTGTTCGGTGGAGATGGCTACAAACGCACTTTTGCTAGCTCGCCCCTCGTATTTGGTGCATTCCCTAGTTTGCATGCCGCATGGGCCACTCTCGAAGCACTATTCATCACCGCCTTGTGGCCCCAGTATGCGAAATGGGCTTGGGCATACGCAGCCGTCCTCTATTGGAGCACTATGTACCTCAGCCATCATTATCTTATTGATGTCGTGGGTGGTGCCTGTCTCGCCACCGCCTGTTTCTACTTTTTCGTCCCCGAGGAGCTGCGCAATGGGAGCGTTAATGTTGCTGGGGACAAGTACGAGAGATACGATCTCGAATCGAGGAGAGGCGGTGTGGGCGCAGACGAGTTTGCGAGCGATTGGACGCTCAGCGATGAGGAAGAGACGCCTATTGCCTACCGATCGCCGAATCCTGCAAAAGGGAAGGGGAGAGGGCATAGGCATACAGCTAGTATCGCGAGCCTCATCAGACCTGATGAAAGAGCCGGGGAGGAGGGTTGGAGCCCCGTCACTGGTGTTGGGTTCGTGTTCCCACCTGAAAGTAGGAGGTAGTCCGTTAGATGGATGGTTTTCTTGCATATACCCGGGTTATGATTGTTAGATTCTTGTGTGATTCTAAATCTGCATTACATAGTCCAATCTCAATTTGATGAAAGCTGGTTTATTCAAAATCATAACCACATGAAGAATAACGTTTCCAACGCTGCACCCCTGTACACCTCGACAGACATTTACTCCAGTGCGGACCTGATTGTGGAACGACTGCTCCCGTTTCGTTTCTGGTTTGCAAATGAAAGAATGGTGAGCGTGCGCGTCCTAAACGCCTGGAATGAGCCCAGGGTTCAATCTGCGTGGATACCAATCGCGATGCACCGACGAACACGCGTGCTGCATTGTTGCGATACGCGCACAGAGAGGTGGACCTGGGTGCAAGGAGTGTGGCGTATATGACATTGAAGCTACGACTCACGCACTAACGATCAATAGTACCAGTATTCTAACAGTCGACGGTAACACTGGTTCTGATTATGACAGGTAGATGGACAAGATATACATGCAGGGGCCGATGAGAGAGCTGAGGGGGAGGGCTGCATAGAATCCGATCGCAGGCCCATGATCCCACGTGCATATGTACTTTCGATATTGCCACACGATCAAGATATCCATATTAATGCATATTGTTGATATACGCGTTCGACCCGGATGAAGCTGGGCGATGTGCGCAGTGCATCGTGATGGCTTTGTTGTAGCTCATCAGAATACAGATGATGAGTAAGATCTGATACTAAGACATCTGGTGAAGGTAGAGAACAATGCACCAGCGCCTGGGTATAGAACCAACACGTTCCTGATAACTTGCACGTCTTCAATTTGCCCTTATTTGATGTCCCCGATGATAAACATGGAGTCTTGAAAGACCGCATGAATAGATGATAGGGGAGTGGTCGTCGCGGTGCGAATACGGCAATATAGTAAACTCCGGGGGATCAAGGCGAAAGAACTTCAAGTAAGCTTCCTCACCTGTCCGATATAGATGGTTCGCATGCGATGAAGAACTAGAGAACCGGTAATAAGTCATTGGCCGTTAGGCAGCAATAGCTTGAAAGAATGGATGCTACGCACGAATGAGACCGAACCACGACAGGCTCATCTGGGAGGATGCTGGTGGATCCGAGTCTGCTAGTAGGTCATCGATTCATCATCCAAGTGGCCTATCGGAAATTCGGAATCCTTTGTCCAGGTCTGAATCTCAAACATAGCACATTCCGTCGTGTTGACAAACCACGTGACTAGTATTAGTACTACGCGCCGGCAGCCGCACGTCACGGCAAACACCCGGGGCCCACATACATCTTCTCATCACGATCCTGAACAAACTCCATGCGAATCCTGATTCTCAGTCCAGTACCGATAAAATATAAATATATGTGCTAGCCATGCCTCCCTCTCCGTCAACTGCACCATCAAGTGCTTACTGTGTGCGACAGTTCAAGTTGAGATGCGCCTCGGTGCAGCCTTCGGAGTGGTCTCAGACCTACGTCTTGGCTTCGTCGGCGGCCTCTGGCCTACGATTATAGCAATCTGGCATGCCCCCTCCTTACTCTTCCAACCACTTGAGATATCCCGCACTTTCATGTCCCACGTATGGGACCTCTATGGTGATAGCGCTGACGAAGCCGGAAGGGCGGTCAAAAAAGGGCTCATCACTCCACACGCCTATGGTGTTGTGCTAGACCTCGGTGCAGGTGCGTCTCTTCTTCCACCGAAACGATAATCTGTTTATACAAAAGACAGGACACGGCCACACCATCAACTACCTCGACCATTCGCGTGTCACGAAATACGTAGCTGTAGAACCCAACGTGCATATGCATGCAAAGCTGCGCCGTACTGCCTCTGCTGCTGGGTACAACGAAGATGCTGGAACGCTCCTTATCATCCCTTGTGGTGCTGAAAACATCTCTGCCATCCTTTCCTATCTTCCTGCGCCGCACCCACCTGTAGACACTCTCATATCTGTCCTCACTCTCTGCTCCGTCCCCTCGCCACAATCCACCATCTCTTCATTGGTCACGGAGGTGCTGAAACCTGGGGGTCAGATGTTGTTCTATGAACATGTGCTTAGCGAGAGGGAGGATGTTGTGTGGTGGCAGCGTTTTTGGACACCGTTGTGGGGTATTGTTTTTGATGGATGTCGTTTGGATCGCCCATCTCATAGGTGGATTGAGGATGTTGGGGGATGGGTGCAGGGAGAAGGAGGTATCTGGGGGAAGGAAGGGGAGACTGGTGAACGTCTATTTTGGCACCGAGTGGGGAGATTGGTTAAGGTCTGAGCACATTCGTGTCATTCCCTTCTCGATAGGCTTGGTCCTTCATAATCAACGTGGATCATTTTGACCAATCAGACTGACCGCCACGTACGTGTTATTATGTTGGGGCTCAGCTACTTATTTCCTGCATCGTCACCAATAACAGCCGGCTCCTCCGCACGTCGAGGAGCCAGTTTTTGGCTATATGGGTGTTCGAACGCCTCCCTAAAACCTGCGAGGCCCATTAGGTATTCCATGCCGTTCAATGGCGAAGTATTGTATTTCCAATACACCTGCATGCCTATTTCACATACCGACTTAACCTCTCGCGATCAATAACAGATGTTGGCAGGTCGTGTTCATCATGAAGTGATACTGCGCCACAAAAATTAACCGAGAATTTGGGATCTCATCAACTTCTTTGAATTCGAATAGGAACTATCAGTCCACTATCAGTACTTGCGGACCTTGACTTGAAATGTCCGATAATAGTGCTGCGCTAGCTTAAATAGCGAGCTTAAATCCCGTCTTCTTGATCCCAAAGTTCACCTTTCTTTTCTATCTTCCTAGGAAGGCCTCATCATGGCCAATAATGTTGACGCCACTGCACCAGTGACAAGCATACCTCCCGGAAACTCTGGCTTGTCCGCCGACCTCAAGTCCACCCCACACGCAGTTACTGTTGTCAGCGGACACATTGATATTCTAAGTGTCAAGTGCGTTAGATCTCCAGTTCCGGCCACCATTATTCGTACTGAACTCAATCAGAAAGGCAGTAGGAATCGACCACACGGACAACCGGGTCATACGTATCATCGTGCTCCGCAAGCTTGACCCAATCACGACGCTGAGCGACAAAGAGTTCCTCCTCGCATGGTGGGAAGTCGTCAAGTGCAAGTGCCATCATGTCCTTTTCTTGTTCTCTATCATTCACCCATTACTCCGACAGGCCATCGCGCCCTCTGGAAGAGAGGCGTGCATCACCGAAACGTCAACCCCAGTAATATTATGGGATACAGCTTCGGTGGTCGATTTATCAGCGTCCTTAACGATTTTGACTTGTCATCGATTAAACAGGATCATCCCAGAGGCTTCGAACGCACAGGAACGGTGCCATTCATGTCGTTAGACCTTCTCACACCGGAAGCCACCGCAGACGAAGTCGAACACGTGTACCGGCATGATGTTGAATCGTTAATTTGGGTCCTCATTTGGGTCAGCCTTCGGTATGAAGATGGCAAGCTCCTGAGTAAGGACAGACCACTGGATGAATGGCTGATGTCAAATGCTGTTGGATGCGCCAAGAAAAAGGTTTGCTTCATGTTTAAGGGTATAGGTAGCAAAAATCTGCGGACACCGATATCGCACAGTGTGTCCTGGGAGGTTGCAAAGAAGTGCTTAGCGATGGTTTACAAACATGGAGGCCCATTGCGTCCCGCTTCCACGAACGATGAGGAAGTGTTCCAGACATGGCTCCAGTATCATGTGCCGAAAGATGTCATTCAAGCCAATCTCTTGTCTGGCCAGTAGAGTAGATATACTTGCAGTTGAAGCAGCGTGCCTCCGAAATGTGGTACTACATACAATCTTGTAGATTCAATGGAAAACACACGCAGCTGTTGAGTATTTTTTTACGGTTCTGTACATCATATTGAATTAAGATTGCCAATTTCTATCAAGAGTGATCGATACACATATTTTGCTTGTTCAATTTCAATATTCTCTATGGGTATCACCGCCGGCCATATATTAGCAAATATTGTTATCTGCCAGCTTGATGGAAAGCGGAGAAGACCACCGAAACAGGACGAGAACATTAGCGGGGTCGGGGAGGGTCGGGGAAGCTAAACACTGACCATCATGATATGCATCAGTGGACTGATGACCATATTATAAGGCTATAGTTGACCATATATATAACAACAATCACCACAAAGGTGGCGGTGGGTGTTACATAGAGATATTTGACCTTACATAGGAACGATGAATTTTGAAGCCGGCCAATCGAGTCCTTCTATGCCGAATGTACCATGTTTTACTGAATCGTCGTGTAATGGAAAGCTGTAGCTGAAGCCAATGAAGTAAAAACAGAGGTCCATACGTGTCAAGATACCGTAAAAGTCGCCACGAACCATTGGCACGAAGTTCTTCCATCACGCGACAATCAAGTAAAAAAAAATTGCCTGGTTCGAACATCGCCTTTCTCCGTAGATCATTCCACCCAGCATCTGGATATCATCCATGTGCATAAAGCCTGGCCGGTAGATAGGTCACTTCGTTAGTTCATAATGATCGGGTGTCTGTATACTTGAGCCACACGAAGGTCAGTCATCGGAGATGTGATCCCCCCCACGAGGATTGAAGGAAACCCACCAGCAATCATCATCGTATCAAGAGCTGGAAGAGGCTGGCCGTTCCCGCACAAGTCGGGACCACTGCACAGCATAGACACCAGCACAAGGCCAAGAAACATATAGAGTTAGTAGAATAGTGTAGGTAGTGTCCACCATAGGGCTTCACATCAACGGACAATAACCAAGAACTTTTGAAAAAAAATATATATACATGGCGCCCGAGATTCGTATTTCAAGGATTCACGGCGCGCTATCGCATTAGACCATCAATCTCCGAGGCTTGAGGATTATAGAATGAGTGATTCCACTCCCTGGGGGCGATACCAGGGGAGTAGCGGGGGTCCATCTCTACGACTTCCACTGCAGATAATGGAAGCACAGCCCGATATTTTGGAGGTAGATGGAGACGTGTGAGAAAACCATCAGAATCAGATTTCTTACATATTCGCGTGTTCATTCGTCCAAAAGGTTGGCGATATGGAAGTTTAGAATTTGTAAATCAAAATGGGGGTGAATGGCCGCCGCAAGTTGCTATCGGTCCATCTATTGTTCTTCGACGTCCACACGCCACTCATTTGCGGACTTGAATCAGTGGAATCCATATTTGCGCGACTTTCGTCCTTGTGCAACGTACGGAGTGTCAATAAAAGGCAGATAGCAAAGGAAACTACACCTGATGCGTGCCAAAGACAACAGAAACGATCCATAACTTGAGGAAGCTGAGTGATTTTGAGGCCTCCTGAGTTCTCTTTCAACCATAGAGAATGATCGCAGCCCGGTTGTTCGGGAAGACAGATGAGTCTGATAAGACAACCAGAATCTAGATTCCTTATGTTGTAAGTAGAAGTACTTACCAGTTATCCGTCATCCGAAAGGTTGGTGAATATGTACATGAAATCGGTGATGGCCGCCGCGAAGAAATTGACAGCTGGGCGCTGGGCTATCAGGCGGACTATCAAGTCCTTCGACGCCCACAAACCATTCCTCCAATCAGTGAAATTCTTCTACGAGACTTTCGAAGAAGCTTGTGCGATGTGCGGACTCCTGCGGAGCGTCAAAAAAACATTTAGAAAAATGTTCATTGAGAAAGAGATCGTACTCGATCATAGATGGGTCAAAAGGTAACAGCAGCGATGTATTAGATTTTCTGTCGTAATGATACAAAGAAGATACAACTGCTGCTTGAAAATTCAAGACTGATCTGGATGAGGTGCCAGTGGGTCGTGTTGATGAAGTGATGCGTTGTCAACCGTTTGTGCCACAACTTTTATTAATTGTAGCCGACAGACTGAGATTTCCATCAACTTCTTCGAATTCAAACACTTGTGGACCTTGACTCGAAATGTCCGACAATAGTGCTGCGCTAGCTTAAATAGCGAGCTCAAATCTCGTTTTCTTCATCCCGAAGTTCACCTTTCTTTTCCATATTCCTAGGAAGGCCTCATCATGTCCAATAATGCTAGCGCCGCCGCCACTACGTCAGTGACAACCACACCTCCTCGCAAGTCCGAGTCTGGCTTGCCCGCCGACCTTAAGTCCACCCCACACGCAGTCGGCTCCGCTGTTGTCAGCGAACACATCGACACTGTAGGCGTCGAGTGCGTCATATTTTCTGTTCCGACCTCTATTATCCATACTGAACCCCGTTATTCATGCAGCGTCAGTGATGTTCGTCCATGGATCGCTCGCGACGTCAGGAACTTCAAGAAATGCGGGGCAGACGAAATGCTGCAGCGGCTCCTCGAAATGTGCGCAGATCCTAACCAATCCCTTCATCCCAATCAGAAGTCCACGTTACTCGATACTTCCCTCGAGGCTGTCCTGCCCCTCTGCAATGGGCCAGGTGTGGCGCAGAAGATCAAGCAACACTTGACTAATTTGTGAGCCAGCAATTCAAAGAGCGCACAAAAGACTAACGCCATTATCAAGCTGTAATATCGAGAGCGAAACCCCGTCTTACTCTGATTTCGTCGAGGCTGCCAATCATGCGCTTCGTGGACTGAGGAAGGTGAACGTACCTGGAATGCCCGCTTTTCAAGACGACGATGAAACCAATATCCTTTTTCATGTGAATGATCCATCGTTCATACACCAAGAACATCAGGGCGAGAAGTCCAGCCGCAAACCGGACATCGTCGTCGTTTCTCACCAGACTGCCGCGGATATCATACCGGAAGGAAAATCCAAAGATGTTTACCGGTCTGCGTGCAAGGCGCCCACCAAAGACCATGAGAACTTCCAGTGGGTGGATGTCCGAACGACATTTGAGTTCAAACGCCCGAAGCCGCGTCTGCCTCATCCACCGTCTGCTTACACTAAGGACTACGTGACTCCTAATGTCCTATATATGGAATACATGAAGAAAACGGACTCGTCCGATCAGTCAACAGACTCGACGTCTACCACTGGTACTGCTCAGACCTCCCACAGTACCTCGAACGAGGGTAAGTCGCCCAGCATGTATCTCCGCTGCTTCTTTTGACATGTGCGACGCAGTGCAAAATATATCCCACCGACTCAGAAGCAACAAACGCGGCCCCGATCATTTACGCTCAAACGAGCCGTCCACCAGCAAACGATCCAGGCAGGATGACGAGAGGCAATCCAAGCAGGAGGAGAGGGGGAACAAGAAAAAGAAGGGTCCGAACAAACACCATCCTATCATCCAGAATGGCTTGTATGTTGCGGAGATGTTCGCAGCTCATACGGTGCGCCAGCACGTCATCTCGTGTATAGTAAACAGTAAGTGGATACAACGCAATTGTCCCGTCATCGAAGTAATCGCTCATTCCAGACGATATCATCTATCTCTGGTGGTTTGATCGTCAGCACACGATTCAATGCGCTGGCATCAACTTCGTTCAGGACCTTCCACGCTTTGTGGTCTTGCTCTTCATCATGCAGCGCATGGGATACAAGCAGTGGGGCCTCCACCCGTTGTTTGAACCTGAACCTGGATATGAAGGCGAGATTATCGTCGAGTACGAGGACGACACGAACAAGGACGACCGGGATAAGAAGGGCCAGAATAAGAGGAAGCGCGTCGACCTTACACTGGATTTGAGGTCTGAGAAACGCGCGACTCATTTCGGTCTACGGGGACGTGCAACCACGGTCTTTCCCGTGAAGAGCAAGGCGCTGTCGGCTCTGCCGCGGCGTTCACATTTCCTCAGCGAATCCACCGAATTGGTTGCCAAGCTCTTTTGGCCAGAAGAGGCACGCCAGAGCGAGCCCGAGATCCTCGAAGAGGTCTACAAGATTGCGAATGAAGATCCAGATGTGTTGGGCCATGTTCCAGAGATGGTCTGGTTCCACAAGTTTGAAGACACTTCCACAGCGATAATCAGAAAGGCGCTAGGGATCGACGACGCGGGCAGCCGGGTCCTATACATCATCGTATTCAGAAAGCTTGACCCAATCACGACTCTGAGCGGTGAGGAGTTCCTCCTCGCATGGTGGGAAGTCGTCAAGTGTAAGTGACCTGTCCTTCTCGTGCTGTTTATCATCCACTCACTACTGCTACAGGCCATCGCGCGCTCTGGAAGAGGGGAGTGCATCACCGCGACGTCAGTCCCAGTAATCTCATGGGATACCGCTTACGCGGTCGATTTATGAGCGTCCTGAATGATTTCGATTTATCGTCGATCAAAGATTCCTTGTCCTCGATTCAAGGCTCTCCCAAAGGCTTCGAGCGCACAGGAACGGTACCGTTCATGGCGTTAGACCTTCTCAAGCCAGACGCCATCGCAGGCCGAGTCGAGCACGTGTACCGTCATGATGCTGAATCGTTCGTCTGGGTTCTCACCTGGATCTGCCTTCGGTATAAAAAGGGCAAGCTTCTCAGGAAGCGCAGACCACTGGATGAATGGCTGACGGTAGATGCCATGGGGTGCTTAGAAAAGAAAACGTGTTTTTTGGCAATGCTGAGCACGATGCGTCCAACGCGATCACACGAAGGGAGTTTCAAAGTTGCCTTTGAGTGCTTAGACGTGATCATCAAATCAATAAGCCCATCCGCGGCCGTTCTAGCGGACGATGAAGTGTTCCAGACATTGCTCCAGAACCATGTGCCCCAGAATGTACGTGAAGGCAATATTTCTCTTGTAGATTAGGTATGCTTGCAGCTGGGGCAGCGCCTCTGAAATGTGATTTACGTACTATGTTGTAGATTTGATGTATGAAACAAACATCATACACGGTGCCATTCTTTTGTATTTGCGTGTTCAAGCTGGAGGTTAACGTTAACGTTCTGGCCTCAGGCCTAGTGAGAGCAACCGAGGTAGAGATCAATACAAATCCCACGGGATGAGTGGCGCCAGTCATAGATGCGATAACAAAATATAAAACGAAGAACGTGGATACACGTCTTGAAGCTTGAAGGCCGTTGTCCACCTACACGTTCGCCCACTGCTTAATTTCTTAGTCCAACCTCTGATATTACTGAAGGTTGGAAAAGAAGAGGTACGTCAAACAGAGCAGTGACTTGAATCGACGTTGACGTTCAAGTCAAATATTGATCGGCATGGTCACGGTGAGTTCTCCTTGGAGTGTCGAAATAAAGTCGCACCCGCCGTTGCTCTGAACCTCCCCCCCTCCCCGTACGCAGATAGAGCCTGAGTCCAGATGGGCAGTGGCTTCATGACGTAATTTAACATGCTGAAGTCCTACCGTAAAGGTGTTTCTGAGGCTGTCATGACGATTCCCTCTCAGAATCAAATTCGCGCATTGTGAACGGTGAACTGCAGGTAATTTCAGTCCTCCGATCACCTGTATTGCATGACTAGGTAGTATCATTCTTACAAAACTCTACAGCACTTCGAACATCACCTTTCTCCGCAGATCGTTCCACCCAGCATCTGGATATCATCCATAAGCCTAGTCGGTAGATAGGTCACTTCGTCGGTCGAGTGTCTGTATACTTGGGCCACATGAACCTCAGTCATCCTATATATCGGAGATGCGATCCCTCGGGAGGATCGAAGTATCATCGTACCAAGAGCTAGAGAAGGCCTTAACCGTTCTTGCGCAAGCCGGAACCGCTCCACAGCAAGATCAAGAAACATATAGAGTTAGTAGAATAGTGTGGGTAGTGTCCACCATAGGGCTTCACCCCAACGGACAATAACCAAGAACTTTCAAAAAAAAAATCTATACATCGCGCCGGAGATCCGTATTTCAAGAATTCTCGGCGCGCTATCGCATTAGAACATCGACCTCCGAAGCTTGAGGACTATAGAATGAGTGATTCCACTCCCTGGGGGCGATACCGTGTTACCAGGGGAGTAGCGGGGGTCCATGAACCATCTCTACGACTTCCACTGTAGAGAATGGAAGCACAGCCCGATGTTTTGGAGGTAGATGGAGACGTATGAGAAGACCAGCAGAATCATATTCGCGTGTTCACTCGTCGAAAAGGTTGAGAACGTTGATACTAGACTCGTGAGTCCGTCTATGAGGCAAACCGTCAATAGACGGACTGGTAAATCTGGGTTTGAATTTGAATTGTGCGCGCTTTGGTTCACGAACGTTACGGCAAAACCAAGTAAAAATGCGCTTGCCAACTTTGTCAAGGTATCCGCCAACGAGCTTGGAAGTGAAGAAGACCACCGAAACAGGACGAGCACGTCGGCGGGGGCAGGGGAGCTAAACACTGGCCATCATGATGATGTATACATTATTGAATGTTCCCGACAGAAAGCGTGAGCTTCTGGATCATGATCAGACCATGCTCCCCATGCCATGTTGCACTGGCCATTCCCAAGCCTCCGACACTTTGACTTGCGTATTTGCAGGCGCAGAGCTCGTTGCTAGCTTCGATCTGTCGAGATATGGTAGTGGATGGGTAGCTGTCGACCGCAATGGACACATGGAACTTGTTGTAATTGATTAGCGGCGAGCACTCAGCATATCATCTTCTCTAACAGGTTTCTACTACTTCATTGCTCGGATTTCCATGTGCGTGCGCATCACAATTCAAACTTATCTACCTGAACATCAAATACTGCTGTAGTTTTGCATAGGCGCCTACGTTAAGACGCCTTTTTCAAGTCTTTTCCAGCTTCGTGTAATCGGTGCTGAGCTAGATCGTTGCGAGTATACCTTTGACAATTGCTCGGGTGCACACTGGAGTGCACGACAATAGATATCCCCACAGACATATTGGCACCGCTGAAGAGCCAAAGCTCCCGACCTCAGAAAGAGCGGACCGGAAGTCGGCGCCCGGCAGCCGTGGGGCGGTTGCAACCAGCAACATTTGTTTACGCGTGAAGGCTGTTCGTACTCTCCACTGTTGGAAAGCGACCTGATTATAATATATAGTGAGCACTGCATCTGTAGAGATGGAACAGACTCAGTACAGGCAAGCAGAAACTTCTGCCGACGCTAATTCCGAGTCATGGGAACTGGAGAATAATGGTAGAGTCGCGGAACGAAACATAATACAAAGTATCATGCAGTCGTTAATAAATTAATAACCGACCACCAGATAGCTGAAGCTACTGGTCTGAACCACCTCATCAGAATGGAATTCAATTATGCCTCTCCGTACGACCAGCTGAGCCCTGATATAATGATCGGATCATTCGATCACTTTCAGACTGAGACCTTGGTGCCACGTCTGCGCAGTACTTACGAATTTCCAATTTTATCCGTCCTCCAAACAATTTTTAGTAGGCCTGATATCCGGTGGTTGCACAGGACAGCACAGGACGCGTTGTAGCACAACTTGACAAGTGGTTCATTATATCACATGTCTTGTCTGAATCGCAGACGAGTCAATTCGATAGAGTAAGATCTATTGATGTGACAGAACAGTCAGCTCAGCCAAACGGTCAGCCTGTCTAATTCACCCTATTCCGAATTCGAGGCAAGCACCATCCTGTCGACGTTCATCAGACGGCGCTTCAGCACCACAATCTGAAGACCGGAATATTAAACAACTCATAGAGACAAGAACGGGCAAATACATATCATTGTCACGGTGATCATGACAAGACCATTGCTTTGACACATGATTCTCCGCGCCCATCGCCCCGGATAGGTCATGTGGATGGGTGCTTAGCATTTCAAGATCAATTCTCTAGCCCCGTATGCACCTCGGCTGTCGAACGTTGCGTCCATCTGCAGGTAGAGTATTATGACTTTGATGGGAATGCCGTGCAAGGTAACCCGTCCCACGTCGGATATGATATGGAGGAATATATCGTTGTCTGGGGCATGCTAGGGCTATAGTATAAAAGGTGAGGAGGAACGCAGCTTTCCACTCAACTCAACAGAAGATAAATCATCGAGCCCTAGCACTCTCCTCATTACAAACATGAAATTCATCTCACTCACTTCTATGATCGTGTCTGTTGCGGTAATGGCTGGCGTAGCCACCGCGTACAACCCTATCGGCCAGTCTTGCGACACCCCAGGTAAGTGCTCTTGCCACATAATGATGTGTCGCGGGGTGTGCAGATAATTCGACGGTGTACTTACGCTTGCTTGCAGGTGGTTATGGGTGCTCACAAGACGCGAGTCTTAACGGCGGAAATGCGTTCATTTATGAATGTGCATCGACCGACGAGTTCGTGTACGTTGCAGGCTGCTCCTGCCCTACTTGCTGTGAAGCCACGACCAGTGGTGCGTTCTGCACGTGAAAGTAAGCGGTGAGCACGATTTTCCTGCACCTCTTGAATATTAGTGCTGATGTTGTTTTCGCGACAGAGGATGTCGGTGGAATAATGTACTGTGATACGTAAAGGAGATAGTGAAGGAGTGGTCGATAAATATACCGCGTCTGGAACCAATTGTGCTGTGTGATGTCGTGATTCAAGGCGTGATTTCCGGTGGAATTGTCCAACATCCCGATTCGTTATCTCTAAATGGACGGTCGAGAGCGGCGGATGAGAACTTGCACTTGGGTGTTTACAGGCTTCACTCAATGGTGTTCAGGCTTAGAACAGGTCTAGCAAAGAATGAACGAGCCTTTTCCGTTGCAAGACTGTCTCACCATTTAGATAGGAGAAAGAGATGATGCTGATGCATATCCTAGTCGCCATAGAGATATGTATGTCACTGTGCTTCGTGAAGGACAATCAGAGTGAAAGCGATAACAAGAAGGAGTCGACAGTGATGCAGTGATGAGCAAACGATAGACGCGTGGATTGGGTGTGGGAATGAGATAGTCTCCTAGGTACTAAGATAAGTAGCCTGGTCGTCCCTGCATACTTACTATAAGAAAATTATGCCACGGGGCCCCAAGTGCGAATTCGCACGCCGGATCTCATTCTTGTACATGAGGAGGACCGACCTGATCGAGCTTGCTGGTTTGTTCTGATCTGAGCCTTGCAAGCCAACAACCCCATTTCCGTCTCCTCGAGGCGACTTATCTTGACCCGCCATAATTGGAAGATTACGTGTATAGCCACCGCGCCGGGATTCACCGCGCTTACGTGGACTGAGTTGATATAAACCTGATGGGCAAAACAGAATGGTGAAGTGAAACCAAGGTCTCCGCTAGCTTTGCAATGCGTGGACTGACAACTGTAACCCTCGCTCTCCTCGGCCTCGCTGCTGCTATTCCCGAACCGCAGCGTCGCAAGTCCCTTTCATTTGGTCCTGTTCTCCCTCATGCCCGCTTCGACAGTAGTGCTCACCAGCCTGTTCCCGCCGTACTCTTCTCTACTCAAGACAGAGTGCGGGTAGACCCGTACGAGGTAGCCAAGACATTCCTTGACTCTATCGTAGACCTCGACGACGGCGTGAGCTACGTGATCCGCAGCGATAGCTACACGGATCGTACTACCGGAGTGACTCACGTCTACGCACGTCAGATCGTTCAGGGTGTCCATGTAGCCGACGGTAATGTAAACTTGAACATCAAGGACGGCGTTGTCTTGAGTTACGGTAATTCGGTGCGTATACGTCATGTTGGTGACGCGTCAACTTCATAAGCGCTCACTCCGTGCAGTTTTACCCCGGTCCGGCTCCGTCATCACACACCCGTGGTGCACATCCCCACGCAGAATACTGCGCACAACTTGATTCCGCTCGTTCCCCCTGGTCAAGCCAGAAACCCCTTGACGGTGCACACCCAGAGCTAGAGCACATTCACTCCTCCAACTGCGCTGCCCTCCCTAACATCCACTCCCTCCCAACTCCCTCCTTCGATGACCACGTCCCAAGTCCACAAGATGCACCTCGTGCACTTCTTACTTTCCTTCTTGCAGCTGTACCGTCTCCCGCTCTCGCACAAGACATCCACACCCGTTTCGATGATCATTTGGCGAGCATGACCATGGCTCACATGTCCGGCTTCCTTCCTCACGAGGCCGAGCAACTCACCATTACTGGTGCTCCCGGAACCATCGGCGAGGTCAAGACCTCCGTCGTCTGGGTCCAGGTACCCTCTGCAGATGGCACCGTGCATCTCGAGCTCGTACATCGCGTTAGTATTTATCCTCCAGTTTTCTCACCCAATATTGAACATTACACAGTTCGAAGTCGAGATGGAGCACAACTGGTATGAGGCCACAGTCTCTGCATCTCTTCCCCACCGTATTGTGTCCGCCGTGGACTGGGCCAGTGACAGCCCCATGCCTCTTTATTCCCCTGAATCTCACCCCGAGGACGCTCAGCTTCCTCCCCTCTCCTCATTCATCCCTGCAGGCTCCAACGCCCCCTCCTGCTCCACCAAGAAGGTTGGTGGTCGCTTCAGGAAGGGTAAAGCTGTGGCAGATCTCCGAAAGAGCAAGGCTGCCAAGGGGGGTGCCACGTGGTCCAGTGGCCCTGCAATTCCTGACTTCCCAAAAGCATATTACAACGTCTTCCCATGGGGCACCAACGATCCTGTTGAGGCTGCTGAAAGGAAGGGGCTGAGTGAGGCAGGTGGTAAGTTTCGCTGTGTCCCCTTCGTGATCCAAACATCAACTCACGCCTCTTCTGGCACCCACAGACTTCCCCCCTTCTCATGGTCGCGTCCAATCCTCTGAGTTGGGTGACAAACTCGCAAGTCCGGCAGGGTGGCATGCCCTGCCGTGGGGAGTAGACCCCAGCATTAGTGAGGAGGAGAGGGCTACACTTCGTGCGAAAGGTTCGTCATACTCTAGTTGACATTTTCGTGCTATAGACCTCATGCGGAACGGCAGGCGAGTTCTGGCGCACGACCAACACCACGTGGGGCAACAATGTCTTTGCACACGAGAACTGGGAGGGGCGCAACGCGTGGATAAATAACCGCCGTCCAGAGGGAACCGCTGTGGGTGGTGAGTGCTTGCGCAGCTTGTTTTAGTTTTAGTTTTCATGACACTTGTCTGTTAGACGACGTGAGAACTTTAGCCGTCCACTACAACTACCCATACTCCCCGAGCCAGAAGGGCAACTCGGAGGAAAACTTGGCCGATGCGCATGCTCACATCGATGCAACGGTGGCGCAACTTTTCTACACGAGCAACTTGTTCCACGACTTGACCTACCGGTGCGTTCTACTCACGATTATTTCTTATTTTCCCATGTGACGAATTGTGACAGGTACGGCTTCACTGAAGAGGCTGGGAACTTCCAGCAGTACAACTTTGGGCGCGGCGGTGAGGAATCAGATGCTGTGATCACGAATGCACAGGACGGCAGTGGGTTCAACAATGCCAATTTCATGACACCTCCCGATGGTCAAAATGGGTGGGTTGTTTTTCTTCCTTGCTCTGATCAATACTTATGCTTTGTGAACCAGCAAATGCCGAATGTACCTGTGGAACACCGCTAACCCCTATCGTGATGGCGACATGGAAGCTGGTATCGTTATCCACGAGCTTACTCATGGTCTCAGCACGCGCTTGACGGGTGGCCCCAAGAACAGTGGATGTCTCGGCTGGGGTGAGGCTGGTGGTATGGGAGAGGGCTGGGGTGGTAAGTTTTGATTGTACGCTCAACAACCAACAAACTCACCATCTACAGACTTCCTCGCCACGACCATTCGCAGTACCTCCACTTACGAGGATTACGCCATGGGCGCATGGGCTGCCAACCGTCCGGGGGGTATCCGGAACTACCCGTACAGTCTTGACAAGTCAGTGAACCCTAGCACGTACAAGACGCTCGACAAGCCCGGATACTGGGGCGTACACGCAATCGGGGAGGTCTGGGCGCAGATGTTGTGGGTCCTGGAGCAAAGGCTGATCGCCAAGCACGGGTTCACAGATAATCTGTTCCCTCCCCCGCACGATGCTAGCTTCGCCGATTACGCTGCTTTCTACCGCGCCGACAAGCCTTTCGTCCCCAAGCACGGTAACTCGCTATTGGTGCAGCTTGTGTTGAACGGGATGAAGCTGCAGCCATGTAGCCCATCTTTCTTCGATGCACGTGATGCGATCGTGCAGGCTGATCAAGTACTTACGGGTGGGGAGAACTTCTGTGATATTTGGGCGGGCTTTACCGAGAGCGGGTTGGGCATTGATGCTACCGTTAAGGGGCGTACACCGTGGGGTGGAGGTGTTAGGGAGGATGTAAGTCCTTTTCGCTGAGTTACCTTTTTTGTGACTGACGCACGATTACATCGTAGGGTTTCAAAGTCCCCACTGCATGTCAAAGCGACGACGCACCCTCACCTGAGCCAATCCCTGATGACCCAGAGGATGACTGCGGTGTATTTGGATGCTGGCTGTGAGGGTGGGCGAGAAACTTTAACTGTTTCGCATCATTGATCGATATCCATATACACGATTGGAGACGCACGGCTAGATGATAGTGATATCCAGAGTCTGGATAGAATATATATCGGTATCTTGCTCCCATGTAATCATGCGCTAGCTTTATTTTGGCTTGGGATATTTTGGTTTTGTTGCGGTTGCACATAGTCTTTGTATGATAGTTATAATTGATAAGATATGATGCATTGTGGTATGAATGATACATGCCTGATGTTGAGTATAATTAGTTCAGTAACTTAAGTTTAAAGATTTACCTGAGGCTGTTTCACGTCAGAGGAGGCTGCAGGGAGATGGAGATGATGGGGAAAGATGCGGCAGGAGAATAATAATATAGCCGTGCTTGAGGGCGCAAGCAAACGCCCGACACCAGGCCAGGTACCGTGAACGGGGACCTTAGGCCTTAAGTTCAGATGAAGTTCCGGTGTTGCATTTTTTCTGTGATTTCAATATTCAAGCTTGGCGAGTCTGAACATACAATTCATTCCTCCAACACCACTGACAGCTGATGTGCAAGACATGCCATAGCCTGCCATAGCCCTCAGTCAGTGCGCGTAAACTGCGCGCGTAGTTGTTTGGTGGATATAAATAGATGTTCTTCTCCTTCCTGATTCCCAGTTGTCAGCGCTCCAGTGGATTCCTGATGAACAACGACTGAAGTTCTAGATCATGATCAGATGAAAATAAAGCGCGAGCCCTCGGGCACGGAATACTGTCAAATTTCATCATCGGACCCGACATCCGACCACTATCTTATCTTCATTCGTCTGGTCTGCGAAAAGTTGGAGACTACGATATCGCTCCGCAGTTTCTTCTCTTCAGAAATAACTGCGGTATATAACGAATCAGACTAGAAGCAACATAAGAAAATGAGCCGCAGCAAGTGAGAGTCCGATGGAGCTGGGGTGGTGCGAGGCATGACTAAATTTGAATGCGTTACGTGGAGTATCTGACTTATTAAAGATACACACCCAGGGACGCCGCCGTCAAGCCAGAAGAGTTCAACTTGAAACACTGATTTACAGGTGTCTTCGGGTACGACGTGATTTATGCAGGGTCACCGACAGGTGGGCGGACCTGGACCCTGACAAGGATTCGGAGATGTC